TTTACGCCGCGATAGAGGATTAGCTTTATTCTCTCTTCTAGCTTTATATAAGATTTTAAAGTTAAATATTAATATCCACTTAGCCTAACGTACTTATTAGCGATTAAGGACCTTAGTTAATATAAAGTAATATAGATTTATATAATCCGATAATAATTCGATCTAATATACGGAGTCTTCTAAATAATATTACTATTACTTAAAACTCTTAATAATTACGAGTAGTTCCTAGTTATATATATTATAACGCGTCTCTATATCCGCCATTTTATAGGAAAAGAAAGTAACCGGGTACTATTATACCTTATCTTTTATATCTTTATATGGTTAACTAATAATTCTAGTAATTATAAATTCTAACGCGTTAGTTTTAATCCGAATATACTTCTCGAGATTAAAATACCTAAGAATCGGCGTAGTTATAAAGTAATTCTTTAACGATCGGAACATATCTTATACTTCTAGCGTTAACTATATCTCGACCGATTTAGCTTTACGCTATGCTCGCCTACCTATAGAGATTTTACCGCCATTCTCTATAAGTTTATTAAGCGGCGCCGTAATTCGTAAGAAGCCTATAATAAATTTATAATAATAGTTTACGAAACCTATAAATATTCTAATTTAACGTATAGTAGTAGGTTCTAGCTATTCTATAATAGTCTTTATACGCTCCGGCTCCATTTTTAGGCCGCTATATATTATAATAAAGCCGAGAAACCTAACTTCTTATTAGTAAAACTTATATTTAGATAATTTTATGTAGAGTTTTTACTACCTTAGATAATTTAGTACCGATTTCACGTGTTCTTTATAATTCTATATACTATTAGAGTAAATTAGTATATTATTAAGATAAACTACGTAAATCACGTTAAGTAATTCTACGAGTATAGTATTAATATATTCTTAAAACGCTCCTAGCGCATTTATTAGCCTGAATAGTATAATAGTATACTTAAAATAACTATATCTAGTCCGAAATACGGTTTTCTACTTATCTCCGTAACGAATTTAAAGCCGGTAATATATATCTCGTAAATCTAGCTTTATAAAGTACTTTACCTTTATTAATTAGTCTTAAGATTTACTAACTAGTGGTAATAGGTAACGATTCTTCTTAGTTACTATATTTAGTACCTAATAGTCGACGTATAGATATAAACTTCTATCTTTCTTCTTTACGAAGAGAATAGATGCGCCGGCCGATAACGTACTATAACGTATCTAGCCTCTTTTAAGGTATTCTTTAATATATTTACGAAGAACTTTAAGTTCTAGTCTTAAAAGTAGATAAAGTAGGCTATAAGGGATATCTACTCCCTCTTCGAGCTCGATCTTTAGCTTATACGGCCCGTGATTAGGGAGAAGTAATGTATCTTCTACCGAAAATATATCTATATACTATGAATATACGTCGGGTAGCGTGTCTTCGCCCCGATTATTACTATCGTTCTTATCTTTATCGATAATTAATAAGAATATAAGATAGATTAGCGATAATCGGGTCCGCACGGCGAGGTTCTATACCTCCTTACTAATAGTTATAACTTACTAGTATAATTTACTATGGTATTATCGGAACATTAATATCTTCTTCTAAAAATTAAGGATAGGGTTTAGGCGTCTAAGCTAAGGCATCCCTAGAATTATATTCTATTAGCTAATATTAGCTATAATAAATTTATTAGATATCTACTATTTTATTATCTTTAAGTTATGAACTTTATAATTCGTTATAGCTTTACCTAAAGTTCTAACTTTATATCTATTAACTACGATAGTTCGGCTAACTTTACCGAGATCGTATAATAATCTATACTTCTTTATAAGAATTAACGAAATATAGTTATCTTCTATACTAGTATCTATAAGGGCCTATATAGTTTTATTACTATTTACTATAGGTAATAATACTTTTAGTAATATTAGGTCTTTACTTACTAGAAGGCGCTACGGCTCCTTCTAAGTATATATAATTTAGCTAAGGACGTAGTTAGGTCTTATATACTAGTCTATTCTTTTTTCGGATTCTTATAGTTAGGCGAAATATATTCTATTTCTCTATACTTATAGTAATGAAGTGCGCTATAATCCTACTATTTTACGATAGGCGTTATATTTAAGCCTATGCCTTATCCTTTTCCGTGTTAAGAAGTACCGCCTTAATTATTTTAGTATTCTCTTAACGCGTTTCTACCCTAATTTATACTCTTCTAGCGCTAATCGCGGTAAGGTTACTCTTAATTAAACGTATTTAATCGACCTCGTTTCTAACCCGTATAGGGTTCGTTGGTTTTACCTAGAGAGCCGCGTTCCTTAAGGATGCGGTAGTATTTATTAGCTTTCTCCTCTAATTTATATAGATAGTTAAAACTTAATAATACTATTCCTAGTCTTTCGCGGATTAACGGAAGTAGTACTTCACAAAACTAGAATATACAAATATTTTCCTATAGCGTAGGGATATTATTCTATAGGTTTTAGAGGTATTATAGTAGTTAAGTAGGTGTCTAGTTCGGTCGTTATACTACGCTTCTTAACTTAGATAGTACCTTTCTTTTACGTTCTCTATCCGTTCCGAGGGTATTTAGTATAAATATAGCTAAATATTCCTAGGTTATCGTAGATAGTAGCTATACTTCCTTCTATCTATCCTATTAATCGTGGGATTATAAGTCTAGGTATTATTCTCTAAATAAAATACGTTATACTTTAGTAGAAAAGAGTAGAGAGTTATTAAGAAAGTACTTTTCGTAGTCTCGCTTCTAGTCTTTCTACTCCTTTTAGTTCTTCCCTATAAATATAGTCAGGTCTTTAGATTTTAGTATACCTAGAGAAGGAGTAGGGTAAATCGGTAATAAAGCGGCCGGGTATATGGTAGATTATTATAACTCTAATAGTAGGTGAACTAATTCCACCTAAATTAGTATAGGAAGTCGTCTACCTACTATCGTTTAGCGTAGTTCTTTAAGAGACTCCTTAAGTTCTTATCTCTTTATAAGGAGTTTCGCGCGTTCTATCTATTCTTTAAGGGTTTAAATCTCTTAAGTCTAATTTACGATATATTCCTAAAGTTTGGCGATGGTTTATTATAATACCTTACATGGCTCCGCCACAACTCATTATCCGGCTTTATATTATTAGAAGTTACTTAGCGTATCTACTATTTCTTTATCTAAAAGCTCCGTAATTCGGTCTAATATTTCTACTTCTCGGTTAGAAACGGTTAGAATTAATACTAATTATAGAGGATCCCTATTATTTAATATAGTATTACTTATCTCTATAGTAGATCGTGTCGACCTTCTCGGTTCTAGTTAGACTATCTTAACTATAGTACTATATAGAGAGTAATTCGAATATAAGAATAGAGTTATTAGATAGTAGTATAGTTAGATAGAATAATAGAGTATATTCTATTATAGAACGAATTACTACTAAACTCTTTCGGTAGAAATCTAAGAGTATATATATAAAGGGACGCCGATCTATCTAGCACGTAACTATTTACCGCCCTTTACGTTACCTCCTAACCCTGTTAGCTAAGGTATATATAGGTCGGGTTCTACCTAAGGCTAAGTCCTAATATAGACTATATAAACTAATTTCTACTTATTAGAAATTAACCTCGTATAAGAGTAAGACTACTCTATAAATACATTTCTATATCCCTCTATGAACTATTAGACTACTATTCTACGTCTTTACTTATTATAATATAGAACTACTTAAACTTTATAAAGAAGCCCTTTATCTCTACTACGTCCTCTACTATAATATATATAGACTCTTATACCTTCTACTTTATCTTTTTATACTTAGAATTACGTACTAGCTATTATATAACCTAGTTACATCTAATTAGACGTGGTATATAGTTAAAACTAGGCTTAGTATTATATATAAGAATACTCTCTATAGTACTCTAAATCTACCTAATTAAAGTAGATATACTAATCTTATTATAGTAGTATATATACTCCTTAAGGGTAAGCTCCTTCTAAGGATTAAGTCTATTAGAAGTCTTAGTTTATATAGTTTTTAGTAGTCTACTATAACTATAATATAAGATATAATAGTATATAGCGCGATAATAACGCGCTAATACTACTAATAATCTAAATTTTATGTCCCAAAAGTCACGAATAGTAGATTAGATCTTCTCCGCCTTATTTTAATATATATAAGATACTTTAGATATAGTAGTATTACTATATTTAAATATATTATCTATATAGTACTATTAAAGTGTATATGTACGTTTAAGTCGGGAGCACTTCGGAGGTTATAACTCCGAAGTGCGTGGGACGGGTAGGGTAGAACCCTGTTCAATCCTTCCTTTAAATTGATCTGCTCGAATCACCTCATCATTACATTTGTCCATATAGCTTCTGTGTACTCGCGGACTGCACAGCCAAGGGTGTAAACTATACTTTACATAACATAGACATTCTACAGTCATATATAACATCTCATAGAAAGGCGCTTCCCTCCCAAGAAAGTATTCAGTCGCAATTTAAATAGCCCAGATAACCACCATACACGTCAGAAAATCATCAGTCTACAAAAACGTATGCTCAAGTCAAAACAAATATGAGCCATTAATGCAGCAACGCATCAATGATGGGAAAGAAGTGTAACTGAAGAGGCTAGAGAGTCATGCAACGTTGCGTACAGTTAAGTCAATGATACAGGAAGTCACGAGCGAAGCACTGCCTTCTGGCTGCTAGAGAGCATGCTCGGCACTAACTCATGACAGTTCCGGGGGTCTATGATAGCTTCTTCCTGTACCACTACGTAGCGTGAAAAGTACTAGCAGGGTTGGCATGTCAGCTGGCGGATATGAGGCTGAGGGGAACAATAAGATGAGGGATGTGTATCTAATTTGGGGATCCTGTAGAGTAAGTTATGTGGATCTAGGGGTGATGCTGCTCTCGAGGCATTCAATCCGATTCTCGGCTGTCGCAGCCCTAAATCCGACGGCTGTGCCTACACATCTAAACTGTTGCCAGTGTAACTCTGAGTTTGAATTTGGTATTGAAGGCCAACTGCCGCACAAACCAGCCATTATCGGTCACCCACTCCTTTTCTGGTTGATCAAGTTCGATCTGCATAACAATATGTCAGTCACCATCACGAACACACCCATTATTCCTACAGAAACTCACCTCAAACCTCCTCAGAAAACTCGGAACCAACTTATATACCTCCAACAGACTAATATTTCTCCCGATACATGTCCTTGCTCCTGCGCCAAAGTGAAACATTGTTGCTTTCATGTCCCTCAGTTTTTCCGGCTTCGCGTCAATCCACCGCTCAGGTCTGAACGCATCAACGTCCTCTCCGAAGACCTCTGGACGTCGGTGTAGGACCCAAGCGTTGCAACCCACAATTGTGCCTCCAGGGATATGCTCGTCACATATGGTTATTCCTTTTGCTGGAACAACACGTTCAAGGAGCAAGCCAGCCGCAGGATGAAGACGAAACGATTCTTGGATGACTGCGTCGAGGTAAGGCAGTTTTTGGGATTCAGACCAGGAGACGAGGCCATTGTCCCGGGATTCAATTGTACCGTCTAAGACAGCGGCGTCGAGCTCGGCCATGAGCTTATTGTATGCGATGGGATTGCGTAGCAGGTAGTAGAATACAGCGGAGAGGGAGATGGCGGTGGTTTCAGAGCCGGCAAAAACCATACTGACGCAGGAAGTCAAGACCTGTGTATCGGTCATGAATTGTGGGTGGTCGTGTGCTGCGGCGTTGAATTTGGAGAGGAGGTCAACGCCGCCTTTGTTTCCTGACGCATCTGCCGGGAGGCCGTTTTCTTTGATCTTCTGCATCTCGACAGCGCGTTCTTGCGAACGAGATAGAGCAAACTGTGTTATAGGAAAGACATTTTTGCTTAAACCCCATCTTTCAGCGAGAAGTTTGAGTGGGTTCTTTTCTAATAAGAGGTCGATGATAGGCATTTGACCCACCGGGCCGGCGTAGCTGAGGAAGCGGAAGAGGAAGGCGATGACACCGTCTACGTCTTCATTTTTCTCGACGAAGCCGAGACGTTTGCTCCAGGTAAGGTCACCAATGACGTCGAAAGCAAAGAACTGGAGCCACTGAGAGAAGTTGCAGCATCGGTTTGTCTGCACGTAGAGGCGCTCTGTCTGGTCGAGGAAGATGGTCAGGGTGGAGTTGACTAAAGGCTCGTATGAAACAAGGGAGCTCATAGCAAAGGCGCTGTTGACGCAGCGTCTATATTTGGCGTGGTAGTCTTCATCTGTGGTTGAAAACAGACTTGGTAAGCGCCTCCCTTTGGACGTTGCTTGTTGTACGGGGTAGAAATCGGACTGTGACCGGGTCAGTGTTGCTTATTTATATCTTATCAGACGTACTTTGACGAATCCCTTATTGAGACCATAAATGGATTTTATTGCCTTAGGATCTGCAAATGAGAGCACATTGGGGGCCAGGCGGACGATATCTCCAAGCTCTTTGTGTAAACGTATGTGAGTTTGCTCAGGCTTTCTACCAAGAGCATCAGAGAACCTCCACAGATCGGTGTATGATGCCAACCAGGGGCCTGGATATTTGCTGAGACCACGCTGATACTTGTTCCAAACAAAATATGCTGGGACTAATATGCTTGATATGAGGAACCAGTGATGGGACGCAAATGCGACAACATCGTTAACAATCATGATATGAAGCGTCGGACACTTTGGAAGTAACACGATTTATGCCCTATAAGAGAAATAGAAGAAGTAGGGGCATACAAGTGCTAAGAGCGACGTATATTAACATATGCTTTTCATGGATCTAAATTTAGGATCCATATGTATGTGAACACCAAGTACCTATGTACCGCCAAAATCCGAAATGTCGCGCCTGACAGTCACGAGTGCGATACAGCGGAGTTCGGCAGTTGATTGTCGGTCAAATTGTGGAGGTAATATGTAGTGTGGACGGCTTGAGGGAATGTGGGGAAGCTTGAGTCGCAGAGGATTTCCTACACAGCCAACCAGAACTTGATACAATCTATAGCCCTGTTGGCCTAGCAATAGGCTCGATGGACTTACTCAGAGCCCGAACTGCGACTCACAGATATAATGGAGTGAAAGCAGCGATATAACTGCAAACTAACACATTCCCTTTGCTACCCAGTACTGATGTCTCCGTCTTGCAACTGCCGAAGATCGCGACCTATGGTGGCCATGCGACGTGTACAGCATGTGCTACGTGTACATACCGGCAGATGAACAAGGCCGAAATCTCGAATGATTTTTCTTGCTCTCGGATCGCACATGTAAATTGATGCCTGCGATCTCAGAGAGAGAAGGACAGTTGGAAGCCCGCGCGCGCGAGAAGCATTCTGGGGATTCGCAATCCCTCCAAGGTCAAGGATCAGAGAGTTAGCAAAGTTGTCGTAACTGAACCAAAGGCTAACGCGTGGAAGAGGCTGTAGGAGATATTTCGATGCCTTGCTCATATGGCTATGATGATGTTGTGGTGTTGCAGGTGCAGGCTGCTCAATCGTATTACTAACTTAGGACAACGCCACCTACGGCAGGCAGCCTGGAGGGAGTGTTTTTCTTCGCGACGTCATTCCGGTCACAAATCTCCAGGCTTCTTCAATTCCACAAGCGCATGTCCCCTCCGGCTATTCGTCTTCACCATTCTCCTACCCATAAACTCTCTGCCTTTGTCCTATACTCAAACATCCTGTCACCATCATCACTCAACATGGCGACGCGAAGAAATCATACCTCGACCTCGCACTCACATTTTGTCGACCGCACAATTCCGTCGGCCACACCTACACTGCAAGCCCAGCAACGGTCCCCCTTCCTCCCGACCCGCCTCGAAGCCCTGCTCATCGCAATCTACCCGACGACCCTCTTCCTGGGCTCACTATTCAGCACACTTTCCAGCACAACCCGATCCGCTCCTTACTCATCCGCCCTCCAATCACATCCTCCCGAATCCGCGCCAAGCTACTTCGCACAGAAGAAAAACATCTTCAACGTCTACTTCGTGAAGATTGGTTGGTTCTGGACCACACTCGCGCTCCTGGTATTTGTTGTCACCAACCCGACTCTCGGACCTCCACTATGGCCCTCATTAACGAGGAGGAGGGCACAGAGTGTACTGAGGTGGGCTTTGGCGACATGCGTGTGGATGTTTACGACACAGTGGTTTTTCGGGCCGCCGCTGATCGATCGTGGGTTCCGCATCACGGGGGGCATTTGTGAGATGTTGATCGATAGCGATGCCGCAGAGACAAAACCTTTGCTGAGAGAGGGCAAGGAGATATTGACGAGTGCAGCGTGTCGCTTCGCGGGAGGTCGATGGAATGGCGGGTACGATATCTCGGGACATGTTTTCTTGCTTATCCTCGGTAGCGCGCTGCTGTGGTTAGAGATCCTGCCGGCGATGTCGAAGGCGGAGGGCTTGCGGGATGGTAGGAGTGTGCAGTTACAGAACGGACGTGTTGCGACGGCGGCGAGTGTGAAGGATACTAGGGATACGGAAGGGGATGGCGATAAAGACGTAACTGGGTACGGCGTTAATGTTGCGCTCGGCATTGCTGCACTCATGTGGTGGATGCTGCTCATGACCGCTGCTTACTTCCATACTTGGCCCGAGAAATTCACGGGACTTTTGGTTGCATTTGGTGGCCTTTACGTCATATACTTCGTCCCTCGGGGCGTGCCCATCTTGAGATCAATAGTAGGCATGCCAGGAGTTTAGATCACAAGATATTGGCCCGTAGACGGACTCGTAATTCTGCCCGGCTAGCATTATCTCATCTCAAATCAAGACATTATGTCTATAATTAGTAATATGAATGGATGTATGTGTACGCCTATCATCTTCTTCGATATACATGACATGGTTAGTTAAAAAGTTGTGCAGGAGCACTCCATGAGTCCACACAAACAGGCTCACCCAAACACCCACTGGCTGGGCGCGTAGATACAGTTCGCTGTACCCTACACTTGTACCATAACACACTAACATGCGCAGCCCTCTTTCGCACCAGCCGGATCCTGTCCGCCAGTCAAGTTCACCCTGCTAGTATCCTCTGGCCTGCTGCCACCCAGATTTGTGTTACCACCCACACCACGCGGTCCCTTCAAACTAGTCTCCGGAATCGCATTCGCAATCGCCGTAAAAACCTCTGCAACATTTTGCCCGGTCTTCGCCGAGGTCTCAAAAAACAAGAGACTCTCCTCATCCGCATACCCCTTTGCCGTCTTCGTAGGCACCTTGCGCGCATTCGCATTCTCGTTCTCTTCGCTCTCAGCTACCTCCTCATCACCCTCCGTTGTACCCGCTGCATCAGCATCAGACTCATCATTTGTGACAGGAGAGTCGTCGGAGGCTAGGTCGGCCTTGTTACCGACGAGCGCAATTACGATGCCTGGAGAGGCTTGACGCTGGAGTTCGGCAACCCAGTGTTGGGCTTTTGTGAGAGACGTAGGCTTCGTAATGTCGTAGACGACAAGTGCGGCTTGGGCGTTGCGGTAGTACATGGGCGCCAGGCTGGCGAAACGTTCTTGGCCGGCGGTATCCCAGATCTCGAATTTGATGGTACGGGTTGGGAGATTGCATTTTTGAGTAAGGAAGGCGGCTAGAAGGGAATGTCAGCCAGTTCGGATTCAACCAGTACGTTCTGGTAGATGATCAATTGCGTACCCCCTATTGTAGGCTCTTTATTTTCTTGAAAATCATTATTCACAAACCGCATGACGAGCGAGGACTGCGATACTTTATCAGTAGGGAGATCAAGAGCGCAGCATACTGATCAACATATAACGGACCTTTCCTACTGCAGCTTCACCCAAAAGTACAAGCTTGACGCTGCTGCTTGGCTTAGGCGCTGTGGCTCCTGAGTCTGCCATCGTTGGTAAGTTTGATGATCGGTGCCTGGTATGAGATGTCGAGATTAGGGGGCTTCGAGATAGTTGAGATCAAGCGGTTTTGGACAATCCTTAAGAGAGTGCTATCGCGACTTAGGCGTTGAGTGACTGGCGACTGTGTCGAAACTGTAGAGGTCTCGGCGATGAATATGGATGGAGGTCGGGTGGTTGCGAGTGACGAAAGCAGTCACGTGCTACTTGGCGCGTCCACACGGTTCGTTCAGTCGCGTCTCCCGGGCATCAATTAAAACACGAGCGTTTCCTGCACTCTAATAATATTTCACATCGCATGTAAGCTAACATTGGCACGACTCCTCTTGCTTCACAATGATTTACTGCCGGTTAGGCAGGGATGTTGTGATTTTACATGGCTTCAAACATCCACCGACACGACACTTACGGAGTGAAAGAGCATAGACGGGCAGTCCTTCCCTCAAGAATGCAAAGACTGTCATCTGGATTCAGACCAAGTCATTTTACAATTACCACAATGATAGGTATCAGTTCATCCACACGAAAACCCTCATTGTTACACTAAAGACATTTCACAATACACTCATTCATATGGTGTACTCTGTCCTGACCGTAGATAGACATTAGGTTACCAACTGGTGGACTCGCCGCCGTATTATTTGTCCTATGGACCGCAAGGGTGAGGTGTTTGTCGAAAGTAAGGATCAAGAATGAAGAACAACTGATGGTTATTAACAAGGGTCTGAATACAGTATTCGAAACCCACATACAGGCCTCAGGCTCACCATATACGAATCCGACGGTGATCGCTAGACGCTCATGCATAACATGCGTGCACAGATACTGGAGCGACCCCCAGAGCAGTCTCGTCTCTCGTCTTGGCGAGCGGCCCGCCGTCTGGTGATTGACTGATCGGCAATGCGACGCATACAGTAAGGAGGGATTTAATTCGCGAAGCGATCGAAGCGCGGCTGGTTGAGTGCTCTCCTAGTGGATGATCAATTTCCCGTGCAGAGATCAGCTTCCCTTTCTTGCGTCCTGGCCATTCCTGGCCATTGCTTATGGCTAGTCCAAGTGATCAAGGCTATTGCCAACAGCGAACCTACGGCTGGTTCAGGAACGCGCGCGTGTTTCTTTGTGATCACAGCAACATGAGCGTGTGGTTCAATCTGTTCACCCTCGGAGCTGTCGCGTCTAGGAACAGCTTTTGTATACGGTGCGTCGCGTCACCGCAGAACATACATCCAACAAAATCATCATTCTGCAAGAAATGGCTCGGTACGGAATCCTGCAAGGAGCTGTCAAATCAACGATGTAATATCGAAACACAATCTGGCATGGCTACATCCTACGGCAGGATTTCTACGGTGTCGCGATTCGCACGCCACCATTGCGCGCGTGCACAATTTTATTTCTCCACTCTGGCACTATCTCGCACCAAATTTTTTCGCGAGGTTGACATTAATTATTCAGCGCGTTATCGGAGCTGATTGCGGCTGACTCCGGTCTCGTCTGACAAAGCAATAGCAATACCGAGATGTGTGAGCTTTGACTTTTTTGATGGGACCCCAATAGCACAGCAATGCTTTGGAGATCTCGGATCGCTATGCATCGTATCCTATACATCTACTCTGGCCTCTTTTCATATATTGGAGCGCATATTCCCCGCCGCAAACTTGCAAGGTGGCTTGAGAGGGGTAGACGCCGGATGGCGTTATACCATTACTTGGGCCAGGCGCACGGATAATGTTAGTAGCTAAGGCTTCAGATCGGGATCGAGAGCGAGCTTGGACTGTCTGTCTCGTTGAATTTGGGGGCTTGGACTTGATCACGAGGAGACCGCAACGCGTATGCTGGATCTGTCTTGGAACCTGGGACAATCGCCACAGGCTACTGTTCGGAGAAGTGTCTGCCCTGTGTGAGTGCAAGATACTGCACAGCTCCTGGCAACGCATCTTTCACAGAGCATGCAACTTGGAGTTCTGAGAGCATCACCTATACCTCTCTATGCTAGTCGGGATGGGGATCGACCTCTGCTAATTGTAGAGCCTTGCGGGCCAACTATTAGTGTACGACTCAATTGCGGAGAGACTATCCAATATCGATACCAGCATCTTCCGCTTGCTCTCGGGGCACGATGCTGTCTCTACTATGGTATTCGGGGGTCCATCAGGGAAATGTCAGCGCTGATCTCGACGTTGCAGGGGTCCCAATCAGCTCCACGCCTGTCAATTCGCAAGACAGGGCAGGCCGGCCGGGGTCGTTTGACCAGCGAGCAATCTTTCTCCACTTTGTGCACATGGAGCCTGGATGTTGTGTGCCGCTAGCTTATGCTCGGGATGGCATTTCTTTGTTCTCTGGCAGCACCGCCATGGCAATTGATGCTGCAAGCCGTGGGAGGTGATGGGCGTGGCCTCTGTCTCATTAGAGCCGCTGGTCTTGACACTAACCTCCTGGACGGACAAGGCCAAAGCTACGAAGCGTGTCGAGTGGTGAGAGCGAGCATATAAGCCCGAATTGATTGATTGATTGCTTGCTCGGGAAAGGAAGAAGCAGAGGCAGTGGCCCGGTTCCTTACTTTGTTGGCGCCATCGCCTGGTGAGGTACGTCTTGCGCGCTAAGCCCAACTCAAACGTCTCATGCGCCGTCCGGGCAGGTGATTGACTGCGGGTGACCAGACTGGCACATTACTACTATTGTTTTGGTATAGTAGTAGTAGCCACTCGTCTTCTCCACCCAAATAGCTCCAGCTCACCACACTTTCTGGAATTCTGAGTCCGACAACCTCACTCTCCTTTTCTCTCTTCATTCTTTCACGGCTTCAATCCTTCAGAGGAGTGCATTTGCTTGCTTCAAAGAACCCCCCTGGATCCTGGCACCGCTGAGAGACCATCAACCCTGTAGAGAACACTTTCCCCGCTTAAGCTGCGCCGCATTCCACCACCTTCGAACTTTTTGTTCGGCTTCGTAACTTTCACCCGGGGATCACTTCAGCTCCAGCTCGAGTTTTAGTAGACGAAGTCACCTTCTACACGCTGGTGGCCTGGACCTTTTCCGTACGGAGACTGCCTTTCTATTACTTTTCTCACCACTGCGACCCTTATCAGGCTGTGCAACACCAACGCGGCATTTTTCGCCCGACCTCTACTTGGTCGAGCTCTAGAACCTCGGACCAACACCAATATATATTCGATCAATCCTCACTATGACCACCGCAAAGGTAAGCCTGTGGACAAATTGTCGACATGGAAGCATTGCTAATATAAATTTCCTGCAGGATGCTACGGCCAGACCGACAAGCCAACACAGGCCCTCTTTCGGATCTACGGCGTCGAGCCTGCCCCCGCATAAGTCGCGAACGCATTCACACTCTTTATCCATGGGCTCCTTGGGTGCCGCACACCGCGTGTCACGTAGAAAGAGCATGTCCTCATCCGCCCACAACAATGCAGCTATGGCTGCAGCAATGAAGGAGAAATTTCTCGAGACCAGCCGCCGGCCGTCCAAAGCCAGCCTCAGAGGGTCCAGCGCTGGTAATCACTTATCACCAGGCAGTCTCCCGCACGTTGGTAATGGTTTTGGGCCCTCCAGCTACGCAGGGGTCGGCGCCAAGACCAGCCCGGGAACCGCCATCACCGATGGTCCATCGCTGTCTGCTATGCCCGCAGGCGAAAAGGGCACGAGCAAAGCGCGGATACGTCGCGCAAGCGAAGGCTCGCGGAAGCGAGTGACCCACGGTGAATTGCGGTGCGAAAACTGTGGAAAAGGGTACAAGCATAGCAGCTGTCTCACAAAACATCTGTTAGTATACCTCGGACCCTTAACCCACATTTTCCTGAGACTGGCTCCCCTCCATTTCTCCTCAGCCCACTGGTCAATAATAAAGGTATGAATGTGTTTCACTAACGAATATAGTTGGGAACATACACCGCAATGGGGTGTGACTTCGAAATTGCTGATTTCCAAGCATCAACAAGTGCAAATGCTTGAAGCTGCATCTGTGCTCGTTGCCATGAACCAAGAACCTGAAGAGAGCAAGTATAGCGACCATTCGTCTGCTTCGCCGCCTGCTTCATCTTCAGACGCTAGAGAGGATAGTGTTAGCTCTACGGAGACCAGTCCGGGCCCTGAGACCTACACCGCGAGGAATCCCCACCGTTATAGTGGCGCCAGCAGTGCCTACTCTCACTCTTATCAGTCCGGTAACTCCATCTTCTCGGAAAGCGCTCCATCCCAAGGTTTCGCTTCTCACCACCGCCAATGGAGCAGTGACGGCCGCCCGACTACATCGGGAACGTCTATCGCCGGCTCCAATTACGGCGGTGATGATGAATCTGCCGACCTAGTTGCCGCTGTCAACCTCCTTAGCTGCAGCCAAGGCAGCAACAAAAGCGGACCGACTCTGCTGCCTCCGGATGTTCCACCCGTTCCACCTGTGCCTGCGCGTTACTTGGATAATGGAATAAACAGGCTCTCCGGAAGCCAAGCAACCATCACTCCACGCAAATCGCCCCTACCAGACCAGCGGGCATACTCGTGCTACCGTAACGACAGCAGGGATGTTCGCATGCGCGAGGATGACGACAGTGAAGACGATTTCGATCAGGGCCATGCAGCGCGAAACCGTGTCGACGAGCATGAAGATCTCATGTTCGGACGAATGGAAGAGTAGCCGCTACATCTCGCTCTCTGCTCTACATCACATTACGCAACATTAAATTAACATCACCATGAACGACGCAATTGGATAACTATGTTCTCAAAATATTCACATTGGGCCGGTGGCGCACCACAGTGGTCTGATTTGGCAGGCACTTATGAGAGGGGCGTGATAGTGCATCTGGATCTCTTGATATTGAAGCTGCCGATCGCATGGGTTTTCTTGCATGCTACTATATCCGGCTGATTGCACCTGCCTGATAAATGCCCGCGCATCAGCAGGCGCCCCTTTGCATCTGTTGTTTTCGTCATCTTGTAATCACATTCATGGCCGTTAAGTGTAGATGAAGGGAATGCATCTTGACGCTGCAGGACGACGTGACTATACGGTCCGTCTGCCTTCTGTACCAGCATCAACACCCGAGACTCGCCATCCCGTTAAAGCACACAATAGTTACGGGGCGGGTGTGTGTATATATAGAGGTGAATACCAGGCAAATAGTGTCGAAAATATATGATCTGTCCTTTTTGTGATGCACGATTCCTGGGGGTGTATTTTGTTGTCAAGACTGTGGCTTACGTTCTGATGGATCTGATGCAAGCAGGCATGCATAGCACCAGCTCGTAAAGCCCCATTTTTTTTATATTTCGGATCTGCTTGTTGTGATCGTTCCCTTCCGAAGTATCCATGTATATATGGGTAGTCATGATTACGGAGTGTGGAATTGTTATGTGCATTATGCGCGGATGTGGTGTGGTTTTGTATAGGTCGTGTTTCGTCCCGCTGTGCTAAACAATAACTGGGACATTTGACGTGCTGCCTGGTGAGACTCTGATCTCATGTGCGGGTCAGGGATTTGGGAGTTCAAAGATGGATATCGCCGGGTCGGTCAGTCAGTCTGCCAGTCAGTCAGTCAGTCAAGGGCATGAGGATGCCTACAGGACGAGTGAGATTGTCGAATAAGAGCGTGTGTAGTAGAGAATAGCTGTCTTTGTCTCGGGTCTCCGGGATTCCAGACTCCAGATGCCAGGGATAGATATATGTATATATATAAACACATATAAGACCTTGCGGTACATGTGCCCCTTAGCGTCCCAGCCTTGAGTGCAAACCTCGATTCACACCCAACCTTCCCGTCCTACGTGACCTACGTGCCGTTGTAAATTGAAGTCATTGACACGCGTATGCGGCGTTCGTGGTGTTTACACGCATCCATGTGCCTGACCTGCATGCTCGACACTTTAAACTGGTATGGTACAGGTTCGCATGCTGATGTGGATACGAATATACGAATGCGGATGCCGGGTCCGCGAACCACGGGCCGTGAGCTATGCAAGACGGAGCCATATCAGCATGGAAATCGCGTGGCGGGTATACCGTTGTGTGGTTTTTTGCCGTTTCGTGCCCCTTGGTATTGTTGCCGTCCGGTGTGCTGCCGTCCCGTATCCTGCCGGGCCGCCCCACAACGGAAGCTATTGCAATTTGGCCTGGTGTTTGGTTTCTAGGGGACTTGGAATGTGCGACTGGAAGTTTGGGTTGCGAGGTGAGAGAGATTGATAGGTTGTATTATGCTATGAGTGATAGAGCCTTGTGGACGGTAGCCTGGAAGGAAGAGGAGCCCGCACTGCTTTGTATCTCTGGGCTTGACTGGCATCGAGGATTGGAGAATGTTGATGTCGTGGTGCGTTTTTGTGAAAGGGCAAATCAACGTGAGGGCTCGTGTATGAATGGACTGTGCATCTTCGATACAGCTTCTGTCTCTGAAACGAAACGCTGATGTGCTGGCTACTCTGTTATGTGAGATTCTGTGAAGGCGAACAGATCTGAAACGCAAAGAAAAGCACGGATCGTGGTAGGCCATAGGGTTCGTTAGCCGACTAATCGAGCGTACGCGATTTCGGCGGTCCAAGGTCATTTCGGAGCTGCAACAAACGACTGCTACGCAGTATATGTCTCGAGTGAAGTTAGAGATGACGAGTTGTTGGGTTGCTACACTTTGTGCGGGTCTCGTGAACTCGTTAAGTTGTCTGTCTTCGTTACCAGTCTGAACGAACGTCTCGAGCCGGGGTGAAAACTTCTGCGACTGTGAGGATACACTGTTAAGATGCCTCCTTCACCACAAGTATGAAGCATCATCGGTAGAGTATTGACGACGCATCGCCATGAATCATGGTGCCTAACCTCCATATAATCAGCAATCTGCTAAAGAGATATTACCTTTACACTTCTTATGAATCTCACTCATAACACAGTCACCATGAGCTTCACATTTCTAAGATACTTTAACCCTTTCCACCTCCTCTCAACGACGACTCGGACTACAGATCTACCAGAGAAGCCCGATTCAAAGCCACCAGCTTCACAAAATGCGTTGTCATTTGCTATGAGCAGGAAAGACTCGGTATTGAGATTGGCTATGCAGAGGAATATCCTGCCTAGGTGGATCTACCAGACCCGAGCTGGCGGATTGCATGAGCTGCGCGTACAGAAAGCGCTTGTAAGTTCGCTAGCCCTTTCAAGCGCATCAGAGACGAGTCACTGACACAATCTTATGCCGACAGGAGGAAGTGTACTCGGATATGACAAATCGCTTTGGTGTCGAGGCAGCGTTTGCAGCACGTTCTGAGTGGCGGTTCGACTACGAGAGCGAGCGGTGGTGGCTGTACTTGAACGTTCCAAAGACGCAAGGATGTTCTCATGGATCTCAGAGAGAGAGTCTAGGAGGTGAGCGTTGTTGAAGACATGGCAGGCCCGTAGAGAGGAGAGCTGACTGACGCTCAGATGGATATGCGGTACCTTTGTCACTGCCAGCCTGGTGTTTGCCCCATGGTGAGAAAAAGCAGGTTGAAGTGCAGGAGGCTGCTTGGGAGGGGGAGTGGGCGTTGATCAATCCAAGGTGGGAAGCTGATCAGGCGAGGAAGCGGGAAGAGAATGAAAGGAAGCGGATGGCCGACGAGAAGGAGGCTGGTAGGGTCGGGGTCGCGTGAGGCTGACTGCTCCTGCTTGCTTTTCCTCGCTCTTGAGCCTTTAATATCTATCCTTTCGATGATTCGTATGTTAACTTCTGGTCATGTTCACATGTTAGACTTCTCAGAACGACAGTATTTAGTCGCAATGAGAAGCCAGTGTCAATACCTATGGCCTGTGGATAATTGATACACGTCGCTCAACGAAACAGTCGAAGTAATGAATGACGCCATACATGATAGCTTGCCACACAACAGCGCCTCTAAGGATGACGTTATAGGCCCTGCTGGTATCATGTCTTCCCGTGAATTGAATCTAAATCAACGCGGACGGGTCTTCATCGAGTCTCGCGACTGGTATCCCGGATCTCTCCTGAATCAGAAATGAACCAGAGCAGGAGTGCATAAGCGCCGGATGGGCCCGATCTTAGTCACAGTATTTGAGTTGGGTATTGCAGGTCATCGTGGAATGTAGTAGCTAATGCATCACGGCCCGATGAACAGAATAGCGTGATCTCTGGATGGATAGATGGGGTCCGAGGGCTGGTACGAACGCGATGCGGCAAATGGTATTCTTGATAGGGTGATCCCTGAGTACGAAAGCAAAGATGGAAACATGAGGCTTGCGAGATTGCAGGTCATCTGAGCAAGGAAACAGAACGCATGGACTTGGACAAGAATGGAGATATCTAAGACGAATAGAAAGATGAAAGTCAACACTTGGCGAGCTAGTTGGGGAATGAGAGACGCGTGACCTGAAGTTGGCTGGCTAGCAGTCTCCGGGAGAAAAGTGAGTGCTGGCCAGTACAGGAACGAAGTTGAAGCAGCAAGGTGATGAACATTGCTCTCGCGGATCAGAAGAGCTGGAGATGTGGAGACGGGATTAAAGCGAATATGCATCAAAGCAAGGTTGTACTCTGAAACATGGGGAACAAAGGTAGCGTACACCGTAGATATGAGTCACAATGAGGCCTCAGGCTAGCCAGCGAGACGTGAGTGCGAGGTGCAGATGGTGAAACACGCGCAACGACGGCTCTCGTGGCGCACGCGATCGTGGACGTGTATGCTTGTAAATATGTAGCTGTATGTTTGTAATATAATTATATAATAGTAGTTGTACTTGTAGCTGTGACTGTGTGTGGTACGGTGGTGGTACATCGTGGTGTTGTGACGTCGTGCCGGACTTGGGCTCCTCACCGCATCGTTCGAGTGGCAAGATCATCATAACAATAATGTATAGCAGACGCATCGGAAGGAGGCAACAGAAGGGCGCGTGACCCTGGAGTGACAGTAGTATGATTTATAGTAGGAATTTGAGCATCTGTGCCATCAGTTCACGATGTAAGTGTTATGTAGGTAGGTATTGATTATTATGTATGTAGTAAGGCGTTGTGTCGGCTTCTGTCGGGCATGAACAGAAATGCATCCCTGCAAAGCTGAGGGTGGATAATTCAGATTCTCGAACAGGTTAGCAGACTGGACGATGCATCTGGCGCCGAGTCATGCGTTAGAGTATGGTAAATCATGACTACAGTATGTCTGCATGGTAAAACACGTTGAGCCAGTTGGTCGGAAGCGCCGCACTGCAAACTCTCGCACGTTTAAGGATCCATGGAAGCGAACATCTATCGATAACAAGCCCCACATCTACCATGCACGGCCAGACCACGTTCAACCACATACAATCTGGGGTTCGTGGTCGTAATTGTGGTCATGGTTGTGGTCATAGTCGTGGTCATAATCATGGTCGTGGTCCCCGTTTGACAGAGGCGAGAGAGCCAGCAATGGAGTGGCTACTGTCATCCGGGTTTTCCAGAGACGACCTGGGGCATGACGCAACACCGAAGCCTGCAAGCGCCAGTACATACAGTAGATGGTATGACATCAACTGTAGTGGCGGTTACGGTGATGCCCAAAGTGATGATTCCGTTGCATCGCATGACATGGCCTTGCATCGCATCGCAGCGCATCACAACCGCTTCATCATTGTGTTGTTACATTCATCATTGCGGACAAGGCGAGATCGACAGACAGCCTGCGCCACACAGCACGATGTTGGGAATCGTCCAAGGTAAGAGCCGGATCTGCCGCGTGGCTGTGTGGCTGTGTCGCGCTTAGCTGGAACAGGCACGAGCACGAGCATGAGCACAGACGTCAAAGCGATCCATGCGTCCTCGTCGTTGGAAATAACTCAATTGTCTTGTGTTGGTGGCTAGGTACGAGGCAGATGGAGGATCACGACCGACCTCAACACGGCTCGTCATTATTCTGTTTTCCAAGCAACAACTTCATATCAACTATCAATTAGTAAACTGGATCGGGAACAGGAACAGGAACGAGAAGATGACTTTGAGAGGAGGTTTACCCTGGGGGGAGCGGGTGCTTCATGACCCCAAGCGAAAAAGAACTCAAAAGGTCAAGAGGGCAAAAGTGGCACGGCCTCCCACAGCCGAGCGTCCCCCTGTCTACGGCGTGTGATTGGCTGGATGTTTTTGAGCCTAGTTTTGGCCGCGAGAAACGTCAACCTGTCATCCAGCTTTTCTCTTCTCTCTCACCGTCGCGTCCCTCACACCATCCCGCACCATCAAACATTGATGATGATACTATCCCAATCCGGTAGTCTGCGCCGTTTTGCTATCCTCGCTATCCTCTGAATGCTTCGAGAACCGCCCTCACCATCCCTGCCCAGACTCCGTTTGGTTCGCAGACCGACCACTCCACCCCAGATCTGCGTGAGCCACCATCTTCGGCTCTTCAGGGGGCAGAAGAAGGAGATGAGAATGGAGATGGAAATCAAGATGAAGATGAAGATGAAGGAGAGGAGGATGAAGAACAGACGAGGCCAGATGAGAAATGGCTTGATGATGGCTTGTTTGCTATACTTCCTCGGCCCTTCCCTCAGCTCCCCCATGTCGTCCTTGGCTTTTATTCTCTCCTCCTTACTCGTTGCTCCTTACTCCTTAGACGTTAGGCCCTTCGCATGCATGTCTTGTTTACACTGTAGATGCTCAATCTGGTTGTGAGTAGACGCATACCTCCAAGTGTCAGCTTCCATCGCTGCGGCGTCGCGGTAAGCATCGTAATTTCTTGCATGCAGACCTTTGCGCGAACCACGGGACGGAGCAGGCCATACACTCGGAGGGAGCCCTTCCCCCTTCCTCCTAGCAGAGACTACTCATGCACCTCTGGACAAGTCTGACTCTTTCACCCACAGCAAGCCTGGCCCGTCCGTCCAGCGTTCCTCATGCACCGCTGACTCCTCTGGGTAAATGTAGCGAAAGAGAAAAAAAAAACGGCGCTGGAAAGAAGTGGAGCCTTGGAGAGAGCAGTAGTACTGTAGCAGTGCGTGCAGCGCAGTGCCTCTAAAAGTTTAGTCGGCACGCGCGCCACCACCACCTTGACCCTCTCGCCCATCCATCAGATTGCCCGATTTAAGAGTCCTACTATCCCCACCCCACCTACACTTCCGCCTCTACCCTACTCACCTCCCTCTCCGCCATCCTCATTCGCCATCCTTATTTTCTACCTCTTGTCAAGGCCTCTATAATCCTCACCTTGATTCAACTACACTTGACTTCTTCCCTTTATTTTTTTTTTCTTCTTTTCGTTCTGCTCCCAGTCTGAATTTCATCGTCGTCGCCACTCGTCCCACTCTTCATCGCATCTGATATCAAGTCTCGCCACACACACTCCTCTCTCGCACACACATTCGCAATGCCGGTGTCGTTACTACCTGCCTCCGCTGCTGCCTTTGCTCCGCGTTCAGCTCCTACCGTCGTCCTGAACACAAAGGTGGAAGCCTGGTTGACACAGACGCTCAAGAGAGTGAACCGGGTGAAGCGGCCGCTGAATTCGGCTCCACAGCACTTTCGATGTCTCACCGAAACACTGTCTGGTCCTGCAGCCATCTGGTCACTTTGCTCCATCATGCTTCCGAAGGCTCCTGATTCCGAGTTACGCAAAGACTCAAATCCACTGGTCGAGGCCATGTTCAACTACCAGCTCATACATATTGAGGCATACGTCGTACACGTCGACATGGTATCACAACATGAGGTTGCATTCAAGCTGACCCAGGACACTATCGACTCCCTGATCGAGTACCACAAGGACATCTACTCCGTCGACGTCTCTGCCTCAACCTGGTCCTGGGCCGAGAAGGAGTCCCAGCTGAAGAAATTGCAAGAGGAATTCGTGCAGTCCATCAACCGCTACGTTTTCCGGACCGGAGTGCGCGCATTGGAAGGCCTGGAAGAAGATGGTGCCGGCGAACTGCTCGAAGGGAGGGCTGAGGACGTCAAGAATGCCATCATGGGTCTCTTCCTTCCATTGTTGCCGCCCCCGCCACGGATCGTCGATGTCGTTCGCCCGGCTGCTGTTCTCCCAAGCTCCCCTGCCGGGAACAACTGGTGGCAACCGACGGAGGTCATGCAACACCAGCAACACCCCGTGCAGATGGATTCGTGGAAAGTCCTACCTTCGACGCCTAGTCCAACCATCACTACTTGCAGCGACCCTCAGTCTACCTTTTGGTCCTCAATGGTCATGAACGATGCTCAACTGCCGTCTCCAACTCCATCATTCAGCCAACCGTATACAACGGAGAGTCATTATTGTAGCTCGCCTCCAGCAATGGCTCCGATCCCGTCTCTTCCACTCCCTAGCGTCCTGGCTCAGCAGTGCGGCACCAGTGCCATCAACTCGAGCTATCACGGTAGCTATCACAGCTACGGATGGTCGAACGACTTCACTCCACAATACGCTACCGGCTACTGATCACGTGGCATATTTTGCCCTCTATGCCCCACTCACTCCACGGACGGCCTCTTAATCCTTGCCTCAGATGCGACGCCTGACACGAGACTCACCGATACCGATGCATGACGCGATGCCGCCCACGGCTTCACTAAAACCCACTGGGACGGCGTTTCATCAACATTTAGCGACTTTGATGTTTTTACAGCTTGGGAATACCTGGAGAGACCGTATATTCGGCTCCGTTATTTCATTATATTTGCTTTGTCCATCTGTCTTTTAGCGAGCGTTGTATTTTCGTCTTATGTTGTTCTGTCTTCTTGTTGCATCAGCGCTCGGGGCAGGCATCCTCCACCTTCGTTTTTCCATTACGGCATCTCTGGGAGGTACAGCATTTGTGAGCATTTTATAAAGACGGAACAAAGGCCTCACGGCTGCGGGTTTTCTCCTTTTGGTCGTTTTGGACGGATTTGTGCGCAAAGCAACGCTGCTACATGCCATCGAGTTGAGTCTACTCCTGGTCCATGTAGTATCCGTCAGCTTGCGCCACCGTTCTGTCTTACCCGGACCCGGGCATTGACTGCTCGGCTGGACATTCAGGGAAGGCGGCGACGTGCGCACGTCGTTGGCTGCGGGTCTGCCAGCGCGTGTGTTTGTGCTTGTCCACGCCACATACGATCCACGAAGGAGGCGATTCAGGTGATCAGAGCTCAAAGCCAGAGAAACGGTCTGCTGCGTGCGGCGGGCTTAAGCACTCTCTGGCGGGCTCATTGGATCTGGTCTTGTGCTCTCGCGGGTATGTGGTGCGTGGACATGGACATAAATTTAGACATTGGGTATATTCCTCCCCTGTCGGCCCCTCGAAGATTCTGTTGACTGGTATGCGAGATCATCCTGTCGAGAGTCTTGGTCGGGCTGTCTCCGATTGATTCGGAGACTGGAAGGCCGGAAGCAGGCATTCCGGTCGATACACCACAATATACAGATAAACTTAATAAAAGAAGATCTGAATGATGACATGATGAAGTTCCTATGTTCTGTCTTGATGCCACGGCTCCCTGTGTAATATAATTCAAGGCATATATGCTGTCTTCGTGTGATTCGCGATACTGCATACTGTACATCATCCAGTCACACGCGCGATTGCATGGTCGGGCCCCGGGACGCGCTACTCTACGAGCTATTACTCGATATCGGGCTAAAGGGTAGATAACGTCAATATTAACAATGTTACTCGGTTCAGAATGCAGGACGACACAGCCCGTGTTGGTAGAATGACATTATCTGAAGGAGATGTTCGCACAATCCTGGCCAGATACCCAGTGGCTGTGCTATTATTATTAATAGTTGACGGTGTTTGAGGCCGTGTGTGGGGACAAACCCGAAAGACCCGGCGCCCGCCCGTGAACGACAGCATGACTACTGCTACTACTACTACCATCACTGTGAAAGACCTCTCTATCAGATGCAACTCCGCACTCCTCTACACCTCCTCGCCATGTCTTAGACTTTATCCCCTCTTCCAACCGAGTCAACACACCCTCTTACCACGCCAGTCTCCCCCTGCTTCCAACAAGCTATGGAGACTGCTCCGATGAACCGGGCGTCTAGCCCAGTCGCTTCTGTACGTGACCCCGGCGCTCCCCGACCTCTGCAGTCACCGTGCAAGTCAATCTGCAATATCTTGGTATGCTTATGACTTCATTCTAGCGCCTGGAACATCGATCGAGTACGCCTTCGTATCTGACCGCCTTGCGCGGCTTGGAAAACCCGGTTTCCAGCTCTGTCCTCAATATCGCCGACACCCTCACCACCACCTCCGCCGAGGACGACGTCGTTGCCGATAACGTTCGCTTTCTGCGCTCACCTGTCGATCCGCAAGAAGAATGGAGGGCAGAGAATGCTAGGGAGGAGACTACTAGAGACCGGCAGCGCACGGTATTGGAACACCGAGCAGAAGAGCGGGAGCGGAGGGAGCGGATGCTGATGGTAATGACCCGGCTGGATGGTTTGCGGAGGCAAGATTCGTCCCAATCCTCATACAGCGACCGTGTCCCAAGTCAGAACAGCCTGTACGACTGGTCGCCTGCTAATGATGAGGACGAACTTAATGCTTTAATGCAAGGTTTGCGGCAGCAGCAACCCACCACCAATCCAGAGATTCTACGTTCCATGGGACGTTCGCACCTGGAATCGGAGCGTCAGTCACAAAACCGCGCATACAACACCTCCCGATTTCTCAGCTCGACACAGCCTTCACATTCTTCTGAGAGTTCGCTGCGGGCCACAGCTATCGTCCAGTCTGTTCGTCGTCATCCTCGTTTCTCGGATCGCTCTCGACACTACATGCAGCGACACACCGCCGATAGAGAACAAGCCCAGCGGGCCGCTGCGGACAACGACATGCCTGCAAGAAACTCTACCTTCAGTCCTCGCATTCCTGCCGTAACGATCCCAAGAGACCTCAGTCGATACGAGCAGAATAGGAGATCCTGGCAGGCTGAGCAGACCCGTACGCCTGATTCGCAGGCCGAATCAGACAGACTACGGAGTTCTGACAGTACTACTCGACCCCCGGTGGACTCATATAGGCGAACCTATCTCGAAGATCCGATCGTAAAGCGTAAAGCCTCACCACCTACGCCATCTCTTCAGCAAACAATCAGATACCTTTCAGGCCTTAGATATTGCCAGTCTTATGAAGAAAGTCTCCACTGTGCCGCTGAAGCGGGCTTCCCAACTACGAACTTAGCTGGCGATACCGTCGAAGTGCACAACGACTTCCTCCTTCATCTATCCTGCATACCCGAACCTGCCGAAACCTCGTGGCTTCGACCAGGCGCCGTCCTCGGAGGCCATCAGCATGCTACATCGGCGACGTCGGCTCCAAGCACATCAGCACGACCACCGACTATTTCACGACTCCCGAACGGCAACATTGTTTCAGATTGGTTGCATGTCGCCGACGATTCCACGCATCCAGTCTCGTCAACAGCTTCTTCTCGTCCAGATTGGCCTGCTGCTCTTCACCCCAACCACACCCCCTGGAACACTCGCAACAACGATCTTCCACCGCACGCTCGCCGTGCCGTCGACCCTATCGCTCGCCAGATATCTACTGCTTCTCTGTCCCGACAAACAGCTGCCGCAAACATCGCCCGGCTACATGCGCCTCCTCTCCCAACCCAAAGCCAAGACAAAGATAAACTCCAAGACTGCTGGCCCGTCGACGTCAGCATCCACGCTGTCGACTATAAAACACATAAGATCTCCGCCACAATGGACGCATATAACGTTCCGGCGCTTCCAAATGCAATCACTGGCGTACGCTCGCCCGCGCACAGCATAACAACCTACCTCGAGGGCGAGATCCTGAACCTCCGGGACATTGGCTTTCTGACGGAGAACTTTCCGAGCAGCGCAGAGACAGACGCGGTGTATTGGAGCAAGTTACCGCCCTTCAAGGACTACACAGAGTCTGAGCTCGTGGAGCGACTTACAAGCAAAACCTGGCTGCGCACAACAGGCGAACAGTTTGTATTTATGCGGTGGAAAGAGCGATGTTTCGTGTCTCGGACGACGGAAAACAACTCCCCTGAATGGATGACGCAAGATCTCACCCTTCCTGCATCAAGAAATTGGTATCAACGCCGCAATATAACGCCCAACACCAACCCAGCTGGAAGTGGCTACACGACTAGCTATGCCCCCTTCCCAGACGGCACAGAACACTGTGGGTTGACTATCTCGGGCTTTTATTATGTGTCTCTGCGGCTCAGTGACGGTCACGTTGAGGGGCTATATCATGACCCGCAAAGCTCGCCGTACCAACATCTGACGCTGGAAAGCGAGAAACATGGTGTTGGAGGAGCCTGGGGATTTCGATGAAGGGCGAACGACCAGGACAGGGGCGAGAGAGAGAGAGAGAGAGAGAGAGAGAGACGAGATACCTTGGACAGATTGCTGACGGATCGCTTGCTTGCCTGCTTGTTCTATCTATCTATATACGCTGCCCTATACCTATTACCCCCTATGCCGGTAGGGCGGGAGCCCTGCACGTACCATTTATACCGATCATCTATCAATCACCCCCCGGCGTGGGGTTCATTGGGCTCTTGGTTGTTCTTTCTTCTGACTTACTTGCCCGGGGAATTTGAGGGCTAGACATGGTGTGCTGGGACGGACGGGATCATGGATGAATGGATGTATGGACGGATGGGCAGATGGTCCGTGGCGTTTAGTTGTTCTGCGTCGTCATGACTAAGGAGAGAAATAGAAGACTTGTGAGACGTTGGTGAATTTATGCGCGAGTGCTTGTCAAAGTTACTGCTTGCTGCTGCTGGTGCGTATGCTGGGACAGCAGTAGTATTATTTTGTGTAGATCCACCCAACTTGCTTTTCACTTTGTGTCGTGCTTATCCAAGTAGAGGCCGGCGAACATGGATGGAATAGAATGGGTCGAAGCACGAAGGGAATGAAAAAGGGAAGCGTACCCAGCATGGTCCAGTATAACGATTTGGAAATGAGATGGAATAGGATGGGATGAGGGTGAGTTCTGATCCAGATTTTAATTCAAACAAGCTAGAGTAGGGATCCTGGAAGAGGGAACATGACTTCGTATTGGTACCTAGAGGAGTAAGTAGATAAGTAAGTGATGTAGATGTAGATGGATATATGTAGAATAGATGTGCTGTTGTCTAGTTGGTATGCGGCAGATGAAGATAATCAGCGGGTTTAGGACGACAAAAGCTCAGAGCCACAGCGCTTGGGCGCTCCTACTAGATTAGATAGACACCGACAGTGTCAAACGAGGGGAAGGTTTCGGTGAGACTCTTAAGAACGAGGAAAAGTTGTGTGTCTGTTTTGTCCCCCGCACCTAATTAGCTACACTTCATCCCAGCATGTATATAGACCGTTATAGTACCTCTTTTATGTCTCTAGAGCTATACCAATGGAGTAGCCAGACATCTTCCTAGGGATCTTGACGCAAAGAATAAACCGTAGACCCAAGTAGACCTGCACGATTAACGTATCACTGTTCGTGCATGTATTCTCCTGTTCCGTGGCCTACGGCTTTGCCTCGAGTATCATACTTTCATACGTACACACACATACACATATACACAAACAAACACGCATCCCATGTCAGTCACGCACAGACTAGACTCAGACCCCTCTTCATAACACGAGCTCAAGCTCAGCATTCACAATACCTAACATCTTTCTTTGAACTTCACCTCTGTATCAGAAGTCGACCTGATTCATAAATGGTTGTGCGATGAAGGCATGTACTACAAAAGTCTCCTTTTCCGTCGCATCACCACGGGCTTAAGTGTTGTTCGAGTGCAGCTTTCAAGGGGCCGGGATGCTATTTTTCTGACTTGGAGCTCATAATTTATGGATGGTTAATTTGATGATAGGAATCAAGCAAGCTCGAATACATGGGTCGCAGCTTCAGACCACCCCTGATGCGGGTGTCCGGCTTTGTGTCGGGACGGACATGCTAAGACATGCCCCTTGGCAATGACACCGAAGAGGAGATTCGAGATCTTCATAGTTGGAGGCAGAGCTTCCACTGATCAATCTATGATATCGAGAATTATAGCCTCGCTAGACGAGGTTGTTTCTCACACACCATCCATCTTTCTTTGAGCTCTCATGGTTCCATAATAGATTCCTGCTATCTGACCACTTAGACATCAACCGTGACTCTAGCACCACTCGCCGCATCCAAGCCTCTCAAACCATTGATCCCATCTTCATCACTTTTGAGAAATCCACTAACAATACCTTCGAGCGTCCGACTGCTGCGGTCCTCGACCCCAACCCAGTGCCCAGCGTTGTCAATCACCACAACTTGACTATCCCGTGAAAGATACTCCTTCATGCCCTCTAGAGCGACTGACGGATCAAAAGCCGGATCCTGAAGTCCATACACGATTGTCGCGGGAGCCTTGGAGATGATATTGTTAGTAAACTTTCAGTGTTTCCGACAACGGATTTTCTGGTGATTACCTTCAGTGCACCCTTCGGCGCCGAGTCGAAGAGCCTGCCAGCATTCGACGACGACCGACGGCGTCCAGTAATATTCTCGGACGTCTTACAATTGGGACCTCTCGAACCTTCGCCATCAAGCTGGTTCAGCGCTACAATGGTCTCGAGACTCTTCTCCCAGCGCTTATTGGGTAAGCCATGGCGGTAAATACGCAGCTTCGTATTCCAGCCTCCTTCAGGTACCCGGCGCGCAACGTCCGCAGGATACCCATAATCTTCAGCATATCCAGTACACTGTCCTAGGCCGGGCCCTAGGCTGCAAGCCATAGCTTCGGCACTAAATTCGGGGGTAATAAGTGGCGTGTAGCTACTGCGTAGGTTGTCCTTGCCTGTAAAGGCGAGGCGATGCATTAGGCGCAGAAACCAACTGTCACCCATACGACCGATCCACGCGGTTATCGGCAACGGTAGGTTGAAAGCAAAGATATAGCCAGAACGCTCGAGTTGCGTGCCGAGCGGGGCGAGATTACTGAGAGCGGTCCGGAGCAAGCGCAGATTGCGACCAGGTGATTTAAGAAATGTTGAGAATAGGCGGCGGGAGGTTTGGATGCGATTAGTGATATTTGCTATGGAAAGCGTCGGCTGTTTAGGGTCAGACTTAGAGCTTTGCATTGATGTGTTGTCTGACTCACATGTAAGACACTGCATATAATGAATCTGTCCGCTAATTGAGGAGCTTCGGCTGCGAGTCTGAAGCCAATAACTGACCCCCAATCGTGGGTCACGATGATGACTCGCTCAGGATCGCTGTCAATAAAGTATTTCTCTCTCATGCCAAGAATGAACTCGGACAATGCTTCTAATACAGGCTCTGCGCTCATACTTGGAAATTCATCGCTGCCCCCATAACAAGGAAGATCCGGCGCAACCAGAATAGAGTCCTTGGAGAGTTGGGGAGACGCAATCTGCTTTCTCCAAACGGCGTATGAGTCAGGGAATCCTAGAGGTCATCAGCTTACAATGACTAAAGCGGAGCGAATCTTGAGAAGTACCATGGATGAAAACTATAAGGTTCTTTTTACCAGCAGCAGAAGAAGGGATTTTCTCAACATAATGGAGCCTTTTACCGTTACGCAGCTTAAAGAATTGATGTGTGGCCCCAAACGGCTTATTATCGAGACTCCAATACTTTTGTTGAACTGCGCTCTTGTCAGCGAACCTGACGACTGCTTGGTTTTGCCACGTACCGTGTTTCAAGAGTTCCTTGTCTTTTTCATTCGGCCGTCTCAAGAAGCTTCCATCCATAGTCGCCAGCACGACAAACATGCCGAGCACGAAGAGCCCATAGACATTCGCCAATAGACGCAAGAACCAGTGCTTCACGAGCCAATCCATTGTGTTGCTCAGTATTTCCGCAGATCGGAGAAGATGTAGCAATGCTTGTTTGGGTATGAATTGTGTGTATAGCTAATTGGAACTAGAAGCGCAAGGGTACAGGGCATGTCACTAGACCACGGCTGTCGACCGAGCAGCAGCACCTTTGTGAGCGCAGAACCAAAATTTGTATGAAGGTTGACACATGTGACACCCGAGAACCGAGCTTCGCAACAATGACTGGATATGGTCTAGAGATTGCTGGGGTCTTGTTGACGCCAGTCTGTGAAGAAGAGGTCGAAATAAGCTCACAGTAGCTCCAATGCCCAATGACGCTATCAATTCTGACTCTGTAGTAAATGAATAACGAAGGCCTTCGCTTGCTAGGGGTCGTTCAATACCTCAAAGCTCCGCTAAACAGCTAGCCAGAGCGTTGTCCGATTTTCGTGTGCGGGAGCAAGACGCTCGAAAGAAAGACCACGTTGGCCAGAGAGGAAGACGGACAGCGCGGGCTCATATACTCGCAAAACTATGACGTCGGTTGTTACACCTTAGGACGCACTTTCGCAATCCCTAACGGAAAGATCAACCTCCTTACACACGCACCCCGCCATTGCCGATCGTGATGGTCCATTTGGCCATAGACCAGGTGCCGGACACTTCTGGGCAGTACTTCACGCTAAGTCGGCTGCAAAATCTCCGCTGAAAATGGACAGGTGTTGACCATTGTCATATCAAGTACGAGTTGTGGAGGCATGTCTCGTTTCGCGCAAAATAAGTGATACAGTGCAGCCCGAACGAGGTTTTGTCGGTAGCCAGCGGAGCAGATAATGGATTCGGCCTTTTGAGGCATTGAAATATGGAACGCCAGACGAGGCTTCTTCTTCTAAAATGGCTCATGTGAGCCATGAGATAGATGAGATGACTATATGCTTCGAGAGACATGTGGTTCTTGATTGTCTTTAGCTCGGTGTGCCAATATATTGAATCAATCGTCCGCCCAATGCACAAAACATGCTGTCGTATATCTAAGTGCTATCTGAAGCGAGCTTCGAACTAATCCTGTCGCTTGATAGTCTCTCCATCTAAAGATCGAAACGCCGCCCAATGCTGAAATCGAATAGCAAAATGAATATATGTTACAATGTCAGGCACTCACGGGCCGGGGTATCCTATATTCTCACGATCGTCGTCAATGACTCGTCCATATCTAAGCAGTCGTCAGTAAGCATTCCGTAGTCGTGCAAGGTAGGCATCCTACTCAAGAAGTAACCTAAAGAACCAAACCTCGATATCTTCGTTACGGAGCGCCTTTCCTGCCCACTTACGTCCCTGTGAAGCCATTAGGGGCGCTTGCTCCTGGCCCTCTGATTCTGTTGTGAAGTAACGCAGAATCTCGAGCCACTCGTCACCACGGAGAGATAGCGGTATATAATGTACCCAAGGCTTGATCCAGTCCCGATGCCATTCTTGGAAGATTGCCATTTTGTAGGTCAGTGAAGTGCTCTCTAGGAAGGCATAAAATCGTCCACTGAAAGCATTACCATCAATGTCGAGGAGATGCTTCCACTTCCATGCGTCCTGGGGATCTACACGCTCTACGACATCGAAGAATTCGATTTGTGCATCGCAGTCGGCTGGGTCGCACTGCCCAACATGTGAGAAATGGATGTCGACGAGTTCTTTGTATTCGCTCCTCTTGACCTCCTTTCTCTCCCAGTGAGGTGCATGCTCACTTCCCGTGTTTGTGAGTATTTCGGCTTTATCAAGTCCGTTCATCTTGCGGACAACATGCTGACGATGATGACGCCTCCAACCTCCATGGCGACTGTACCCTCCAGTAGTAGATCCACGCCAATATATTGCATTGGATTTTTCTTCCCACTTTACGTCCTTGTCCTCCTCAAAAGTCACTTTGTGCTTCCAGTACCAGGGACTAGGGTAGACGATGTCTTGGTAGCTGCTGATCTTACTCTGAGAAAAGATAGGAAAGAGCTCGGTGGCTATATTGTATGCATTCGGACAGTCGAAGAAAGCATGCGTAGTCCGAAGAGATGGAAAGTTACAAATATCGCCAAATGCAGTCGTATTGTAGACAAAACCCATGTTGCCTAGTGCGTAAGAGGTGAGATTGTCCATAGATACCTCTTCATATTGTTGCGCTGGGCTATTAGGTGAGCAAGACATTCTTGAGTGCGTCCACGTGGCTTGATGAGCGAATTGGTTGAATCGTGTGAATGCAATAGGTTCGATACGTTTGCCTTCGCTCATGTCTCCTGGTCTGGGTGAAAATGCATTTTTTGGTGAGCTATTGGCCAGGGCCTTTGGCATGCGCTCATTCAAGGCGACATCTACAAGGCGAGAGAGACGGTCGTGAGGAACGACAACTCGAGGCTCATCATGAATATTGAACGCCAGGTCCATGTCAGGTAAGTGTTGTACAAATGCTTCCATCATACCGACTGTAGCTTGTTGCTGCCATTCTTCTCCCCGGTCGACCTTGACAACTGTCCCTTCACGTACCAATACTCCAAGCACGAAATTTTCATCATGTCCAAGTACCTCTCTGGCCCGTGCTCGGATTGTTGCGGGCTCTAATCCCCAGAACGGAGTCATTGATTCATGGATGTTATCGAACTCATCGATGAGCTGTACTCCTCTCCTTGTTGCGTACTCATACCATCGATCGAAATTTGGCGGCGGGCTGATCTTGTATCTCCGTTTGTACTCTGCTACAGCCGCACCTAAGGATTTAGACTGTCGATGCAGAAGGGTTTGAAAATCTGATGCAGAGTTCTTGATCAATTGATCGACAGGGTGTACATCCGAGGTTCCGATTTGCATGGGCTGCAAAGGCTTCTCAGGATGTTCGAACGCAAATAGAGGTTCGACTGGATAGCTAGTGCCTAAGAATGCCTTGTGAATATGGTTTACGACAGCTAGAGCCAAGGTCGTTACTCCGAGAACCGCAATGAACTGTCGGAATCTTCGCCGCAGTCTTCCATTCGCGGTGTTGAGGCTCGAAGGCCCCATGTCATAGAGATAAACAACAATAGAAAGGCCGCTGCAGATAGTAGTCCAGCTATTCCATGATGAGAACCCAGTCGCCAGACGGGCCATCAAACAGGCGGAGAGGGACACAAAACTCGCGAGGAATGCCCCTGAGCGGCGGACCTGTTCCAAGGCTGCGGTTAGCCTGGAAAATACTCCTTCGTAAGACTCCATAGGGACCAGAGCCGAATAGATAAATAGCTTACCGTGGCAAATAGTAGGGCATTCTCGATGATGCATATGAAGACCATTACAGCTACTTGTGTTTTCAAGAAGCCATTCTGTACGACTTGCCAATTACCACCTAGGCGATCTACTCTGTTATTAAATGTCAACGCGTCTGTACGGAAACTTTCAAACATAGTCGACGCAACGCCGCAGGATATAGTCAGCACGGCAGCAGCATCCCGAAGAGCAGTGCTAGGTTCACCACCGTATCGTGAGCTCCTAGATGCCCCACTATATGAAGAAGCTCCAGAAACGCGTCGCGAGAAGGTGCCATTTGCTTCCATATATCCCCTTCCACTCTCTTTTCCATTCGTCGAGCTCACAATAGCCCATTGCAAAGTTGTAAAGCCGGCACCGATGCAAAGAAGACTACAAATGCCTAATGCAACCCCTTGATTGGTCATGGGAGATGTGGATAGAGACAGTAACGCCAGTATAGTAACCATCGCGAGGCCCATTCTGGAATCATGTTGCCCGGGCTTATCTTGCGCTAGAAGACCATCTGGCGGGGATGAAATGAAGAGCGTGGTTGCATCGAGAAGAAGAAGGACGATAAGAGGAAGAAATGCCTGCTCTGGTAAATTACATAGTCCCCGTAAAAGTGTATTTTGTGCTAACCTTGAATTGCCATATGCCTTCACGATCGTATGCAGCTCTCTGACAGACTGACGCCAGCGCGAAGAACGCGCCAGCAGCCCAACTCAGTCTTGTTCGCGTAACATCTTTGAGTCCCGAGAAGAACCCAACGACCAAGCTATTGTAGATCCATATGACGGCCCAAGACACGGAGGATATGAGTAGGGAATGCGAGATGGGGGTGGCAGTTTCGGTGACGGTCGACGTAAGGAACAGCGTTGCTGGCAGGAGAATGGCCGAATGCTCAGCGATATAATTCACCAACACTGAAGCCGGTCGCATTGGGAAAGCGAGTGTCAGTTGTTGTTACGCATGACACAGGATTGTGGTTGAACTGCAGGGTATGTATGTGTATGTGTACGGCCTTCAGCACGCTTCACGTGGAGCTTGAAGCTAATTAGCCACCTAAGGCGGCTGCCCGGTTCGGCCGGGGGGCTAGATCGTAGGCGCTAGGCAATGCTATCAGGTATGTCTTCATAGTATCTAACCTCCCCCCTTACAATGGTTCTACGAAGGGGTTATCAGTTTACAGGTCTCTCCATGAGACTTTATCTATCCCTAAAATGTCGTATTCCTCCTTCCTAACCTCTGCGCCTACATCAAGTCGCTCTTCTTATTCTCAATCGTCGTCACATCTCCCAATATATTGATACCCGTCACCCGACATGAGAAACAAACGAAGTTGCCAACGACACTCCATTATGCTATTCAGGCCAGCTGACAGAATATCCGCCATCACAGCTGAGTCTGACGGCTCCATGCGAATCTCGTAGGAATCTCAACTCCTCACTCGCTCGCCATACTTGGAGTACAAAACACCATTGCAGTGCATATGAGCTCCGGTCCGCGCATTGAAAATGTGGCAACCGTTTTTCGAAACGTGTGGAGGTGTGTACAGGTGTAAGGATATTGCGAATTCTTTTGTATCTGGATTCCCCACCCGGTGGATTCCGAGTTCGTCGGACATGTAGGTGACCTGGTTTGTCTGATATCTCGTCTCTCGTTTCGGAACCAGTGGTGCAGAACCATTACCTGAAGCCTTTCGTTGATCGGGCCAGTCGTACAGGGTCTCCGTGAGTTCTCCTTTGAGGACCTTCATAATACAGTGGGAGCCATGGTCGTGGATTGCACTGCCTTTGCCTGGTGTCCACACTAGGATAAGCAGGTTACTTTTGCCATTGCCCTCGTCAACAAGGTTCCGGGTATATGGGCGAGATGAATCACTGAAGGCGTAGTTTTTCCATTCATCTTCAATGGAAACGTATCTCTCCATCAATGCGATCAGTCTCTCAGTATCGACGTCGTTGATGCCTGATGATGGGCCGAGCACGGTGCTAAGGTCCTCAACAAGTTGCTGGAAAGCATTTGGGATAGCTGGCGTGGCCATGATTGGCAAAACTTGATGCGTTGAACTTATCAGCAGGATTCGAGGAGACTCGGGAATTTGAGCTTAGCAAAGCGAGATGTAATTTGTGCAATGGAACAAGCAATCAAAATGCACGTAAAAATCCACAACGTCACAGGTGATGTGGCACGTATAAACACTATCCAAGGTGCACGTTGGAAGACAGGACCGTGAATGTGGGCTGAATGGCCTATGCCACAAGTTTGGCAAGGACCCATATGGAGAGAGGCTTTATCTAAAAATTTGCCCAAGATAAAGTGAGCCGTTGGAAGCCGTCTATCAAGATACCTCTCCGTCAGGGCGCGTGGTCTGATCACCGTGCTCGGCGTTTCGAAAACGGGTTGCTGCCCCACCACTCTTGGAAAGCCACCCCACGCGTCATCGCACTTCGCAACAATTTCTCACTCACCAACCAAGCGACGTGTTGTCGAAGAACGTCCCGAATTCTCGAAACATCTCAGCTCCTCAGGAGTAGGAATCAATCAGTATGGCGACGACCGTGGAGAAGGTATGCAATTCGGTAGACAAATTGCAAACTTCGGCTAACGAGATTCAAGATCAAAAACATCGAAGATGAAGTAGGTGAACAACAACTGCCGCGATCACGCATAACGAAGTCTTACATGATGCAAGATGGCCAAAACCCAAAAGAACAAGGCGACCTCATTTCACTTGGGTGCGTGAAGCACGATACAAGAAGAGCCAGATATTTACAATAATTACAGGTCAATTGAAGGCGAAGCTGGCAAAGTTGAAACGCGAGCTACTCACGCCAAGTGGAGGTGGCGGCGGTGGAGGAGGTATTATTATCACACGACATCCTGTTTTTGAAGACTTGCTTAGCATGACTCAATAGTCGGATTCGACGTCGCCAGGACTGGTGTAGCCAGTGTGGGTTTTATAGGCTTTCCCTCTGTGGGCAAAAGTACGCTCATGAGCAGGCTTACAGGCCAGCATTCGGAGGCCGCCGCATATGAATTTACAACGGTAATGTAATTTGACGCCTATCTACAGCTCTTCTGACAATCATGTCTAGCTTACGACTGTTCCGGGACAAGTCATGTATAACGGCGCTAAAATCCAAATATTGGATCTACCAGGAATTATCCAAGGCGCAAAGGATGGCAAAGGACGAGGTCGTCAAGTGATTGCTGTGGCTAAGACTTGCCATCTGATTTTCATCGTTTTGGATGTGAACAAACCCCTTACCGACAAACGTGTTATCGAAAACGAGCTTGAGGGATTTGGTATCAGAATAAACAAGAGTCCACCCAACATTGTGTTCAAGAAAAAGGATAAGGGAGGTATCAATATAACAGCAACGGTTCCTTTAACTCATATCGACCACGGTGTATGGCCCTCACTTTCGGACCATAGACCTTGAGCTGATCAAGATCAATCCAGGAAATCAAAGCCGTCATGAACGAATACAAAATAAACTCGGCTGATATAGCTATTCGATGTGATGCAACCATCGACGATCTTATAGACGTTCTCGAGGCGAAGAGTCGGAGTTACATTCCTGTCATCTACGCCCTCAATAAGATCGATGCTATTTCTATCGAGGAGCTTGACTTATTGTACCGCATTCCGAACGCTTGTCCGATTAGTTCCGAGCATGGTTGGAATGTGGATGAATTACTTGAGCAAATGTGGGAGAAGCTGAATCTGAGGCGGGTATATACGAAGCCAAAGGGAAAATTGCCCGATTACAGCGCGCCTGTTGTGCTCCGCGCCAACGCTTGCACGGTAGAAGACTTTGTTAGTACCTGTTGTTCAAGATATGTAGACTCAATATCACTAACCAAACGTGTAGTGCCACTCAATCCATAAATCTATCGTGGAGCAATTCAAAGTTGCGATCGTGTACGGCAAGTCCGTCAAGCACCAGCCGCAGAGAGTAGGCCTTGCACACGAGCTCGGAGACGAGGACATTAGTAAGATCCTTATGTAGACTTTCTCAGGTCTCACCGTGGCTAATCCTCGTGCAGTTACTATAATCAAGCGATAATTTCTACTTTAGGACTGCCTTCTCCGGAATTGGCTTGGTTCTCAACCTGTATACCGATGGCGAGGTATCTTCCAGTTCTTCGTAAGAGACATGGCATCCTTTGCGACGGCGATAAAGAGACGAGAAAGGTGTTTGTGTGGGGGTTGTCACACTCACACCATAAGTATGAAACGGCATAGCGAGGTTCGGACGCCGATATCTTGCAGGTCAGCTTTGCTATGAGTGGCCGAGCATGAAGCGACTGTCACGAAAGGGAACCTGCCAAATATCGATCTTGTTTCGAAAATCCAACGGGGCAATTGCCCAAATCATGGTGTACCGAGTCATACAACGTACCAGTTGTCCAGCGATACAAATCTGTCTGGAAGTAATTCCATTACTCAGATCTCGCATGCGAACCGACGACAGTTTGTGCACTCGCACAATGCAGTCGTTGTCAGGGACCTTTGACCCCTGTCGATAGCTTCTTGAGCATAATTCCAAGGAACAATAAATTGAAATCCTGTCAGATTGCAGTTACACTTGGACAAATGGAATTGTCTGTCGATCATCTTGTGAAGTCACGAGTATAATTTATTTCTTAGGAAGCTGATGGATATTTTAGCTACCTACTCACTTTACAAAGGCGATTGGTATTAGTTGTGTCAAGAGGACATCTCCAGTCGGAGCATATTAATGTGTAGCGCAGGGATTGGCAATCAAGGTCATTGCTTCGCCGACAGGCGCCTTGGGCTCCTGATGGCCCGCAACAAGGCGCTAATAGCACGGTGAGATAGTTGGTGGCCAGTCACAAATCGACTCGCGACAACTCAGTAAGTCCTATAACGTCAACGCCAGTACCACGGCTTCAACAAGTTGTCCTTTCTTAAACCATTGCCTCATACCCAAAACAAGACTAGAGTTGTCGTCTGACAGCACTTGATGAATATGACCACATTCCAGACGCTCGAGAATGGGTCGCATTGAAACGCTAGTCGTGTGCTGATGTGGACGGATTGGGCCATGCTGAGTCCGAAGAGCACTCAGAACACGTTGTGATGGAAGTAGTACATCAACGCTCGATCTTCATTATCCTGGGCTGAAGGAGGTGATGGTTGAGTGAAACATCGGCTTGGCCAGCCTGGATTTTGACGCTTAACGTATTTAACAACAGTGAATGCAAAACGTCCCCTGGCCACGCTTGGATTCGCATACTTTGGTACGTGCGGGACACAAACGTCCTCCTAGCTTCTATGGACTTCTTCATGGACCGTAATACGCAGCCAGCGGCGTCAATAGGAATCAAAACGTCCGGCAAGCTTTTGGTAAAGGTTTTTTGGGGAGAACGCTTAGCGTTCCCATTTGCTCTGGATTACAGGGGATGCACAATGGTTCAGCCTATGGACAATTTTCCGATAAAGGGCCTGTTCCCACTCTTGGCGCTCGACTGAGAGCGTTGCAAAGAGAGCTAATACGGCGGGTAGTCACAACGCCGGCCGCACTGTGCAGACGGTGCTCAGGAGCTACCTACGCTGGATGTAGGGCCAAAGAACTCAGCACCCTGACTGGACAGGCGTTGGGCGTGGTTCTCGCTGATCGCTGCAGGCCGCTAGAGATAAAAGAGCAGAATGTGGAGCAGACGGACTGGAGTGAACAGAGCAAGTGAATAGTCGATAATGGAGAACGGAAAGGCGAAAAGTGAAAAGGGAAAAGTGAAAAGGGAAAAGTGAGGAGGACGGACCAGGACCAGGACCAGGACCAGGACCAAGGGGAGAGAGAGAGCCCTGAACTTCTGACGCTCCCTGTCTAATACCAGAAGTTGGACTTCAATGTCAACTCAGGGCCTAATAGCTATTAGTCGGCTTCAACACCTGGTAGGCCCAGGAGTTGACTAATAATTGGCCTACTTTACTCAGGAGAGGGGCCCGCTAAACGCGGCGAGACTTGGCCTTTGGGGAGCATGGAGACTTGTCTGTTTTCAGCAAAGGAGCAGTCTGCAGGACGCAGGACGCAAGACCCCTTTTCTTTACGGACCATCATCCACCTACCCTCAACACCACCACCACCACCACCAAATAGCAATGCCAGTACCAATACCAATACCAATACCAACGCCTCCTCCACGATAGGCCAGTAATACCAGTATTCCAAGACGACTGCTGCTTTGTGCACGCCTTTGGGCGCCTTCGACGCCTTTCCCGTCCTTTGCCCCCTTCGAGGCTCTCAATTCAACCTATCTACCTGTATACCTTACCTGCCTACTGACCCTCCTCCCGACTCCTTACCTCTACTACACTATACACTACACTATCCTCTCCCTCCCCTCCTCCCCTCACGTCCGTCCAGGTAGCTCGACGCTGGTGCATCATCCCAGCCCGACTTACCGGCAACACTAGCGATACGGCAGGGATCTGTCGAGTCTGTCTGCCCCATCCGTGCCAGTGATTGTCCCTTGTTCAGTCGGTGCTCGTACTTTCATGATATACCGACTGTTTCTGCTCGACTGCTGATGCTTTTTCGCCGCTCTTTTCTCTCGTTGGTCCCATCAAGCTGGATTCATGCCTCAGTGCTCGGCTCGTATGGCTTGGATCTGACGTGCTGTTCAATCCATCTGCCCTGACCACAAACAAAAACAGGGGCTCGTCGCCGCTCAGCCTGCATCTCGCATTTCTCCTGCATCCACTGCAGTCCAGTCCCGCAAATCGCTTCTACACCCGCACCGCACCGCTCCGTACCTAGGTTACCGCCAACATATACCTAATTATCTCCATCTTTATACCTGCCATCTCTTGGATCTCTTTGCTGCTCCTGCTGTCTTCCCTGCCACTTTGATACGGCCTTGTTGTCACTCGTCTTTTATCAGCCTCTGTTTGTTGCACCGACTTCTGTGCCTTGCTCGTGGGGGTTCGCGCATTCCTGTCGGCAGTGGTACCCGCTCGTGTCGCTTCGCCAGGAACCACCACCACCACTACTCCTCCTCATGCATGCATGCACGCGGTTGTCTCTGAGACGACTATAGACTGCCTGTTCACCTTACCCCGAGTCTGGCGCGCAAGGCTGACGTTCCGCACTTGAACTCGACGTGTTTGCCATCTCCATCTTTTGAAGCGGTTGCTCTCCGCACCGCCTTGTGCATCATTCCTACTGGTACCAAGATATGAGTCAAATGGGCATGGCTCACGACGAGCACCATCCGCAGCATTATCACGATGGCACTGGACAATGGATGGACGGACCACATTCCTATCATGGCACACCGCAGCATCAGTCACCAGTACATGAGTTTAATGGCTTTACATTCAACCCCATTCCCATGGAACCCATATATCCACAACACCAGTACCCACCCCGAACGATGCATCAACAGCTACAGCCCCTGATAACACCTCAATGGCCAAGTATGTTAACCAGCCAGTCCAGCTATGTGCAACCCATATATCCAACGGCGCCTGGTCCGGCGCCACCAGCGTCGACTCCGGTATCTGCCTCCTCCACTCGTTCAGGGACGTCATCAACACCACGGAAGACCTTGACTGATCTTGATCGGCGCCGAATGTGTCAATACCACGAAGACCATCCCACTGTAAAGCAAACCGAGATCGGAGGTACGATGCATGCGCTATAGCGAAAATAGACAGAGCTAATATATGTTGCAGCAATGTTCGGCGTCGAACGAAGGTACTGTAACAATAAGCTATCATTTCGCAGTCCCCAGCTGATCCCTGATATAGCACTGTATCAAAGGTTTTACGGCAGAAGGAAAAGTACCTCTATCAAGGAGAGGACGGTAGCAGGTCTCCAATCAAACGAGCGAAAGGCAAATTTCCAGATATCGAAAGAGCATTGTCCAACTGGGCTCGCAACCACCAGAAACAGGGACTACCATTGACGGACGCAGCTATCCGCGAGAAGGCTCGTTTCTTTGCGCAGACGGTCGGTAACAACGAAAGTTCGCTCAAGGCCAACAGTACCAGCTGGTTAGAGAAATTCAAGCAGAAGAACAACTTGGGATCCAAGTCAAGAAAGAATTCTTTGGCTGAAGAATCTGAGGGCGGCTCCAACCCTGGTTCGTCGGCCCAAACACCCAATGGCATATCACCCACATCTCCAAACGGAGCTCCTTCGCCCTCGCCTGTGACTCTTGCTTCAGCAAAGCTTGAGGAGGTCACGAAACCGACAAGCCCCGAAAGTTATGTAGATTTCCACAAACCTTTCCACTCACAAAGTAATACGTCTCTCTCGAGTGTCTTCACTGACACAACCACCTCGACCTATTCTGCTGGTCCCACCAGTCCAACCTCACCATTTTTCACCCCTGATTCTGCTTGCGCCCAAGGTCACAGCCCGTTCCTTGCTTCACAGCCACAACAGCGGACCGCTTCTGGTAGTGCGCCTTCTGGAAACAACGGCTATCATAGACCACGCAGCCAAACCTTCCCTATGCTTGGGGTTGAAGGGTATGCCTCACCATCAACATCTTCAGAAGCACTCACGCCTAAGTATTTGAGCAGTACTACACTCGATTCACCCATCTCCGAACGCCCCCAACAGGGTTTTGCTACCGGTACGGAAGACGCTATTCAGCATTCGCATGCGCTTAGCAGGACTCCAAGTGGGTCTATGCAGCCACCACCACTGCCTAATCCGACAGTCACCATACCACAAACCCAGGCCGGTGCACAGCAGCATACTCCAATTAGTCCGAGAAGCATCTCACCTTCATCACCGTCACAGGAGGATGCACAGCGCGCCCTCGAGCTTGTCATGAAGTTTTTCCAGCAACAGCCGAACATGCTCGTCGAACCACAGGAGTACCTGACCATCGGGAAGCTTATGGAAAAGTTGAAGCTGCAGAGGACGCCCACTGGAGAAAATCTCCCAGGGGGATTACATCCCATCCACGAAAACATCGGGACAGGAGACGGCATGTGAGCTGCGAAAGCTCTAGACACCTTTTTTAATCATTGTTGTTTTGATTGGCATTGCGTCTTGTGCGGCGTTTATGGGGTTCAGACTAGCCTTCCTTCATGACAGGAGGGATTTGGGGACGTCTGACCCCGAAGGGCTTGCTGCATTTCCACTCCGGTTTCCTTACATCCCTCTATATACCCTTCACATGCGAAGATTCGCATCCTGTTATATTATTTTCTATACCCACCACCTCTATGGATTCTAGACGCGAAGAGCCCCCCAAAGTAAGACTGGATGTCCAACCTGCTCACGCGGGGATTCATTTCGCACCCTTTTTTTGAGCTGGGCGATTTCTATGCTTTTCTCTTACTATGGATTTTCCCCTCGAACTTGGTCTGCACCCTGCAGTAGTCTCTTAGCATTTTCGGGTCTGTTCGGTATGCGACAACCACCATCCCAGTGCACTGCGAGCACAAAGACACAAAGACACACGACTACAGTGGTGTCGTGTCGATGTTATTGGTTATATCCAAACATAACATTTCGTCAATGAACTTGTCGCTCTTTGACGAACATGACATGGACGTTCACATGTGCATCGTGCCTCAGGTAATCTATCATTCTATCGAAATAAAATTGGGAGCGCACAAGATCGCGACGTGGTGTTGAATGAGGTAATTTGGAATTGACGACGGACGGAGATCGTAGATGCAAGGTCTGCCTTGCACCTGAGCAACGCCATCTTGTACTATGTCCGCATTGCATTGCATTGCCAGCCTTTCCTTGCTTCTTCAAACCCGTGCCGCACAACCAGCCTGGCGAGCCTAGATCCAGCTCATAACTCACTCAGCCTCATGCTATTCGAGCTACACCCATCATAATAGGTCATCAATCGTCACGGCTCAAATAATCCAAAACCCATCATGATTCTAAATTAAAAAAAAAAGACCCGCACCGTCATGCATGAAGTTGCTCGGTTCGTCTGGAGGTTCAGCAGCCCCGGCAGATACTGCTCTTCCAGCAGCGGAACCAGCCGAGAGGCGGGCGGCCGTTTGTATGCACAGCCCAGTTGTGCACGGCAAGCGCCAGGACCAACTGTCTGCGGCTGCGTGCATAAGCGCAGCAGGGGACCCATTTATGGATGAGCACTTGACAGTCGTGCCTGGCAGGGAGAGCAATACAGGCAGAAAGGTTGCAATACATTGTATTAGATGCAACGTGAAAAGTAGGAGAATTGCCTAGTCAGCAGTGTTGATGATAGTCATGACGATGTATGGAATATACAGTAATCTAGGGTGCCAGCATCATATTGCGGGAGAGGAGCCGAAGCTGCCCACCCGTAGCCGCCCGCCGCCCGCCCTTGTCCCCCCAAACTATATGCCGAACGTCTGAAGTATATGACGCTGGTGTTTCAGAACTAGTAACCATAAGCTATAGTGAATCATCATTAACTGTGTCCGAATGGACGTTTTGACGAATGATTTTGGCATGATGATTGATGAGATCGCGATTCCGACTCAGCACATGCCTTTGACATTTGCAGAGGCTTGCGCGCTCTTGATGCGGTAAGGTGTGGCTAGAATATGTTTATCGTTTCATGTTTGTGAGCGGTGATTGGGTCTCGTTGATGCTAGATAGAGGAAAGTGGTTTCGATAGTGCTAGTGCTCATTTTATAGACACATACGACATGCGCTGACGGAGGGGACTATGGTACTAGAGTAGTAGTAACTCATGGCAAGACTTGCGCTTCCCAACAAAATCTATTGACGAATAATAGAATCAGCAGACCTATATGGCGTTGTAGGGTATGATGACAGTCATTCCTTGCACATCGTTCGTGTTGGAATCAAACCACATCAGTCTCTCTCCTCAAGGATACACTTGCATAGGGCTGAGGACTGGCCGGCTGCCTTGCAAGGCGTGCGTGCATAAGACAAATTGCCTCGCCGCCCCCACAGGATCTCGAACACATGTTTCCCTCTCCTTGTCCGTATCCGCTTGCCCGCAAGCACATGCCGCTCTCTATAGGCATGCAGACGACATGTCAGTCCTGAAGAAAAAAGCAAACATTACTGCTTCCTAGCTCGGTCCATGACTCTTTGCGCCACCACCTGGCGATCGAATCGCTCCCACGTCTCCTCGTCCTTGTCCTTCGCCTACTACTTCTACCAATTGCCAATCTGTCGTGAGACATGCGCGTTGTTGTTAAAATTCCGTGAACATCTACTCAGCTAAGGTAGCAAAGCGGGTTGTCCCGTGTCTTTGCCATTACCGGGTATACTGAGGAGAAGTGAACGACCCATGCCGCTTATGGGTAATGGCGCCATGCAGCGAGAGCATCCTTTCGGATCCAGGGACTAATTAGCCTCTGACATAATACGACCGATGAATCCTTTAGAAAAAGAGCTAAGCAAAGCACACGGGCAGATCAGGAGTATTTGGAAGAGGCCATGTCGAGACATCGCCGACGACGACGCCGACGACGACGCCAGAGGGACGGAAATGGACGGCGTTTGGGCTGCTGCAACGTTGCAAACTTGTAAACACACACACTGATTTTTTTTAAAAAAAAATTTGGCTACAAAGTTTATTGAATGTATTGTCCAGGGGTTCAGATGAGGGGTCAACCATGGTTCGGAACTTTTTACTCTTATATTGTCTTTTTGACTTTTAACTTTTGAATTTTTGACTTGCAGAATTGACAGAGTCGAGTCTGGTTTGACAGGGTCCCAGTGGGCCTGTGGGAGGGTGCGGAGGGATGCCCGCTGGTTTTGCAGGTTGTTAGATATATGTCAAGGGTGCGGGAAGGCTAGGGTAAGTTTGTCTGATGGAATTTGCTATTTGCTAAGGTTCAGGATCATCCATGGGAGGGCTGGGTGAGTAGCCAGAGCGGAACGATCTCCATCACTATTGTTATGCGAACGGCACTGCGCCTTGTAAGGCAAAGAATAGCTTCTAGGGAGGGGGCTGCGGACTATGCGGAAGAAATTCATCTTCTCGCTGTTGTAGTGGTTTTTTTTCCCCCTAAACTAATTGCTTGTTCCATTCTCGTCAAGACAATAATGTGGAGCTGCTTCACGCATTGTCCGTTTTCGAAATGATAAACACCACGGCACGGCTCGACGCGCCATGTTTAACAATTACCGGATTGCTACTTGCCGTAGTAACCCAAACCGTCGGCGTGCGTAGAGGAAGCCATCCACACCATCCACAACACGCAACGCCGTCTCAAAGCAGTATCATCCAGATAGACGGGCGACGCCACTTCAGCCTTGATCGTCACAGATGTTCTGGAAGCTTGGTCTTTGAGACCGATATAGCAATGCACCCAGTTACATCCAAACGTCCGGCAACTTATATCTGACCATCCAGCTCCAACACGACGGCGTGGCTGCGGCACAGTATTCATGCTATACCCAACGAGCTTTGATCTTCATTTACGGCCTCATCATGCCCACAGCAAGCCATGACAACCACTCGAAAGCTCGACAGTCCATCTCCCACCACCAGCCTCTTACCGCTGATTGATATCATATGATGTTTCTAACGGCCGAAGGCAAACGCCCTCGTCTTGGTCCTCCTTTCTCGCGCGGCCAAACCGGGTCCACATGCCCTCTTGCACAGCAGCCACAAGTCCCAGCATCGGAGCAAAGCCTCGTTCCGTAAGCACTTTTTTACAACGGACAATACACCACCCAGATCTCCATCAGGTCTGTCTGGCTCCGAGTCGGCCCTTCCCAGTCGCCAAGAAAGCTCTGATCGGCCCTGACCCGTCCGCCCCGTGCTCAGGCTCATGCTCAGGCTTGCGCGCTCTTTTTCTTGAGGGGCAACCCAGCCGAGCCGTGCGGAGAGGCACGCAGCGGACCAAATTCAGTAGAGAAGGAACGCGCCGCGGACGCGGGTAGCTGAGACCCCCTCCCGCGCGTCCCGATGGATAGCTGGATTGCTACCCAGGTATCAGGCGCACTGTTAGCTAAGCAACCAGCCAGCCAACTAAGATTTTCCGTGTGGCGATCCAGAGCCGTGGAGTCTGGACGATACGGATGTTTTGCGGGACGGCTTGGGAAATGTTAGGCCGCGATGCATGTCTTTGAGGTATGTGCATGTCGTGGGGTGATGATATACTTGGGAGGACGAGGGGGGGAGGGTCGTATGGATGTAGGTCCATGACTCGTGGAGCAGGACTCGATACTCATGAAGTTTGTGGAAAGTGAAGGGTCCTTTGGATACAAACATACCTTCTGGCATGTGTTGTAGTGCTGGGATAAAGAGATGGAGAGAGGGAGTGGATACACGCCCTCAAGCATCGGCAATATGTCAAGCTACTACTGTCGGCCTGTCAGAGAGTGGGACATCCATCGTGCTCATGATCTCATGTATCGCATCGACAAGCCAAACCCACTCGTTTCAGATCAGATTCGGCATCGAATGTTAATTAAACTGCTTCAAGTCCCTCACGTTGAGAAGATGTCGGACATCTACGGATCCATTAGTTGTTCCTGTAGCGGGCATGTCATTTATTAATTCCAATTCGCGGTCTCGTTCCAGATTTTGGCGACCGAACAGGAGATGAAACTTCCAAGCCTGGATATCGTGTGCCCGGAGTGAGAAGGCCACAGTACACTACTAGGCTTTGCAGTCTACACCTTATGAATAATTACTGCAGGCTAGGAACAATTCGGAAGAGGAAATGAGGCGGAATTGCTGTTGCTGCTTGCTGTGCGGTAATACTTCCTTCATTGGGCTGCTGCGGTTGGCCCCTCACGACGTTAGTACCTGCAATATTCGGACAGAATGAATTATCTCATTCGTTGATGAAGGTATCTGGAATAGGATTTGCTAAAGCCTAAGGGGAAAGCCCCTGTAGCTGGCTGGTCAAGCCTCCACGGCGGTCGGCCTTTATGAATTCCGACTCAGATCCTCTAAGCATACGAGTTCCACTCAATTATTCGAGCTCATCTCTCCGAGCCGTTCTTCCATCAGGCTGACGATACCCTTGTCAGCTATCTCAGGCAGAAGCCTGACGATCACCAATTCGATCAGGCTGAACATGAGTGTTTTGTTACAGTACTTGTCTCCCAGAACATCCAGCAGATCCTCGACTTCAGCTTCTACTTGATCCAGACATGACGTAGCAAAGTAGACCTTGGTGACTTGCTGGGGTAGGACGTTAGCAACAGATCTGGCACAACGGCGCTTGATCTCTAAAATCTCCTCTTGACTTGGAGGTACCCGCGCCGGTGCCATTGCATTTCGAGGAAACAATGCCGCACGAACAGAACGTAACAGCGGGGGTATCAGCTGCGGATTCAGCAGGGAATTGTGGACGTAGTGCGAGAGTAACCTGCTCGGTCAAAAGACAATGGTTAGCAAACTTTGCAAGCCCGGGAATTTACTCTAGCGCCGAAGATCACCAGTAGATGATTTTCAGTAAAGCAGGCTAGCGCGAACAAGGTCTGTGCACTCTGTGGAAAGATGGACATGTTTTGCGGCGGAGGACATTGTAAACGACATCGATGCAGCGGGTACGAAGTGAGATGCCGCGGAACGTTGTGATAGCGTTGAATGCGTCATGGTTTCATTGCAAGCGATTGGCGCACTACTGGTACCATCCGGAAGGGCGTATGGAGTATATATTGTGTACCAGACAGCCAGGGTCGCGAGTGAGGAGAGGAGAGAGGCTCTTAACGGTAGGGGTTCGGCTCAAGCGTGCAGGGTCATGAGAATCGCACGGAATGATACGGGCGATGAGCGACCCAACCCAGACAATTTCAAAATTGCGAGGCGATTGACATCCTGGTTATTGACTGTCTCGCAGAGCCGAAGGGCCCTAGGAAAGAATTGGTGAAAAGATGATGATGCACGCGAGTACGACGATGCTAGAAACATTCCGTCGACAACAACTGGATGACAAGACGAGGGCAGCTGCAGCGGTCCGAGGTCGGAATAGTCCTTCGTGCCGCTTCATAGAGCCATCATGTGTAGCAGCATTGCGACGTCAGACGGTTGCGATGGTGGTGGGCGCAGAACGATTTGCGTTGGTGGGTATTATCTCGCTCGTGCGAAATGGCAGCGGATAGAGTATGTAGGGCGCTTGAGCAAAAGACGGCCAGTGACCCCCGCCGGCGGCGGTCGCATGGGGGGCCGCAGAAGCAGAGTTGGCGGCGGCGGCGGCGGTGGTTTTGGGGGGGATCCCCATCTCTAGGGAGCATTTCTCCTCCTCTCTCACGCTGCTTTTAGCGGACCTGGCGCAGGCAGTGACAGGGGCAAACAAGGGGTACCAAGGGCAGCCAAAGGGGGGGGAGGTGAGGGAGGAAATGCGAAATGCAGCGCGATAAGAGCGTGCAACCGGGCGGGCCGTGGCATAGGCTGGAGCCACCCCCCCAAAATGCAGACAACCCCCCTAAAAGTCAAGTGACCGAAATCGCATGCGGACTGAGCGGGGCTGGCTTGTCGGCGTCTCCTGGGGAGGGACCGGGGACGCTACGCCGCCGCAGGGTTTGGCATCGTGTCGAGCCAGCCTGTCAGCGTCCTGGATACACTTCTGCAATTGCAATTTGTCCGACACCAGCAAAACATGTCCAACCTGCGGATGATGCGAAATTGACATGCAACATGGAAAAAGGTCACGCACTCACCTGTCTAGCACTCCGCCCGTTTCACCCACCCTGCCTGGTCCCTCCAACGATGCCCAGTGGAGGAAAGACGTAAATCCCGAAAGCCAGGGCATGTGACTGTCAAGCTCGATGACGAGGGAGATGCAACTCCATGCCTTCATACTGACCACTGGTTGCTTGGAGTCTTGATGCATCAATGCAGCTGTATGTTCTTTGGGCCTTAGCCACTGTTGAGTAGTGTCCTCCACCGGGATCGGGACGCTCCACGCAGCCATAGATCGTGACGGCAAGGAAGATGACCTTGCAAGGATGACCATTGCTGCACGAATCGTATACCACGCTAGAAAAACGTACTGTAGAACAGCCCAGAATGAGCTCAATACCGAGCTAGCCGCATGATGGAATCCCCGCCGATGTCGAGATTTCTGAGAGCTTTTCGGGGAGTTTGTCGAATCTGGGTCAGGATGCCGATTCGAACGCTGTGCAACATTCGTCCCATATTGTTCTCCTTGCGCCGTACGCGGCTTGACAGTCTCGATAATTTTCGTAGTGGCTTCCCAGAGCAGCCAGGGCTCGCAGGCTTTCTCGCTGATACCGCCTCCTAGGATCATTTCAGAGAAGATTTCAGCTACTAATGCCCTTAAACAACCATTTTCTAGGTCCTCTGTGGGTAATAGAACGGCTAGAATGCCTTGGACGAGTAGCTGGCGCCAAGCTACTTCGTTCTCCTTTTGTTCCAGCGTGCTCGAAGAACTCATGTCGCCTGGCACAGGCGATAGTGCAGGGTGTGGATTGAGTGTATGATAGATCTGCTGCTTGCTTGAAGCTAACGCATTCGACATAGACGTTCTTGTGGCCACTCGATAGGCTTCGGAGATCATCAGCCTTACACTAACCTAGGAATGGTCTGAGAAGACTTGAGACAAACCATTGATATGACTCTGCAGCACGTCGGGGATCTCATCTAGAAGCAGGGCCTCTAGATCAACCTTTCTGACTCGCTGCTCGAGTGCTCTTGTGCAGTGTGCTATAGTCTGGAGCACTTCATCTGGAAACACATGGTCTGGAGTGATTTTGGAGTACCACGTGAATACAAACTCCTTGAAGATCACAGCGATGATAGCATATAGCTGGAGGTCGACGTCGTTCGAGCTCGTGAGAGGAGGCAGTAAGTCTTCGATCGGCTGAGGAGTACTTCCACCCTTCTCTCCGCCTGTGATCGTGTTGGCCAGGGCGTTGCGGGAACACAACGCCCGACGAATGAAGGATATCGTGGCCTTGTCCGAGATTGCTTCTTGTGCTTGTCGTTCCAGCTCCGCCTGGTATGCTTTGGAAATCGGCCGCTCCATACCAACAGATTTACTCGCGGGCTCCTCATCTACCGTGGTATGCTGTTCTGGTCTTATCGTTGTCGACGTTGCCATCACGTCTCTGTGGGCCAGGTACAGAGATCGCTATTTCGCTCTTGCATGGGCATAGATAGTAGTTTCACATCCCAAGCTCTTACAGTTATTGATGCTCCCTTTGAAAAATGAGCTGTATGCTAAGATGTGCGCAAAGCGTTGTGGCGTCCTCGTTGTCAGTATAGCTCAAGTCATTGTAATCGTGAACCGCGGAATAAGGTAGCCCCACACTCCGCGATGCTTGGCATGAAGACACTCATTGATGCCCCGTAAAGGATCGCAAAACTTCAACAATCGCCCTCCCGTCACTTCATAACCTCTGACCCATAGTAGATATCCTTAGCCTAAGTACATATAAATACCCGTACTACCTAACCCCGCATCCATGGCACCTGTGCCGCCTCCAAACCGCGATGAAGTCGAAAGTGAGTTGCAGAAGTGCGCCAACACAAAGCAACAGGCTCATACATAGGCAGGGACACTCAAGGCCATAATTCAAAACTTCTACAACCTTCTTGTCCAGAGTCTCGATTACCAAGAAGACAATAACACCGGCCGTGACGTCCTCAAGCAAGAATTGTAAACCTCACCCCCTCCTCCTCCCCCACCCAGCCCTTTACACATAGACCGATTGCTAACCTACTTCTACTACAGCGCAAAAATTCAATCCAATCTTCAAACCCTCTTCCGCACTGCCTCCACCATCGACATCCACATCCCCCCCCACATCGTCAAATTCGTCGAAGAAGGTCGCAACCCCGACATCCTGCAACGCCAATTCGTCGAGCAGGTGCAGAAATTCAATCAGAAGCTGAATGGACGCGCTCAAGCTTATGCCGACTTTCGAGATATACTAGCCAAAGATCTCCAAGATGCCTTTCCGGGCATGAGGGGAAATCTCGAGCACACGGTGCGGATGACGGGCGGGCGTGTGCCGTTAAAAGGAGTGATGGATGGGGTGAGATGAGTGGGCTCGGCATATACGTGATCTGATCCGAAATATGGGTAATGGCTTTAGCATAAAACGTTTAGGGTTGGATATGCTGACTGGGACAGTATGTGATGCGAGGAAAGCAAAGGGACACGGAGAAAGCAGTCGTCAAGATCGACGTGACAGCTTTGACTCTTATGTTACCCCCTTTAAGTCTTATCTTTACGAAGATATTGATAGAGAACGAAGTGTGAAGAAGAGCGCGTTGGTTGAAATAGGGGAACAGGAAAGTGAGTTTGCTCTGTTCCTTTATATGAACTACACCTAACATTGATAGCCTATTCGAGACGGGACTTCTCCCGGATATCTTCGTCACTTTTAAGCCACACAAATTCTTATAACCATGGAGCTGATCGAGGATGCCAAAGAATAATGAATGTAATAGTGAAATCACCACGAGTGTGGACCTCAATCGCACATTAAGATAGACACAATGGTGGCAAATGATGCAAATATAACAACGATGAAGTCTTAGACCCATATTGTCAATTTTTATGGATAATTTCGTGCTGTTGCTAGGCCTAGACTACTAGACGTTCACCCTTCACTTGTCGTAGGACAAAACGACCCGATATTCATGGTCGAGACTTACAACTGACCACAGTCGGAAATGACAATCTTCTGCTTTGTCTGGCCGCTCTTGCTGCCCTGTCCTTCAATAGCCTTGACTACGTCCATACCTTCAATGACCCTACCGAAGACGACGTGCTTGCCATCGAGCCAACTGTTCATCATGAGTCAGTCAGTGTCATGTGTACTATGGATTCTGCGCATTGCATAACATGTGGACTGAATGAAGGAGAAATCTGAACAGGCCAGGATGACACTCACCCAGTTGTCTCAGTGCAGATGAAGAACTGGCTGCCGTTGGTGTTTGGCCCAGCATTAGCCATACTCAGTATTCCAGGGCCGGTGTGTTTGCTTTTGAAGTTCTCATCGGCGAACTTCTCGCCATAGATGCTCTTGCCACCAGTGCCGTCTCCTCTGGTGAAGTCACCGCCCTGAAGCATGAATTGAGGAATGACACGATGGAAGGTCGAGCCCTTGTAACCAAATCCTTTCTCGCCAGTGCACAGAGCACGGAAATTCTCGGCAGTCTGTTGGTCCCTCAAAGTCAGCACACAATTCCAAGGGTCAATCAAGTAAGAATACAGGGGATATATCTTGCCTTTGGCACTACGTCGTTGTCCAGCTCCATCACGATACGCCCGAAGGGTGTACCACTGGCGCCAGTTACCTGGAAGAAGACCTGAGGCTTAGACATTTTGTTCACGTTGATGAGAGATGAATTGATGCGAAGATAGATTGTAGCGAAGTCGGGATGAAGGTTTTTAAGGTATTGTTGGGCGATGGAGGAAGGCACTCACTGCTCATTGGTCAGTGCAGGCGGGGTACCCCTCTAGAAATGGGCTGCGTCATTTGCATTCTTTTCAGCTGAGACCGGCGGCGACGGGAGCTCCAAACCCGACGCCGCTGAAACTTCGGGTGATGTAAATGAAGCCTAACACTTCAGCAGCGAATATGTTCAATCCAGAAAGCGTTGTAGCTTCAATCTTCAATGTCATATTCCCTTGGTACAAGATCCATCCTAAGATGCTCACGGAGATTATCATATTTGGACCTAAATACCACTTCAAATTAAGACTCGCTATTCATAACACATCAAGAACCTAGTCAGGTTGCATTGCACATTACAGGGACGCTGAATATGAGCCAATATTATGCTGTCTGCCAGATAAACCACCCGATGAAATAACATCGCAAACCATGCATCATAGTTCAAATGCTGAACGATTTCCCCTCAACACCTACGAAGCAGCAACTGACCAATACAAATAATCCCACAACCACAGGGAAGACAACGCTGTAGACAGAAGGCTAAATAGGTATTCGACGTCGCTAAGCAGTGCCTGGAAGCCAATGGGTTGAACGTTGCTTGAGTTCGACGGAGATCATATAGTAATCGCATCATGAATCGAAGGGAAGGCTTGGTACCATACCATGAGTCGAAGTGCGGAAGCCTTGGATAGCAGCTCCACAACGCCTACAAGTCAGTCACTTGTAGTCGGGGAGCACGGGCCGTCCGCCTCTTTCGTTATTTCTTCCGTGACAGCGAGATGCTCTGGCATTTCTCTAAGGGGTATAGGCTTGCCCGGCGGGGGACTTTTAAGGTGTTCGATTTCGACGAGCGATCCGCGGCGGAGATTATCTAGTTGCTCGTCCGGGTTCTTAAATATTTATCCAATCAGCGTTTTGTTCAATGTATGACGTGACGCGTCAAATCTGATGGGAATTGAGTCGTAGACTGGGTGCAAGCTTGGATACAGGACGCAAATGTTCGGGGAGGGTATAATAATGATAAGCAGGTGGAGGGTGCAAGCTGAGTGGTAGAAGCTGCGGTGATGTTGGCGGACTCGAGCCTTCTGATTCGAAGGCATCCTCATTCTGTGCAATGCCAGGTGCTTCCACTTCTTCAATCGCAACTGAAACTGGTTCAGTGGAAACATCAGGGGCGTGCTCAACTGTGGTCACACGAGACACAACGTTGGCAGAATCAAAGAGTGGTGGATTCGATGCGTTGAAGGAGGATTCATGAGATGTAAAACCGCACTGAGGACAAACAAACAGCTTTTCACGTACCCAGTCGGTCTGATCTGGCACTCCGTCTGCAGCTGGTAGTGCTCCAGTCTCATCTCTCTCTTCACCCCAGAATGTCGGTCTTCGTATGGGAGCCGGCGTGACTGGCAGACTCGGTCGCTCAATAGCTGTTGGGAAATCAGTTAAAATCAGGCTCTCTCTGCGCTGTGCGGTATCAAGCGGCGGTGATAATATCTGACCTTCGGTTGAAGGTATCTGGATCGCCATTGACTTGTTCTTCCTTGGAGACTGTTGTTCCATAACGGAGCGAATATAGTTCTCTATACCTGGCACCGCGTCCCAGGCATTCACAGATCGGTTGTTGAACGACTGCCACGTCTCTGTGGAAGATTTATGGGTTGTCGAAGAAGCCGATGGCACCGCGTCGACCTCAAGTTCAGATGTCATCGATAAAGACTGCCATGGCGTCGAATGAGGTGACGGTTGGTCGTCTGCAAATACACGAGTTGCCTTAGGCACTATACGATCTTTCTCCCACGGAAAAATGGGTTTAGGTCGTTCTTCTGCGGCTGGTTTTTCCTGCGGGACCTCATACCACATATCTTTAGGCGGTTCCGGATATGACTTGGGTGGTTGAAACAATTGCCTGCTGTCGTTGAAGGTATACTGCTGGACGGGGAAATCCATGGCCTCCGGCCTAGACTCGGCTGGCGGGGCGGATCTGGTGTCCATGTTGTGAGTGGGGTGTACACATATTAAACGTCATGCTGATTTACGAACCTGGTTGCATCCCATTCCATCTGTGGGGCTGAAAACTCGCGAGGCTTGGGTTCAGAACGCTCCTCCCGTAAGTCATCGGTTAGCACTTCTGCGTTGTCAGAAGGATTCGGCAGTGGCTCTTCTATAGAAGGTGGCGCATCACCCTCTGGCGATGCTTCATGGGGCGAGAGTACTACAGGTTCGGATTGGACGTTAGCCCGTTCCTTACTGGTGTCATCCGATTCGCTTTCTTTGGCCGTCGCTACAGTGTGTGAAGCCGGGGGCGCAATCTAAGATGGTCAGAAGATATACAAATCTGAACATAGGTTCCTAACTCACAGGGGGCTTCGAATGCCGGTCGTATACAGCCCACCAATGGCTCAAAAGCTCATTATATACTCCAGGTCCAGACGCTGACTGCCGCGCTTTCATCCAGGGCTTCTGCTTTCCGATGAAATGTACCATCTTGATGTCTCTCTTATAATGACGATAGGCCGGCTCCCACTGATATTGCGCGTTGGGAGTAGTATTGTACGTGAACGAGAGTCGCTGCCAGTCTCTATGCTCATAGTATTGGTTCAACAGGCCTTGATCTGCTCCGTCGAAGCTGTCGCCGGACGCTGCCATAGTCTGCAGCGCCCAATACTCGCCCATATCTGGTGTCAGGACCATGACCCCAGAGTTGAAAGCGTCTGGCCAGCCTACATCAGGGGCTGCGGCAAAGGGTGCGTCAATCTCGAATAATTCGTCTGGAGCCCTGAGCGCCACGATATCTGCATCCAGATAGACGATCTTTCTAAACTGAGTCTGCCGCCAGAGGTATATTTTTGTGAACGCAAAAGAAAGATCAGCGCGGTCCATAAGGTACAGGTTTTTGGGATTTGGGTTGCGAATGCGGTCGACCGTAATTAGATAATCGAATAGTTCCTAATAAAACAGTGAGTGTGGTACAATCGCCGCCCGTGGGAGACTGACCTTAAGCTCGGCAATCGTGGCTGCCGATAGTGTGTCCAACGTAATGAGCGCGGCCAGTTTCTTCTTGGTTCCAGCATCTCGTAACGAGTGGGCGAGCACCGCAGCCCCTGCGATATGTGATTAGTATTGTGGCGAGTCTCAATTATGCCTCTGAAGCTCTTTGCATGTGGTACCTTTGAGGTAGTTGTCGCTCATAACAAGCTGTGACGGATCAGCACATGCAAGCGTTTCGAAGGTCTTGAGCAAGTCACTTACCGTACAGTAAACATCCTCTCCCATTGTCGCCATTCTGGCAAGCGACTTAGTGTATAGACAAGAATTGATAGATTCGAAGAGGATCGCAGTGCCGCTTGGATCGAGGGTCCATGGATGTAATAGTTAGGTTCATAGTACAGTCCACGGTTGGACTAGCAACCTTTCAGACCCACCCGTAGCATTTCCCACCGCAAGGATAGTGAAGATCGTCAGTGGAGCTGCTCACGCACGCGGGAACGTCCCATTCTAATTTCGCGAGCTTGTTAGGAACAAATTTGCGGTTCTATTGAACCCTGGAAAGAGATTGGAGCAATAACATTTGAACAATGAAGTTCCTACCACAGTCTTGGCTACGAGCCTGTTGTGAACGCATGGAGTTGGCATCTCGTTTGGTTATACCGCTTGTACTCAGTGCACATCTTCACGACGATTGTCTGGCATCTTACATACAATGTCACTGGTGTAATGCTTATGTGCATACGTTTTATTGCATATTAGCCTAGCCGTACGGCCTAGCTCTCCCGGACGAAATTGAAGCTTGCATGCCTGACTACTGCCCACGCACGCGCTGGGTAAGTAAGACATCGAGCTTGAATTGTTATTGTGCAAATTGAATCGCCCATCTGCGTGCCTGAGGACTTTAGTCAAGGAACAGTTGAGAGGTATGCGGACCTGAGACACAATATGGTATCATGCGCAACGCTACGGGGCTACCATATAAGTGGAATCATATTCGCTTTCCCTCTAACACTCTCCTGACCCCATGTACAGATCCAGAATTGTCTTGTGCCTATGGCTGTCACGCCAAGGTTCACTGTTACGAACACCAAACCGCAAGCCACAGTCCAATTGACTACATTTCCGCGTGGTGCGGATAGGATGGTTAGACTAGTGTATATTAAGACCTCAAAGAAGTAATGAGGCGTTACAGACATGGAGAACGTAGGATGTGTCGGACGAGTGTAGACGACTGATGAACCGGGGTATCTAGGTAAACTGTAGAGATACTTGTGCGTTACGTATTGCAGTCCAGAAGCAAGCAGAAATAGAGGTATAAAGACGACGTTACGGCCACTTGGTGTGATGACATAAGTGATTGATCGGCCAGCTCCTGACATTTGTTTATCATGTTGCAGGTGATGGAACCTCTCCTCCTGGATCATGGTTGGTATGCCCTCGATCCAGATAGCCAGCCCGATGCCGACGTAGAACAACAGCCCGAGCGCCCAGTGCCCTACCCACATGGTCGACTTCGATGAGCGTGAGAAGACGAGGCTCTCGTAAAGACGGCGCGATCCCTGAACGCAGAGTAGCATCCAGGCGAGCACAATGCTTTCGAAGCTCATGGCTGGACGACGGCTGGAAAGACTTGCATGTTGGGCTATGTTATTAAATATTGATCCTTGGGTCAAGAGCTGTTGCGCCCATACTAAAGAGCCAACTACAGAGACAATGTAGAAGTGTGTAAAGTAGTTGTGAGGCACACGATAGGCAGCGAGACGGTCGAGGATCGCAATATAGTGATTGGCACGGTTCGAAGATGCGTCGATTGGAGGTACGACAGACGAACGAGGACCATACGCAAGGAGTCGATTGCGTAGTAGAGGAATAGCATACACCAAGAGTACCTATTCATGATCAGGGCCTCGGGGAATCGGTCGAGAACTCAAAGAACACTTACAAAGGCAGAGCCGGCCAGGAAGGCCGCACGTATCGCAATGGCAGGATCTATCCCAAGCGGAAGAACATTCACTCTACGAGGGGCTGGGTCGGCCATGTGTCGAGATCGATTGCAACAACGCTAGGTTCTGAACAAGCGCATGGATGTTTCATGCTGTTTATACACGAAGCGTTAAGAGTTTCAATGGACGAGGTGTCAACACTTAAGATATGGTTTGGTATTAGGTGGTTAATTACCACGGGAAATCTCTGGGTAGATAACGTTAGAGTTCCAAGGTAGAGGCCAAAGGCGCGCTAGTGGCTGCCTGCTCAGCTTGAACTTCGCTCTTGAGTCTGTTGGCTATCATCCCCTACACCAAACACACCTACGACGAGATCTTGCCCGACTCCAATCCATGACCGCGCCATCATCGGAATTTATAGCACTATCTCCTATCGTCTACACGTAGACAGATATACTCGCAGGCGCGTCGCCACTGCGCATCCTTAAAATAATCGGACCGTCTGCATATTACACGATGTACGGAGCAGAGAACGTGCTCGACATCACATCAATACGAACGCTATGCCTGAGAATGACACGAACGACAATGCCACGGCTCCTCATGGCACCAATATCGACGACACTTCAGGAGACGACGACGTAGAACAGCACACACATAAGATCATCCCAGTCAGTCTATCCAGTGCGATTGACGTAACAGCATCAGGCAATGCTAGACAGATTGCTAATATCAGCGGTATTCAGAGCGCACCAGAAGAGACCACGCATGACTCGGAAGCGGAAACTGAAAAGCTGTCTGATGTCGATGCAGAGACCGATGAAGATGCTGTGGGTTCTTCGATACAGGACGAAGAGAGCGAGACAGAGGATGCTAGCGGACAACGAGTCACGCGAGCTTCTGTCGAAAAGCCATCGCACGGAGAGAACGAAGCAGACGAACGTAAAGACGAGAGGGCGAATGGACGCGATTCCCATGGTAGTCCGTCAAGCTCCACACGGCGACGAAAGAGCTCTGGTGCAGCTTCGAACGCCATGAGTTGGTCAAGCAGTGCGCAATTCAAAGAGGACACGCGTCGAAGTCCAACCGAGGCCACGAGTTCACCACGGCCTCGTAATGCTTTTTCACCTTCAGTGGCTTCTGGGCGACGCGATAGGAGCAATTCTATACCAGAATCTCGAAAACGGAAAGCGCGAGACGAAGGACATATCCGTAACCTTGAACCTCCTAGGCAGCGTCACAAAACAGATGGCGCTGTACGCGAACTTTCAAATCCTCGGCAACAACAGCCACAGTCAAGCCTGTCGAGTACGACAGCTGCATCCCGACAACACAGACGATCTGCTTCCACGCAATCTGCAGTGCAGGGTTCTTCCTCCACTCAAGGCCGAAAGCGACGCGATGCTTCTAATCTTATTATCAGTACGCACGATCATAGAGCTTGGTCTTCACATTCTAGTTCGGATGAAGACTCTTCTCCTCGTCGACCCTCGCAACCGAAGCTCCAGCATATGCGCCTCAAGAGATCATCCCATAGATCGCTCACCTCACCTGCAAGGACGATGCCAAAGAAAGATACTGACAAATTCGGCGCAACCAAGCTTGCACGAGAAGCTGAGCGAGGTGACCTCAAATCAGTCATTGCCGCGTACAACGAGAAAAATGACGACTTGAATCGTCCTGATTTTGCTGGATTCACACCACTCCAGAAGGCCGCTCTCAATGGGTATGATGACGTCGTAAAGTTCCTCATTGACAAAGGGTGCGACACGTCATGCCAATCAGGTGATCGTGATACTCCACTTATTGATGCGGCGGAAAATGGCCATATCGAGGTTGTGAGGCTCTTGTTGCGTCAGGGGAAAGTTAATCCACATCATCAGAACAAGAAGGGTCAGCGCGCAATCGACGTGTTGAAAGACGGTAGTGACTTCGAGGAGCTTGAGAAGGAACTCAAGGAAGCTATGTTGAGGGAGGCCGACACGAGCGCAAACAAGGAAGAAGACAAAGCCAATCTACCCAGTAAACAAGCATCAAGTCTGCTCTACAATGAGTATAACGTTGAGACTATGAAGGATAAAGCCGCTGAGGGCAATGTGCAGCTTGTCGGGGAGTTGCTTGAAAGTAGAGTAAAGCCTAACATAGCTTGCGGGATTGCTGCTGCTCGTGGAGGTCACGATGATATCCTCAGTCTATTCCTTGCTGAGGGACTGAAAGCAGACCCCGATCCCGCCAAACACAGCGAAACCTACATGACAGTCGCCATCGGGAGAGGTCACCTCAGAGTCATAGAGCTTCTACTCAATCAAGAAAATTTCGATCCGACACGAGAGAATCGTGAAGGCCTCAATTACTGGCAGTTGGCTGAACAACGACGGGGTCCAAAATGGGAACAAGAGCGGAGCCTACTGAAAGAAAGGTACGATGCATATTTGAACAAGAGAAGCCCTAATAGATCACGAAAACATGCTCCTGCTTCATCAAACTCACCACCGCCCGCTCGAACGAAGCTAGCACGCCGATCGTCGCCGCAGCCAACCGATCGATCATTATCCCCTGTATCTGCGAAGCATCGTCGATCACAAATAGAGAAGCAAAGTGTTGAAGCGCCTAGAACTAAAATGTCATCTAACAAAGAGTACTTGAATCAGCGCGATTACAAACGAAGGCGCCGTGTAGTTGACGAAGAATCTTCGGAAGAGGACACGAAAGATAATCGGCTTTTGAAAAGAGTTGTTTCGAAGGACCGTGCCGCAAGCGAGGGTGAACACGAGCGATCAAGCAAGCTACAGTCGCAAAAGGTTACCGAGCAGCGGAAGAGTTCCTTGAAGCCTTCGAAGCAATCAGAAGCCAAATCAGATGACAGTGATGTCGAAGCTCGTGCGCGAGCTCAAAGAACAGGACGGCAGCGAAGGTCCGCTGAGCCCTCAACATTCGCCATTACGCGGTCTATTCAACCTACACCAGACGCAAGCTCAGATATTGAGTCGCGGAAGATAACCAAAGGGAACACAGTCTCTGGCCCGGCCAAAGTCAAGAGTGAGCGTCCGGACTCGCCAGCCTTACAAGGCAGGACTGATAAACAATCTTCCTCCCGCGACTTTGGTGCGCCGAGTGAATCCCGTAAACCGAAGCCGTCATCACGAACCCCATCACCAGTACGAGAAGCTCGATTTGCTGAAGCGAGAAGGAAGGAAGAAGAGCTGCAACGCGAAGCCGACAAAGCTCGTCTCAAGAAAGAAGAAGACGAAGCTAGGCAGAAAGAAGAAGCCACCCGAAAAAGAGAAGAAGCAGAAGCTCGTAAGAGGGAAGAAGCAGAAGCTCGTAGGAGAGAAGAAGCAGAAGCTCGTAGGAGAGAAGAAGCAGAAGCCCGCGAGAGAGAAGAAGCAGAAGCTCGCAGGAGAGAAGAGATCCGGCTTCAACAAGAAGAAGATCGTCGCCGTGAAATCGCTGAACAGCAACGTGTCGCCAGGCTAGAAGCTGCTGCTGCCCGCATCGCACGATTGGAAAAGCTACCCCCTACTCTAAAAAGTGCATGCGAAAAGGGTCTAGATCGTCCAGTCTACTTCGACAACGACACGATTGGTATTATACCCCTCTGGTTCCCCGTATATGTCTTTCCTAGTCAATACATAAATCCGACGTTGACGAGCGATGATATGTGGATGCATTCGTTCCAATGTGTGGGCATCCTGGGTCTTCCAGAGCTGGACATCTCGGAGTTTTTCCCAACTTGGGAAAAATACACAGTTACAGACCGCCAACGAGACCACCTAGTTCAAAGCTGGGACATGGCGCCCCTTGCACAAGAACTGCAGTATCCGGTACCCGGTATGGCTAGTTTTAATTGCAACGAAATCGAGAACAAAATCTCCGAAACCCGCGGCAAGTTCAAGACCATGAACCCCTTGTATTGGATCAAATTTTCAGACTTCGAACGAGAGCTTCGAGATGGTGGGAGGGATCTCGCATACCAGACGAATGGCACAGTCAAATCTGAAATTATAAGTGATGAATATCCGACCCTCGAAGCTTTGGAAGCGAACCCTAATGGTTCCACACTTGAGCAGACACTCATGGAATCAAGTTCTCGAGAACGAGCGAAAAGAACTCGAGACCAATTACGCGCACACAAGTTTCAGCCCGTTCAAGGCATACACACCGGAGAGATGGTACCCAAGACTGGCTCGGAAGTCAAGACCGTCAACGGTGTCAAAGGTCTCAATGGTAACACGAGCTCACGTGGCACTAACGGAGCGTCGCTGAAGCCCAGGAAAAGCTTAAAAGATCTGATCAGGGACAGTACTTCTACAGTCTAGTTCGATGCCTGTGTAAGAACGCTTCGCACTGTATGTCTTTGTCTGCGGGCCTTTCTGAGTCTAGAGAGTATATACCTTCCCACTTCGGATGTGATCATGCCAGTAGCCAAAAAACGAATTCCAACTCATCTTGTACAAACACACCTTGTTTAGGAGACTTTTGACATCAAGGAATTGGTGTGTACATTCAATATGTGATAGATAACACAGCGGGCGATCGATGACTAAATATGACACCCTTGTCGACTCGCCTGATCCACCTACGGAAGTAGGTGAACTACTCGTCGGGTCGTACCACCATTCAGATCTGACCCCGCACTAATAAGGGATGGATATATTTACGATTTACTAAGGCAGCTTTGTTCGAGTGATGTAAGACCCCACTAAACACGGGTCAAACGCCGACAGAGGGCGGCTTTCAAATACCACTTCTTTCTTTCACTTTCTTAGGCCATTGCACCTCCTCCATCATCTGTATCGCAGAACTTATACCTCAAAAACCACAATGTCTAGTCCCCCTCAAACAATTCGATGGGGAATCCTCGCTACGGGTGGAATCGCTCAGACCTTGTGAGCCTACATGTACGCAGCTAAGGTATGAATTAAACCTAACGTCGGCTACAGCACCCGCGATCTCCTTGTTGATCCTAGCACCCGTGGTGTACACAATATCAAGCATACAGTCGTAGCGGCATCGTCCTCCTCCTCCACTTCTCGTGCCCAGGACTTTCTGGAAGAGGTTGGTGCGCCATCTGATGCGAAAGCCTATGGTTCCTATGAAGAATTTGTCAAAGACCCCAATATCGACATTGTGTAGGTGTCAAAGGCTTAGAACAGATAATCCAACAACTGACACATTGTAGCTACGTAGCAACACCGCACAGCCACCATTATCAAAACGCCCGATTGTGTCTAGAAGCGGGCAAGAATGTTCTTTGTGAGAAGGCATTCACCGTGAATGCTGCACAGGCGAGGAAACTTGTTGATATAGCTAAGACCAAAAACCTCTTTCTCATGGAAGCAGTCTGGACACGCTATTTTCCCCTAAGTATCTGGGTTCGCGAGACGATCACATCCGGAAAACTCGGTCCTATTGCACGTGTGACAGCAGATAATAGCATGGCACTTAACCCTGAACAGAATTTTCCGGACGGTAAACACAGGATGGTCAATCCCGACCTAGCTGGTGGAGCTCTACTCGATCTTGGCATATATTCACTCACTTGGCTCTTCCAATCTCTATATACTACACAGGATCCAAAAGAAAGACAGAAACCGGTGGTGCAGGCGATACAGAAGATATACACAGGCCCGAACGTTGACGGTAGAAGTTCCGACGAACACTCTTCCATTGTCATCAGCTTCCCAAGAAGCAAAGATGCTGGTGGCGATGCCCATGGGATCGCTACAACCAGCTTGGTCGTTGCAACTGATCCTGTCCCTGGGGAGCATAGCATACCGTCGATCCGAATCCAAGGACCAAGAGGGGAGATACAAGTCTTTCCACCAGCGTTTCGGCCTACGAGGGCGAAGCTGATTATATCAAATGGCCCTGATGGGAAGCCGGTGGTAGAAGACAAAACTTTTCCCCAGCCTGGTCCAGGTTCTGGCAGTGGTTGGACCAATGGCTTCGGTTCGGACCGTAATGCAGAGGGTGAGGGTCATGGTATGTTCTGGGAAGCAGACGAAGCAGCCAGGTGTATTCTTTCTGGACAACAAGAAAGTGCAACGCTCAGCTGGGACGAGTCTATCATTATCATGGAAACCATGGACAAGGTTCGTGAGTATGGGGGGAGTAGATTTCCAGAGAAAATCGAGACACTGGATTTTCCAGTCGCACTTTAGGAGTCACGAATCTCCTGAAGGTCCTATGAATTCTCATAGGTTGTTTTCTCTTGCATATAAGGCACACTATCGTAGTGCATAGTGCATATATATCCGAATCATGTTTAGTTCTCAATCTAACTTGACCTCTGGGTTTGGTCCCTGTCTACCTAGGTAGCCTAGGTTATAGGTCAGAAGCAGGGCTTGAAGCGGGAGATCACGCGATCACCTCAGTGGCTGTATTCAAGTACATACTTTCAAGGATCAAGGACTATGAGGATCATGAGATAGTCTGATATAAGTAGAACAGATCTTGGAGCTAAAGTAGAACAACATCGTCTACGCGGTGTGCTGAAGAACAAGGTCGTCATGATAGGGAGATAGAGCAAGCCGTAGCCTATACTCGCAACACTTCAATTCCTATAAGCATCTTCTGCGCAATCATGTGTGCCTCTGTGCCACCATCCCGTGACATGTCTAGATTTAAAGTACTGTTTGGTCTCGCTTGGGTCAACGAGCAAACTGCAGCATTCGCGAGCCGCTGTTCATCGACAGAAAAGGAGTAGTCTGGAGCTGGCCATTTGAGATCCGAAATTGGCTACCCAGATCTTCCCACGCCTGCATTTTACATTCATAGAAGGCAGTCTAGCCCAAGGTACCTAATTATGGCAGAATATTACTAACTTTCTCTACAACAATGCTGAAATGAACAACAGGACACACTTCCTTTAGGTGACTTGCTTGTTCAGCAAGCATTCCTCGCGATTATCTAAGAGGAGCATCGAATTTTCCCACCCGACAAGACTACCACGAGTTCGGAGCTGACTATGAACGGAGTCATATAAGAGCTCCGTGCACCCAGTTGCCATAGTGGATGTAATTCAGCTTTGCCTCTACATTGGTGAGCATTATTCGTAAGTGGTCAGGCTTTACATCGTCTAGGATGATGCAGACGAGATGAATTCCCAGACAAAGTCCCTGGCTAACGTTTTCCCCCTCGCCAATCTTATCATCTTCTTAGTACGTGGGATGCCACTGATATAGTAGATTCACCAATTCCTGGCGTAAACACAGAGTGGCCGGGCTGGCGCTCGTAAATGCCACTTGCAAAAGCGTTGTCCTACCACACTGCATGCTACGCTTCAATCCCGTGTTCAGCCTCGCACATGAAGAAGTTAGTCTTGCAAAAAGAAGAGCTGCTCATACGGAAAACACATTCATAAGGATTTTGATCTTCCGTAGGGCTGTAGCGGGGGTTTTGTGCAATAGGACTGCTCCTGAAATTATGCGAACGAGTAATATTTCTTCTTCTTTTGGCAATCACTTCTTTGAATTCTAGAGCCGGCAGTGGAGCACAAGGCAACCACACAATACAAGAGCAATGCCCTCAAGTACGACAGATTGGAATCAAGCTACTTAGTAAGATATCTTCAACGCGTTCGCCGGATTCTGAATCATCGGAAAACCCCTTGTAACTCCTCAAAGCGCGAAACTCGGAAAGCCAGGATTTCGAGAAGGCTCTTGAGTTGAATGGATATTGTAAAAGGGTGCCTGTCGACTGCTACTTTCTCCCGTTGTCTGCGTTACCAGGACAAGCGACCCAATTCTCGTTCGCTCGGCTTCAAAGGTACGCATTCAACACCGGACTATTACGGCTAAGAATAAATCTTCTCTATGCGTATTGTCAATTGATATGTACAATTCCTGTTAACTCGCGCATGCTAAATCGCCGGCGAACCGTCTACCCAGAGTACCTACATAGTGAACAGTCAGTTGAGTGGAAATTAAAACCCCCGCTCAAGATATATATATCTCAGTCGCGAGCAACTATTGCCCCTTGAATAATGTCGGCTCTACGGTTCCTGGCGCCGGAGGTGCATCACCTATTTCACCACCATCTTTTTTTCCTGGTCCGCTTGGTTTCGGCGTGTTCATGTCACTTCCCTCGCGGTCTCCTTTGCTGCCGAAATACTTTGACCATTCGCCCTTGTCGGGGAACGGTCGTTCGCCCAGTAGCCGTATCATGTCATCGCGGACAAGCATTTCTTTAGAGAGCAGCTCTTCGGCGACTAGGCCGACCTCTCTCTTCTTTTCTGTGAGCAGGTCGCGACACTGCTTGTAAGCCTCGTCAACGATGCGACGGACTTCTGAATCTATGTTCTTTGCTGTCTCCTCGCTAAAAGGCTTATGCAATTGACTTGACGGGTCATCTTCGAAGTAAAGGTGCCCGACCTTTTGTGTCATGCCCCATTTGGTCACCATAGAGTTTGCCATTAGTGTCACCTTCTTGAAATCGTCACTTGCACCGCTTGTGACCGTGTCGAAGTGCAGTTCCTCGCTTACCCGTCCACCGAGGGTCATTGCCATGCGGTCCATAAGTTGGTTGACGTTCATGAGGTAGCTGTCACCGTTGGGTAGGTATTGAGCATATCCGAGAGCGCCTTGACCGCGGGGAATGATCGAAACCTTCAGGAGTGGGTCGGCCCACTCAAAATACCAGCCGCAGATAGCATGACCAGCCTCGTGGTAGGCGACTGTCTTCTTCTCTTCAGGGGAAAGCACAAGAGACTTCTTCTCCATGCCGACGATGACGCGTTCGATGGCTTGTTCGAAATGTGTCATGGCAACACTGTCGGCACCAAAGCGGGCGGCTAACAAAAATATTAGCAAAATATTAAAAGGGCGTAGAACCTTTACTGACCAACTAAAGCAGCTTCATTTACACAGTTGGCGATGTCTGCTCCAGAGAACCCTGGCGTGAGAGTTGCGAGCCGGCCCTCCAGATACGGAAGGTTTTCCGAGGTTACAATCTTCCTCAGGTGTACGCCGAATATTTGTTTCCGGCCCTCGAGTGTTGGCTTATCGATGGCGATATGTCGGTCGAAACGGCCTGGACGCATCAAAGCCTTGTCTAATACATCGGGTCTGTTAGTACCCGCTAGGACCACTACTTGTTCGGATGTATTGAAACCATCCATCTCGGTAAGGATTTGATTTAGAGTGCTTTCACGCTCGTCGTTGCCACCACCGAAGTTTTGTTTTGACCTGGACTTGCCAATAGCATCGATCTCATCGATAAAGATGATACAAGGCGTGGTCTTCCGAGCATTCGCGAATAGGTCGCGCACGCGCGACGGTCCAACACCGACAAACATCTCGACGAACTCTGATCCACTGACGCTGAAAAAGGGTACACCAGACTCGCCAGCGGTGGCCTTGGCGAGCAACGTTTTACCAGTTCCTGGCGGACCTGAGAGAATTGCGCCTCGAGGGATCTTCGCACCGAGCTTCTGGAATCGGCTAGGCTCTTTGAGGAAGCTCACAAATTCCATGATTTCCACCTTTGCTTCGTCCATGCCTGCGACATCGCTGAACTTGACTTTGATGTCTGTTTCATGATTGAACTTCTTGGCTCGACTGCGGCCCATACCGAAGATACCTCCTTGACCACCTCCAGCTCCTGATGCCGCACGCCTGGATATGAGCAGTAAAGCTCCGACGAAAAGCAACGTAGGTCCGAAAGAGAGTGCTAGATTTTGCCATGCGCCTTCGCTAGAATAAGCGATGGGTATGCGTTCGCTCTGGGGAATTCCAAGACTGTTCTGGGCTTCGTCCATCTTGCGTTCGAAAGCTTCTACGGAGCCGAGTGTGATGCGATATGTAAAATTTGGGTTGGCGGCGGGGGAGTCGGGGTGCACTTGAGCAACGAGATTTTGATGAAGATGTACCTTAGCTACTGTTCCGTTCACAATTACAATCTTCTCCACCAGTCCCTTGTCTAGGAACGTGTTTCGAAACTCTTGCCATGTGATTTCACGGCCCATCTCTGTGGGCATGAAGAGACGGTATAACATGTATGCTGATATACCTGATATTAGGAACGTGTTCAGGTCGAAGTTGAATTCTGGCTGGCCTTGTGAACCCTCTTTCTTTCCCTTCTTGTCAGATGAACCCTCTTTCATCCCCTGTTTGCCAGATGAACCTGGGCCGACTTCGTGAGGTCCAGACTTTTGCTCTGCTTGGCTATCTTTCCGTGTATTGTCGTAGAATATATCTTTGCTTAGCTCTGCGGTCCTTTGTTTTCCGAACTTTGTTATTAGACGAGAAATTTTGGCGACGTCACCCATCGTCATGTTTTCTGCATCGACCTTGCCCATTGCTTCCTTGAGTTCCGCAGGTATACCCTCCCTCTTCATCCGGGCGATAGTCGCATCGATAACTTTCCGCATGCCCTTGGGAATCCCTCTGTTCAGTTTGCTCACTATCTTCTCGAGTTGTTCCTCCTCTTCAGGAGACAGGCTAGCCATATTGCTCTTAGAGTTCTTGGCGGCATCGTGCTCTCCAGTCTCAGGCTCTGCTGCTGGTTGCCGCTCGTCTGCATTTTCGCCATCCTGCTTGGAATTGTCTTTTGCTGCTTTGTTTTTTGCCTCTTTGTTCGTCTTTGGTGGCTGCGGGTCTTCAGGCTGGACGGACGCATACCACCGCTGAGATTGGGGCGCACAAGGACAACGAGGCGCGATAGGTATTCTCCGAGGTCGATGATGACTTCGCGAAGTTATTCGAAGATAATTGCGCGATAAGTTAGCTACCTGGCCAGAGCGGCGGAGGACGGAAGACATGGTGGTATGAGAAGGAGGGAGGACAGAAGAGAGGAGGGGTGCTGAATGATGTCAGTGAGACACCATACAACGAGGCAAGACTTCGTTGAGATAGCGTGGGTGATCGTGATGATGGAGGCAAAAGTAAGAGACCATTCTGGGTCGCGAAGTCAATGACAGCTGCGCGGTGCGCCGTCGGTAGCTCGGAGCTTGATGGCCGGACTTCGTCCGAGAAACACTAGTCCATAGACAGTTAGCGTCAAATGTTTAATCATAAATACCATTCACAACCTCTGTTTCGCAGCACCATTTGCTGTGGACAGATTGGTGTATAGGTTGGGTGAGCGCAGCTAGAGTCACTTCACTAATTATCTTGCTGCTATCTCTCAGGAATTGTCTTTGCATAAGCCAACACTCTTCTGCACCGCTCTTTCTCACTGAGGCCTTGAGAAGTCTTATCGTATGGCAGCTTCACATTTATCTACATGAGCCTATCACAGGAGTTGTAGTAAGCTCTATTCCTGATCTGCTTGCCCCGCTGGCTAGCCTTGATGAATAGTTTTCTATATCATTAGCAACAAGATGCGGTTGCGAATACCCTCAAAACGATTAACGTCAAATAGAGGTCACATATCGACGATAGCATTTGTTCGAATTCAGAGAGTACAGTATCATGATAGTCATTGAAGCATAAATACTGATCAGTGTTCTTTGTACGACACCCCGCACCCTGCTTCAACGAATCATCTTTCACCTCATGAAGTTATACTTGATATGCTACCCCTCCTTAAACCCAATATGTTAGCTGTGTGTTTACGCAACAGGTTCAAATCAATCACATCATACTGGATGGTGAGAGTATAGCAAACTACAGGATTCACAACAACCGAAAATGTGTGGTCGTCTTGAAGGCAAAGTAGCCATCGTCACCGGCGGTGGTTCTGGCTTCGGGCGAGGCATCGTCGACAAGTTTACCTCAGAAGGTGCCCGAGTCCTGGCATGGGATATCGACGGATCAAAGCTCAAAGACTTTGCGTCTGGCCCGTCTGGCAGCCCAGAAGCTCTCATCCTAGACGCCACCCTAGAACAAGACTGGCGCCTCGCACTCGCCCACGTCCTCCGTTCATTCGGCAAGCTCGACATCGTCGTCAACAATGCCGGCGTCGTGCACCGCAACCAGCCGTCCGAAACGACACCAGAAGACGAAGTGGACCGGATGTGGCGCGTCAATGTTAAGCCGATATACTACAGTAGCAAGGTCATCGTTCCGTACTTCCGTGAGGTCGGCCACGGACAATTCATCAACCTCTCAAGCATATCGACACCTCGGCCCAGACCGGGACTGGTGTGGTATGCTGCGAGCAAAGGGGCTGTCACAGCAGCTACGAGAGGCTTGGCCGCGGAATATGCACCGTACAAGATCCGGGTGAATTGCATACAGCCAGTCTTTGGCGATACTGGGATGTATGTTGCTTTAGCAAACGCCATGTTGGTACTGCATGTGCTGACAGGATGTAGGGCAGAGAACGTCATGGGAGGGTGTATCACTCCTGAGAAGCATGCTACACTGATTAGTGGTATTCCGCTAGGGCGAGGTGCTACGCCAGAGGATATAGGTAATGCTGCCTGCTATTTAGCCAGCGACGAAGCAAGCTTTCTGACGGGTGTATGCTTGGATGTGGATGGAGGTCGTAGCTTGAACTGATGCATTAAGTCTATCCTACCGTAAACAGCTAGGTCATGAATCCACCCACTGACGGAGCCGGAACGCCATTGAAGGCTTGATCGCGCGTTTTTGAGGGTCCCTTGAGGGAGAACGGCTATTTCTTTTACTATTTATCTTGGAACTCCATTTCAAGGCCATACTGGGTGTACTCGTGACTTATGGTGAGTTGAGAAATGTATACACAAGCGGCACCGACAATCCTCACCGATGAGACGACTTGCGCCATGACTTAAACACAGGAACGCCTGATTTTGTTCTAATCAACAAACAATATGCAAATGTACAAAGCCGACACATCCCTAGCACCGAGACAATGAATCGTAAAAATCTATCAAACACTACCGCTCAAACACTATGCCTACCTACGCCTTCCACTTACCTTTTCCCTTCTTGCCACCACCAAGCACACCCATTGCCTCCTTCTCGCCATTCTCCACCTCTCCATCCACCAACTTGGCCGTATGATCCAATGCTCCCGTCTCCCCTGTCTGTCTGTTCCTCAGCAGATTGTCTGGGAAGGGAAACATTGTACTCCTCTTCGGCGGCTGTATTTGACTCGCGAATGCCCACCAGTGCCTTGCCAAATCCATCCCCAGCACATCCGTCATTGGCGTCAAAATTGGCACTACCAGCCCTAGAATAGCATAGCTTGTAACCCCAACAAGAGTCACAGACACGTCGTACGAGAAATTGTGATCTGTGAGGAAGACGAGCAGCCAGGAGCCCCAAGACCAGAAGATGACACCGTGGATCAGGTATATTGTGAATATGTGCGGAAAGATGGTCTGGAGGACGCGGTTGGAGAGGATCATCTGCATGAAGGGGGATATCTCGATGATGGTTTGCAGTGAGCTTGCGGCGATCAAGCCGTTTAGGCGTGGTACGAAGTATTCCGGATACTGACTTCCCTTCGTCTGTGTGACGGGAGACGCGGTGGCCCAGTCTGGATGCCAGCCGTTCTCAGAAACACTCAGGTTGAACTTTGTGAGCTGCGGCGTAATGTTTGACACGACTGCCCCGATGGCGAGGAGGGTACATGTGGTGACAAGGGGATAGTACACCCAGAGGTGGCTGTGGAGATATTTTCTGTATTTGTATGTTATGTCGAGGTCGGAGAGGAGGATGCCGACGTAGAAGTACGCGTTCCAGCTTTGCGCGTACCAGCCGTTGACGATACAGAATGCATAAAAGGACATCCTTTTCCATGGATTGCGAATCTCACGGATGACGAGGATGGAGAGAAGGATCAGCCATGTTGATTGAAGCTGGACGGCGACCGTCCACAAGACTCCTGTGCAGTAGTGGAATACCTATTTGAGTAGTGCGTTAGCTCAAGGAGTCCATCAATCAGAGCTTTTGACTTACAATCTGAGGAAAACCATTGGGGATGAGAAAGCCTAGTTCGAGCATCTCGTTCAGGAAGATAGCAAACGAAGGAAACCGCTCCACATACGGCCACTGAGACCAGGTGATCGAGGGAGTATACTGAAGGAACCGTGTAGCACCAGCGTCAATGAGAAAGTACTCAATAAGAACTATCGCTGTGACAGGAATCATGAATCGGGGGATCCTGCGGACTGCAACTGACGCAATATGCCTCAGATCGCCATCCTCGAGGTACCGATCAACCATGAAACGACAAGAACTAGTGAAGAAGAGACCGAGCCAAAGCTGAGAAAGAATCACAGGTGAAACGTACATCCGGACAAAGTTCTCGGAGCTGTGGTGAACAACCCGGTCTCCAGGTGAGATTGCGGCAGGAACAAAAGAGAGGCAGAAGTGCTGGACTGTTACAATGACCGCACAGAAAGCGACAATACCTGCGAGATAGTCGACTCGAGCCCTCTTTGCCTCATTGAGTGGCTTTTTGACTGGCTCAGGGCCTGCTTGTTCCACGGAAGACGCCGCCTCTGAGTTTCTGATTTGATCCTTCGTCATGGTATCATCTTCAATATTCCCATCATTCAGGGTTAGATAGTCTTCCGCCAATGATCTCTCATGAGGACTTATCAGGGGAGTACCAATAGGACTTATCATGGGCGTTCCCAGGGGACTGTGAGTCGGGACATCAGTTCGAGATGTGCTTCTCGAAGAAGCTTTATGATGTTCGTGACGTGGGAGTAGCATAGATGTTATATGCGGTGTCCCAGGGGTTGCTGGGGTCCCAGGCGTGCCAGGTCTTGACGGTGGCTGATTCATTTGGTAGATTGACGTAATCAGAGGCACAGCTGGCGAGTCCAAACCGAGGCAGCTGAAGTCCAAGCGACCAGGGTGCTGTCTGGATATGGACCGAGAAGATCCAGGTCTCGAATTTCCATATCGAGGAGTTTCGGCTTGGGAACCACCAGGTCGGGAGGCTGTGGGCCGGGTGGTACCTGGCCTCAGTGTGCTAGAACTCGACATTGGATGAATGCTTCCAGAAGCAGGGCCAATAGTAAGATCGTCAGCCAACGTTACTCCAGAATATGTTGAGCAAGCCGATGATTGTGGGTTCTCGCTTCGGAGCTTGTCGACTTGACGAGATCTTATATCGGAATGTCCAGCCTTAGTCCTTGAGCCTGAACTACTTGCACGTGAGGGGAAAGATTCCATGCTCTCTTTTGGAGAATTCCCATTGTCTGAAATCAATGTATCCTTCAAGCCATCATCGGCATAATCTGAAGAATCAATCTGCCTTGATCCACGAATCACACGAATTGAAGGAAGAGCACGTGGGGACGTGAAGGAAGTTCCAGACTTGGCCTTGCGACGCTCTCGTACCAGCTTCCATGGTTCCCAAATATATATGGCATGGCATAGGACCAAGAATGAAACAGACAGACAGAACACAGCGATAACAATTGCGGGAACCCTCTTTGGCTCTTTGGGGTGTTTGTGCTCATACTTCTCGAGTGCGGTGGCGTTGTATGAGGATACACCCCTTAGTGTCGTGTCGTCGACTGAGCACGCCAGACTTGGTATACAGCGGGCATCGAAATCGCGGGCATCCGTCGTGGTACTGTTGAAGAACATTCTGACCCATTCCACGCCAGCGAACCCGCGCTTCGTCGGCGGACCTTGCATAGAGTAATAATTGCCAGTCGACCAGTGCTTGATCTCAAATGGCACTGGTACGGCAGGGAGATCGGGCTGTTTCGCTTTGACAACCCTTCTAGTCGTGTTCGAGCCAATTGTAAAGTTCAACGTCGTGGCGTCCCAGTCAATCTTGTACTCCGTAAAGTTCCATGGGGACTCGATACCAATCTCCTTTGAACCGTTGGCAAGGACGGAAAAGTTAGACCCCAGGTTGCGGTCAGGAAATTCGCCGTTGACAAAAGTCCCAACCCACGCGTACGAGTCATTGGGGATGTCGGTGTTCATAAGCATGAATTCCATAGATTGCGTATCGTTCATCTGCAGGAGCATGGACAAGGCGCTGCCCCCTCCATTGTCCATTCCAGGCGGCTTCATTTTCGCTCTGAAGCTGCCAAACATTATATCTCTCCGGTCTGTCTGTATCGAAGATCCCATCACCAAATGGTTCTTCAGGAACGGGTCAATGTAAAGCTGTGCCGAATCCGACGACGAGTCCAGATATACATTATTTGGGGTGGCGCCCTGTCGAAAGACGGAATTCCAACCCTTTTCTTTCTTGTTCTTGTAAGATTGCACGATCCAGCCATCATCAAAAGTAGATGACTCGTTGAAGAAAGTGACCATGCCATCAGTGAATATATTTCCAGACGAGGAGTCGCGGAATCCGCAGTCACATATGCTTCCATCCCCTCTTCGCACATCTGCCCATGCACCTGCCCCCAGAATCAAGATCAGAACGCATCGCCGCAGGACGCTGAACGATGTCGCATACAGCATAGTTGTGAGAGCATGCACCTTTGGGAATCTAGGATGTGCGACTGTAAGGTAGCATGAAAGGTGAAAGACCAAGGGGAAACCGACGTAATCCGAGCACCAAGCAGGCCAGATCCTTGGGGATGAACAATGATGCTCTCGACTAGCCCCTGCGGATCAAGTAGCCAGAATGCAGAAAAGGATCAGTTGCTGAGCGGATCGATTTAGGGACCGTCGATTGGGGTATAAAGTCCATTGCAGCTATGGCTGGACTTCACCCGGTCGATCAAACTCATGAATCTGGGTCGACTACAGTGAGTCCAACATGATGGTGATCATGTTGGCATCACTTTTGCAGGTCCACTTCCGCCTCAAGCGCGGAATTGAGGGTCCAGAATGTGAAGATGTAATCAGTATTCCGAGTTCCACTTTTTTGGCCGGAGGGCACGATGTAGGCCCCGATGCTGGACAACCAGCTAGGAAAGGTACGGTCGGGGATGTAGATATCTCAGCCCGATTTGGACAAGGCATCGAGACATTGGATGAAGCCTTTCGAGCCGCTCGATCAGCCAGCTCGCTGCGCGCAAGACCCCATATGCTGGAGCATCGTTCGCGCGCTACCGGCAGGATCTGTAGCCCATGTCCGAGAAATGCAAGTATACCAAAGTGGTTCGACTGCCTTCAATGACATCGTAATGCCCCTGTTTCGCTGTTCCAGCCCCGATGGAGTTTTGGCCAGATGTGGCCGTCGTGGACCGCCCAAAGTCGCGAGACTAAGTTGACGACTTCTCAATCGTGGCAAACATGGCTAGACAGTACACCAGTGCCTGGTCAACCACCCAAAGATGGCTGTCACGACCCCGCAAATGTTCAACCGAATGAGGATGGGACCGATTGAAGAGGCTACCACCGGGGGTTCGGCGTCGAAAACATGCCCACGTCCGATCATCTCATGTGGGACACCACGTCAGCTTCACGCGGCGCAGTAAGGTGACAGAAACGGAATGTTCTCTATGACTTCAGCATCGAGATGGCATGCACCATTCGTAGCTTGGCAGAGGAGATGTTTGCTAGGCACGTCCAGTCCAGTCTAGTCCAATCTCCATGTCAGTCAGATGGGAAAGAGAAAAGGGTCAGGCACATTGGCTCTTGAACCCATCCCGTCAGTGCGAGCCTACATATGACAGCACATACGTGAAAATAGTTGAGTATCTGATACGTATCCTCATAACACGTAAATGATGTATATACATCTACATATATCGCCAAAAACTATAACATAGCAACCACATACTTCCAACACAAACAGGATAGTATCAAGCACACAGAACAACCACATCCAGACATCCCCAACCAAATAGCCCATCCTACCATCAGCATCCATCACACGCCTGGAACCCAAAGTAACGAACCCGATCCAGACATCCACTAGACAAAGTCGATCCAAACAATCCATGGCGCACTATATCGCCCTGGCATCTCAGCCGCGCCAAGGAGTTTCCATGTACCTCGCTCGGTAGCAACGGAATCAGGGGTGTCAGCTCCCCTTTACTCGTGGATGCGCAGCTTCCAGCTTCCTTTTGAGGGGTAATTTAGTGGGTGGATGGAATGGAAAGGAATGAATGGATGGATGGATGGATGGGTAGATGGATTGGCCGTTCTAGGCCGGAATCGTGATTCCACCGAGCGCCAAACACAACCACAACACATAGTATGCACACTCCATGCTTTCATGTGAGACACGAAACGGGCGGGCCAATACCTCCACACCACCACCACTGCCCCCTCCCCTTTGGGAAGCTCGACTGGATCTATAGACTACGAAAAATGCTGAACAGAGAGGGCCGCACAGGCAGGGGGTGACTTGGCGGGTTGCTTGACATTGCCCGAAATGTGATTCGAGATGGTAGCTGTCATCGATTGCTAGTTTGGAGTGTGCTCGAGGCATTCGGTGCAGCAATTGACATGAATGTGGTGATGTGCAATGTATGTGTGGCGAGCATACCTTATCTGCACATGATATGTAAAGTCTATAGAGTGAATGAGGTGAATAAACACGTAAAGCAATACCAAGAAAAACACAAACACCACAATCACGACCGCACCGTCGGATTCCACGACGAATACCGCGCCACCTGCCGCGCATGCCCATACAGCCCAATCGTCGCATTAACAATGATATAAAACGCATAAAACACACTAAACACCACAATATCCCACCGTGTCACAAACTCCGACTTGACCCGATTCGTAATCCAGAGCGTGGCAACGAGGCACAGCACACTCAGAAAGAACAACCACCACGCAATCGGATACTGGAAAAAGAGAAAGTGCAGCGCCCCGAGCCCGCTCTTTGGCCACCGCGAGATGACGAAGCTGAAGGTGAGACAGGTGCACTGCGTGACGAGGTAGTAGCTCCACTCGCGGATGAAGAGCAGGCTGAAGATGCCGAAGCGGATCCGGGCTGTTCGGGGCCGTTGCTCGGGAGGTGCGTTCCAGGTCATTTGGAGGTGGCGGGCGCTGGCTTGGGTCCAGCCTTGGGCCCAGCGGAGGCGCTGCTTCCAGAAGGTAGGCCAGGTTGTGGGTGCGAGCTCGTAGGAGGTGACGTTCATGTCGTGGACTGCGTTGGCGCCGTGGGAGAGGGCGCGGAGGGCGCTGTCGATGTCTTCGGTCAGCATGCTGCCGTCCATCTTGAGCTTCTTCAGCAGGTCGCTGCGCCAGTAGCCGTTGGATCCGCAGAAGAGCTGTGCCGGGGGGATTAGTTCACTACTCTTATGTCGTAGAGATACATCTTTGTACTTACGCCGAAATTCCACATGACGGCCCGGCCGGGGTGCGACACGGCGTATATCTTGTCGAACTCGACCGCGATCATCTTCGTGAGGAAGTTGTCCTGGGAATTGAAGATGATGCAGCGGCCTTGCACGATGTCAATGTCGGACGACTGTGCAAAGCGCTCCATGGCCCATCGGCTCGCGTTCGGATGCGGGTAGTGATCCGCGTCAAAGATGGCGATGACGTCGGAATCAGGCTCAACGCAATGCGTCAGGAAGTGGTTCAGGTTGTCGGCCTTTGACGTTGAGTTTGGCACTTTGACAACCCGGAGATGGTGGTGTTCCTTTGCCAGCACTCTGAGGTCGTTCTCGACGTCTGGTATGGCCTTGGGCGTGTTGTACAAGACGTTGATCCTGATCTTGTCGCGGGGATATATGATCTTGTTGACCATGTAGTCGACACGGTCCAGGATGATGTCCTTTTCGTTGGGCAGATAGGCGACAAGGATGAGATCCAGCATGCCCAAGTCGCTATCAGGGGTCGGAAACACCCAATTCTTGGCCGACGCCTTCTCCACCACCTGACGTGACTCCTTGATGGGTGTGATGGAGAAGAAAGCCTCCAGAACGGTGCCGGCTGCCACGTAGAAGTTTGTCGCCAGATAGATGAAGAAGAAGACCTCGACAAAGGTCTGCGAGCAGACGAGATAGAGACAGACGGAGAATGGGAAGTACGAGGACACGAGAAGGAAAGGGGTCCACTCGTGGATAAACTGCGATACTCTTGCAACCAAGCGAGGTTTTTTTGTTTTTGTCGCGACTTCGATTCCTGCGTCGGTGATTGAACTGGCTCCGCTCCCAACGTCTACGATGAAGTCCTTTGGGGAGAAGGACTTCATCTCCAGAGAAGCATCTCCGCCCATGACGATCTGTTCCACGACACTTCAGAGCGGACGGTGGTTTTCAACAGCCAAGTGAAGACCACAAACAAGTAGACAGCCCAACAGCCAAGTGAAGACCACAAACAAGCAGATAACCCAACAGCCAAGTGGAAAAAATAAATCGACAGTCACAAAAGTCACAAAGAAGTACTAATTACCCCAACGCCGCCGAGACCCCAAAAGAATATATCCAAAAACCCCGATTCCCACCACAAAAACTTCAACAAGCTCTAGATCACAGCCCCCTGGACCGAGGGCCGGGCTCGGAAGCAGTGACAGATCCGTCAGCCTGACACTCGATTCCCGCACTACTTACTGATGAAGAAACAATTTTTCTTCCTCTTCTCAGCCTTGAGCTACGGGTCCGTCTTGGCATAGATCGGTGGTATGGAGCATGGCTGATGGATGGATGGATGGATGGATGGATGGATGGATGGATGGATGGATGGATGGTTGGATGGATGGATGGATGGATCGCGAGCGAGCAAAGGGCTGATCTCGGCACAAAAGGCGAGCGAGCAGGACGTGTATGTGATGCTACGTGGACCACTGAGGCTGAGCCCCAAGGCCTGGAATGAAGAAGCGGGAGGTCCATCAGCTCCGTTCATTGCGATTTGGTGGAACGGCGCGATCGATCGATTGATGATTCGGGCATTCGAGCGTGCGCTCAAGTGCTGGAATGTGACACCAGCCAGCCGTGTTGAGGCCAGGTCAGGTCAAGTCAGGTCAGGTCAGGTCAGGGATTGGAAGTCCTCATGAATTGGATGTGGAGACGTCGAAGACACACCCACACCATCCACCCACACCAGCCACCAATGCGGCCCAAAACCTGTCAGCCTTGCGTCAATCCGGATCGCCGTCATTCCGGGCGGGGGGTGGCCCGATCGATCGTCCCGGGCCCCGGCCGGTCTGCGAACCATGGTTCATGCACCGCAACTCGACAACAAGTCATCTTGTGGATTCGTGCATCCATCCGTATGTATCCTCGGCGTGCCATCATTGCCGCGAACTTGTGATGGATATGCTGGGTGTGTGAGATCCTGTGAGCTAGTAGGGTTTTTTGTTAAAACTGCTACTTGATGAGGAACAGGGGCAGCAGTTCTATCGACAGGGTCAGATGTGGATTCGACAGAGAGATAGACCTTTTGGGTTGAATCGTCTATCCAGGCAGGGGGTTGTATCCATATGCCAGCGTGATAAGTACAGCATCACGGCAACACAGATCCCCTCTTCTCTTCTCTCCTCCTTTCCTCTGCCCTCCTCTCCTCTCCTCTCCCCTCCTCTCCTCTCCCCCCAACCCATCCTCCACCCTCCCCAAAACACAATGCCAACCACCGCCCAAACCATCCAAACCGACCTCCACGCCCTCGAAACCCTCCACCGCCACTCCCTCAACACCCACCTCCTCGGCCTCCGCGGCCTCCTCACCCTCCTCACAACCCTCACCTTCTTCCTCACCACCTTCGTCCCCTCCGCCGTCAAGACCGCCGACCCGTCCGCCCAAACCCCCGGGCCCCTGTACGCCACCATCCTCCGCAAGACCCTCGGCCCCCTCTTCTGGAACCAGTTCCTCCTCTACTCCTTCTTCATCTTCCTGTCTGCCCGCTCCGTCTGCATTCCCTTTCTGCATTCCCACGCCCGGCTGGATTTCGCGCGGGTTGTGTTTCAGCGCGGGGTGAGGCTGTGGACTCCTACGGCGGTGGCACTACTGTGTGCGTGGGGCGCAATGAGCAAGTGGGGGCATGTCGTCGAGCGGTTCAGGCAGCGCACGGGAAACAGCAACATGCAGCCGCTGTTCCACATCAAGGACACAGGCGTGTTCTTCAACGCGCTGTTCAACGTCTTCTGGGTCAACAAGGCGTTCTTCAATCAGGCTGCTAGCACCGCGTTTCCCGGCCAGATGCTGTGGATGGTCTCGGTCATATACCAGCAGTCGTACGTTGCCCTGAGAGTCACCCTTCCTGTAGCAAAGCCCAGAAACTGACGAGACGAACGCGTAGCTACACAGTCTACATGACCATGCTAATAACCCCCTACACGCTCCCGACCTGGCGCATCAAATCCCTAACCGCCCTCACCCTAGCCGCCTACTGGGTCCAGTCCTGGGCCTGGTACTCCATAACCGCCCTCCTCCTCTCCGACACCCTCATCAACACCTCCCTCGCCACCCACCTCCGCCGGCCCATCACGCTCAAGCTCGGCACGCGCAGACTCGGCTACTGGGCCCTCGGCCTGCCCACATGGCCGCTCTTCGTCCTTGTGATGCTGACGGGCGCCATCCTCTCGTACGTCTACGCCGCGTATCGCCCCGGGTGGACGAACAGGGAGCTTGTCGCGCACGCCGGGATGTATTATTCTGGGGGTTTGAATACGCGGCCGGATGTGCGGGAGCCGCAGGCGCGGGTGGATAATTATCTTGTTGTTGTGGGGTTTTTTGGATTGCTTGAGTCGTGTAGGGCGGTGCGGTGGTTTTGTCGGCTGCCGCTGTTTGTCTTTCTGGGGCGTCGGTCGCTTAGTATGTTTGCCGATCTTTCCCCCTATTCCCCCCCTTTTTTTCCCGTGGTGTTTGATACATGGGTACTCATGACGATGATGACTGATACCAACAGGCTACTTCCTCACCACGCCCATCGTGCTCTACACCGCGGGCATCGGCCTGTTCGACGCGCTGCACTTTTACAACGAGATGGGCAGAGAGGCTGCCGTGGCGGTTGTGGCTGTCATCATGGCTCCGGCTGTTGTCGCGGCGGCGGAGGTGTTTTACTGGGTTGTCGACCGGCCGAGTATTGCGTTTGCGCGCTGGGCGTGGGCGTTTGCGACGGCGTGATTGAGGGGGGTTGGCGTTGGAGGTGAATGATGTTGTTTAGCGCCTCTCTGTCTGTATCTCTATCGGGACGATGTCTGTGTGCGGTGCAGTGCATGTTTGGAATACGTCTTGGTGTAATGACGCTATCGTCAGAGACGGCATAACACAGCACCGTTATTCATTCGTGTATTTCTAGCAGTGTATGGGGGACTGCTTTGTCGTGGGTGCTATATGAGACGTATCGCTCGCTTTATACTCCCTAGCCCTGTCGTAGGTGGCGTGGATAGGGGTAGGGATGCGCCACCCATGACGTGTTGAGATTAGATTAGATAGGCGGATTGATTAGATGGATTAGATGGACTACCAAGCCGGAAAGGTCCCAACCTAAGTGCGTAAAGCTGGAAGGAGGCGCTGGGAGGACTGACTGGAAGATCTGTTGGACGAATGAACATGTCAGGCCGGATAAGGACTGGATGTTGTATATATATATATACCAGCACCAGTACATAAGTAACAAACTCCACGCCCACCCCTGTCCTTTCCAAACCCCAACCCAACCCAACCCATCAAGACACGCTACAGAAACCACCGAAACTCCTCCCCCGCCGGCCCCTCCCTCAGCAACGCCGTACTAATCTCCCTCGCCCTCCTTGTCGTCGTCAACCCCTGCCTCCGATCCCTCCGCCGATTATCCCAGGCCATCCAGCCGCCCAGACAAAGCGTAATCAGGCCGCCGGCCGCGCCAAACGCCGCCGTCGTCGCCAGCGCAGGCGCATACCTGGGCGCATCCCTGTTCCGGAAGATGTTACTGCTCACGACGCCCATCAGGTTCGCCAGCGGGACGCCGACGGAGGTGAGGGTGACGCGGCGGCCCTCGTGCGCGACGTTGTTGTTGTACCATGTCGAGAGCAGGACCGAGGGCGCGGACGTGCCCCAGGTCATCATGAAGCAGGCAAAGTAGGCCGTCTGGACATGGCCGTGCACGTCGATGGCGGCGTAGATGATGAAGCCGGAGAAGGTGAGGAGGAAGCCGAGGGCGATGAAGGGGAAGCGGATGCGCGAGAGGTCGGAGGCGAAGGCGAGGAGGAGCAGGACGAGGGCGCCGACGATGTTTGGCGCGACGGTGTAGAGGTTTGTCTTGATGGGGCTGTAGCCGAGGCGGGCGACAATCTGGGGCAGGAAGAGGGAGACGGACTGCAGGGGCACGCCGAGGCAGATTTCGATGGCGAGGAAGCCGTAGGTGGCGGGGGTGCGGAAGATGGCGAGGGCGTCGCGCAGGTTGAAGGGCTCGTTGACGGTCGAGGAGGAGTCTTCCTGGATGCGGGTGAAGGCGAGGTTGCGTTCTGGCTCGGAGAGGAAGCGGGCTTCGGCGGCGGAACGGGGGAGGTACCAGAATGCGAAGAGGGAGACTGCGAGGGGAGGGAGAGTGTGAGTGAGAGTGAGAGAGGAGGAAGGGCATGGAGAGGTTGCAAGGACTTACAGGCAACTGTGATGGCGCCTTCAATCAGGAAGAGATAGCGCCAGCCCGGCAGCGAGGAGTCAATGTGGAAGACGCCAAACGCAAGCAAGCCGGAAAAGGCGTTTGCGATGTTTGACGCGGCGTAGAACATGGCCAGCCGGCGTGCCAGCTCTCCTCTCCGGTAGAATGTGGTCAAGTAGTAGATGACCAAGGGGAAGAAGGCCGACTCGGCCATGCCCAGAAACCATCTCAGGGCAAAGATGCCCCCAAAGTTGTGCACACTCGCACTCAGGAGCGTCATGCTCCCGAATGAAAACATGAGAATGGGCAGCACCCTTGCGGGGCCATACTTTTTGCCCAGAAAGGCCAGCGGCGGGGCGAAGAGCACATACGGCACGAAGAAGATGCTGAGGATGATGTTCCAGTCGGTGGGCTTGAGGTTGAGGTCCTTTTCGATGTTGCTGTCGTCGGCTGTTAGTCACGTGCTCGTGGACGTGGGATATGCCCGGGCGACATACTTTGTCTTTGCATTTCCGAGGTTGCCTTTGTCGAGGGCACTGTCGATGGATTAGTATGATGAGATTGATGATGATGATGATGATGATGATGATGATGATGATGATGATGATGATGATGATGATGATGATGATGATGATGCAAACGTGGATGAGCGTACTTGCACAGGTACATAAAGGCCAAGACCGGCATCAGACGCACGTCAAACTTCAGGACCAGGCTCTTCTCGTGGTCGTATGTGTGGCTGGGCTGGACGTCGCCATGCCCATGCTGCTCGGGCGTGGCCGACGAGTTTACCGACTCGACCCTCTTGAGGTCGTCGTCGGCCGTGGCAGTCTTGGAGTCGTGGGTGGCTGGCATGGCGACGAGAGATGGAAATGGACTGAAATGGACCAAAGTCGAGCGCTGTTCATCTCAGGCCCTCTTCTCTGTATTGTGATGGATAGCATACATAACCAGGCAGTCAATCAAGGAATCACACGCCGTCTTGGCGCTTATCGATTGCAGAGGGTCGGAATAGAAGCCCGTCTCGACAAAAGACTACACCTCCACCCACTCGGCAAGGATACATCTACCCAGCAGGATCGCAATCCCGTCCGCTGACGCCCGGCATTCGCACCGAGACAACGAGGACAGCGATAAGGCGGCCGGGAGTGAGCGAGTGAGCGAGTGAATGAGAGCGTGGGTGGGTGGGTGGATGTTACCCAAGGAGCACACACACGCACCATCAGTCGCTTCATGCTTCATGCTTCATGTATGGATGGGATGGATGGGAGCATGCGGGGTTGCGGCACAGACGCGGCGGAGACTGGCGATGAATGGGACGGATAAGGTACGAGCAGTGTTGGGACTGTGCCCGTGGACAGTGTAATTGGACAGTGTAATCAAGGTAGGTGGCTTAGGTAATAATTCTTATGTTCTAAAAACAATACCTATAATATTATACGTACCTACTAGATACGTGAGCAGACCCAAAGAAGAGAACATGAATGCTTGTTAGCTATCATAATAATAATATTCTTCACTGCTGGTTATCAAATCAGCAGGCTGGCGCTATCTTATCAAGCTATCAAGCTATCAAGCTATCAAGCTATCAAGCTATCAAGCTATCAAGCTATCAGGCACAGACATCCTAGTGGCCCTGGGTGCTATTCCGTACTATCAGGGGCCTGCAGCGAGGGTCCTGCATCCACTAATTATCTAAAAAGGTAGAGCTGCATCTGCTGCTGCGGCTTGCTTGCTTGCTTGCTAGGCACGCCCACTGACTGCCTTAATTAATTACCAGACATGCTCACTGCCCAGGAATGCTCATGCTCTCACTGTGGAGTGGGTGATGATATGTACAACAAGTATGTGGAATGGATGAAGATGGAAGTCTGTATATGGATTGTTGGGTGGGGAGAGTCAGATACAATAGACATGTCCAACACGGCCATATGTGCACATGCCCATGTGTCCACATGTCCAACAGCGCGTCACAGTTGATATGTAAGATACAAGCGAAACCAAAGGGTGTCCAAGCGACTGGCTGGCTGGCTGGCTGGCTGGCTGGCTGTGAGCGTGGACGGTGTGTCCCAACAACTCTCTACATGTTGAAACGTCAGCGCCGAAAAAAGTGCCACTCCTCGCTCTCTCGCTCTGTCTATACACTCGTGTCTATCACAATTGCCTAAATAGCAAAACAAAACAACCCAAAATCCATGCAACGCCGCATCGCTTTTAGCGACTCCGTTCGCCATGCTGGTGTTGGCACTAACACCGACAAAAAGAAATCTATAGAATATGGGGGTAGGAGAGGAGACAAGGGAAAAAAAAAGGGAGAGAGTAAGTGGAAGAGAAGAGAAGAGCAGGGAGGGTATCATCGAGAGTTTGCGTCAGTCTGCTTCTCCTTGCTGCTGCTGCTGCTGCTGTTGTTCTGGTGGCTGTTGTGCTGCTGCTGCATGCTGCGGATTGTGCGCATGGGTGTCCAGCTGGAGACGTTAATGTGCAGTGGCTCCTTGACTTTTGTGTTGGTGGAGAGCTTGCGCTTGCTGCGGCCGGAGACGTAGAGACTCGGCGCGGTCGAACCGGAGCCGGAGCTGGCATTGGCAAGGGAGGGCAACGAGGCCTTTGTACGCGGCTTCTTGTCGCGGTGGTGGTCGTCGTCGGACATGATGGAGTCGAGCGAGGATATGGGGAGGCTGCGTTCGGACACGCCAGACACGCTGTGGGCCGAGATGCTGGCTTCGGACAGGCTGCGCTCCGAGTAGCTGCGCAAGGAGGAGGACTCGCCATTCTTCTTGTTGTTGTTGTTGTTGTTGTTGTTGTTGTTGTTGTTGTTGTTGTTGTTGTTGTGGCTGGCGAGTGGGTGCAGGGCCGAGACGTTGGCCAGGACGTCGAGGCCGGAGAAGCGCTTGCTGGCCTCGGACTGGGTGCGTGAAGAGTATGGCGGGGGGTCGGCGTAGGAGTAGTCGTACATTATCCGCTCATCAAGGCTCTTGAAGTTTGCCTTGGCAGGGCCGTCCAGGTCGTCGTCGTGCTGCCAGCAGGCCTCGTTTGCGCCGGTGACGGCAGGCAGCCACTTGATCTCGGTCCAGCTGAGGTCGTCGTTGATGAGGGCAATGTAGAGCAAGTCTCCCAGCAGCTTGTCGTGTGCGATGCACTGGCTGTCGATGAAGGAGTGGTCCCATTTGTTCCGGTCGAGCTGCTCGTCGGGCAGGGTGTGCAAGAGGATGCGGCCAAACGGCTCGTCTGCGGGACGATAGCCGATCAGAGGCATCCACGAACGAGCGCGTATGCACTGGCGAAAGACGGATTCGATGGTGTTGACAAACGAGGCACTGTCGGTCCCTGAAAAGGTAATCTCCTGCTGTAGGCCACGCGAGAGACAGCGCTGGGTGGCCAGGCTGTCGTGCTCGGGAACGTAGCGCTGGGCGCGTCGCGGGATAAAGATGACGCGACAGGACCAGGTGGAGGGAGCAGTTCTTCTCTGGGTGCGTATGGGCAGATGGCGACAGATGTCTGGCATGGGCTCTTCGACGTTTCTCTCGAGCAGAGGCGTCTCGACGACGGGAGTGAGCGATCTGGACAGCCTGCCAGCACCAGCACCAGCACCAGCACCAGCACCAGCACCAGCACCAGCACCAGCAGCACCACCGCCGGGATCCAAACGCTCCAAGCGGTTTTCCAGGTCCATTGTCAGGTCGTCAATCATGTCGACCTTTTTCGAGAGCAGATTGACCGAGTCCAGCTGCTCCGTCGCCTTGTCGAGCACGCTTTCGACCTTGTCGTCGAGATCAAGCTTGAGATGCTTCATGTTTTGGTACTGCCTCGCATGCAGGCTGTTCCACGTTCTCTCAACGTCGGCATGTCTCCTGCATTCCATGGCGAATCTCTGTTCGAGTGCAGCAAGATTGCGCCTCATTCTCTGCAGCTCTTGTACCACGCCCTGGTGTTCCTCGACCGAGACAGAAGGCAGCGGCTGGGCCTCATGGTGCCAGGCCTGATGCCCGCAACCACACAGCGACTTGACCCGATCGTCTGGCGGGTAGAAGCTTCTACAGGAGCAGCGCTGACGGGTAGTGGCGCGGCCATTGGAGTCGGGAAGCAAGAAGGCGCATTCTCCCCGCGGTAATTGAGGATCGAGTTGAGCGGGCGAGCAGTGACGGGAGGGTATGGTGGTGGACGAGGGTTGAGCGAGGTTATTGAACATGTAGGACAGCGCCGCCGACAGTGGCGGTAGAGATGGGCGGCGTCGAAGGGGAAAGTGGCATTGACGGATGGATGCAACGATCAGCTTAGGGGATTTCGACGACGGGAGACATGGGAGAGAGCGAGGGTAGAGGGATTGTGGAGTGTGGGTGTCGGTGGTGATGGGGGAGTGGAGATATAGAGGAGATTTGGCTGGGCGATAAAGCGGTCGGAGTGAAAGAGTGGAGTCGTGGTTCCCTCGCACACACACAGCCAGACCAAAACAGGGGCAGGACCAGGCAGGCGGACGGAGCCGCACAGGAGAGGGATTTGTATGAAAAGGCAAGCTTGGATGGAGGCAGACGAAGAGGAAGAAGAAGAAGGAGAAGCAGAACAAGAAGAGGAAGAAGAAAGGGGATTAAAGGAGGTAATTAGAGAAGAGGCAATTAGGTGGGGGATTGATTAATTAGTGGGAGTTTGTTGTATGGGTGGAGTGGTAGTAGTAGTGATGGTGGTAGTAGTGGTAGTGGTAGTAGTAGTAGTAGTAGTAGTAGTAGTAATAGTAGACGCTGTTGCTGTGTGTGTGTGTGTGTGTGTGTGTGTGTGTGTTTCTTTTGCGGGCTGTTGACTGGCTAAAGTTGGCGGGTCTGTCTACCGCGCGGGGGGCGTTGACTGGCTAAAAGTTGGCGTGAGTGGCCGCCGAGAAATGAAGAAAATAGCTGGGTAGCCGGGGTGTCTCTCTCCCCGCGTGGGAGGGTGGAACACAGCATTCTTTAGGGCACATTTAGGTTTTGGGGCACCGACAGCAGCACTGACTATTAGTTACTACTACTAATACTACTATGTACCACTGCCCGAAGATGTCGCATTTTACAGACCTGTTGCAGTACAACTCCCCTTGCTGTCGGGATTTATTATCAATCTTGCAGTGGAGAGTGGATGATGGAGGATGGAAGATGGATGATGGGAGAATCCATCCACCATCCATCCACCATTCATGCAGACCGGGCGGGTGGCACGCAGCACACAGCACGCAGCACACACACACACACAACCCACTCTCACTACATAATCTGTACACTGTGACTGTGGGCCCCCCACGCAATTACTATCAGCATTTCCTCGCGCGCACATAATACACACGTATGTATATATATGCATGCATGCATGGAAGCTGGGAGTCTTGGAAGTGCAGTGCAGGGCAGGGCAGGGCAGGGCAGGGCAGGGCAGGGCAGTGCAGCATCCGACGTCTATGCCTGCTCCCTTCCTTCTCTATAGCATAGCTGGAGTGTATGTATGTATGTATGTATGCAGGTAGTAGATGACGCCATAACAACAACAGAGACATGATGGATAGTAATGGTAATGGCAACAGTCATAGTCATCATGGATGCTCGCCGTGCATTACGACTATCTCGTATACGGAACACGTGCATGCTGACACATCACATGCCGCTGCTACTGCCACTACTAAGCTTGCCGGTTGCCGCTGCCGTTCCTGACCTGCCACTAGTCACTCACTAGTCATCCACTAGCCGCTCACTAGTCAGGGCCGCCGTCCTTAGTCAGCACTGCAGCCTCAGGCATCTTACTTGTCGACATTCATCATTTCGCGCACTCCATCATCGCACCTCGCGCTCTCCTTCCTGCATCACCAATCTACTCCTATATCATCCTCTATCTAATTTCATATAAACATATATATATATATAGTCAACATCTAGTATATTTACTCCCTTTCCTACTATCCACTTCATTACTCACTCGACCCCTGCTATTTATGCCCTCATTCCTGCTCCCCCCCACGCCGCCGCCCATTCCGAACCTTATCTGCCTCCTTGCCACCTCTTCCCACTCTCTCCCCATTCACTTTACTTGTTTGTCCATCCTCGTCATTCCAAATAACCACTACTACTCCACATCCATCACCACTTAATCAGCCCTCCCGCTGCCCGCCTCAAGCCATATCCGTCCTCTACGCTTGTCGCCCGTCTGTGTGTAAACACCGCCAATTCCTGATCTTGTTTGTTCCTGCATTTGCCCCTCCCTCCAATCACCGTCTCCTGATCACATTCACAACTCACGCACTCGCCCATTTGCCCTCTTCATTAATCCTCTTTCCCATCCTCCCATCCCAGCATGCCATGCCCCATCTACCATCTCTCTCCATCTTGCTCTCTCGCCAATCTACATGGCGCACACACTCGACTTTCATTCTAGCTCTACGCTCCTGCACGCGAGTCAGGCGCTTGTACGTGCATGCATCACCCGCCGCCCGCTCCATCTTACGAGATGCCATCTGCAAATCTCTTTTTTCCCAATCGCATGCCTTGCCTAGGCTGCATCTCCACTCACATGTTTCTCGTCGGAACTTTCGTAGATTTAAATTGTGACAAAACGTTGATCAACAAAGCTAACTACTCTAGCCAAGCTCTGCTAGGACGGCTAAGCAACCTCCAAGCCCTCAAGTCAGCGGCGGGATGACATAACACCCTGCTGTCAAAGCCCTTCCACAACATATGCAACCCCCGAACAAACACTCTCTATCCACCGTCTCACAACCCTAACCACCCCTTTTCCACTGCATTCCCCACCACCATGTCCGCCCGCCTCGTCATACCCCGACCCGGCTCCAACCCGCCGCCGCCCAAACCCCCCATCCCCGGTGCATCCGAGCAAGCCTTCACCGACACCTTCGGAGCCCTCCTCCGACCCGCCCAATACCTCACCACCCCGGCCGGAAAAGCAGCATACTACCACCTCCCTCCCTCCGACCCGCACCCCTCACACCCCTCCTCACACCCCTCCTCACACCCCTCCCACGTCCTCCTCCTCCACGGCGTCCAAACCCCCGCCCTCGGCCTCCTGCCCCTCACCACCGCCCTCCGCAAAACCCACCCGCACACCCACTTCCTCCTCCTCGACCTCTGGGGCCACGCCCTCTCCGACACTCCGCTCCTCCCACACACCCCCGCCCTCTTCACCGCCCTCATCCACGCCCTCCTCACACACCTCTCCTGGGACCATGTGCACCTCATCGGCTTCTCCTTCGGCGCCGTCCTAGCCGCCGAATACATCGCCTCTACTCGCCCCGCTAGCGTGCACAGCTGCGTCCTCGTTGCCCCTGCCGGACTCCTCCGTAGCGCTTCCTTCGGCCCCGAGGCACGCGCTTTACTCGGCGCCGAATGCGCCGACGAAGACGCGGCGCGGGACTGGGTGCTCGGGTTCCTCGAGGGCGGGCCCCTGGTTGTGCCGTCGGACTGGCGCGAGCGTGTTGCGCGCGGCGAGGTCGTGGCGGAAAAGGTGCGCGAGTGGCAGATGGTGCAGCACGCCGGGCATGGCGCCAGTGTTGTAGCCTGTTTCCGGGATGGGCGCGCGTTTGATAACGGGCGGGTGTTTGAGGAGCTTGGGAGGTCTGGGGTGCCGGTGTTTGCGGTGTTGGGCGGGGATGATCCGGTTTGTGGGAGGGCGGAGCTGAGGGCGGTGGGGATTGAGGGTGGGGATCTTGTGGTTGTTGTTGAGGGGGCTGGGCATGGGGTTGTTAGGGAGAGGGCGGATGAGGTTGCGGGTGCGATTGGGCGGTTTTGGGGACGGCTTGCGTAGGGTTTACTCTCCTGGCCTGCTTTATGGTGGGTTGAATGAGGTGTTGATATGTTAATGTTCAAGACTCGTCCACATTAGTTGACTAAGATTGCCCGATTAGGAAAGGCGGCACGTGCGCGCGGCCATGTCTGGCGCGGACCGCGTCCCCTGGTGGCGCCGCTTCCAGGGTCCAGAATGCTCTGCAGCGCCATCATACTGCACCTTGCAGCACTTCATGCGTATCGAAATAGCACCCGGAATGCGAATATCAAACAGTCGCCCTGCCGTCATTGGCCCGTCCTGCCGTACGAGGCTGTCTTTGACGGAGGCGAGACTCGCGCCCGGCACCATGTTTGTCCCGCTCGGGAACCTATGCATCTTTTCAAGCTGCCTTCAGCTGAACGAGCCATGAGTCTAGACACCCAGGCTCATGCAGGTGATGTAAGGCAGTCCAAGTAATTTCTGGAGGCATAAAACGGGATAGTCCATCGGCGATATGTCTCGCTTTCCATCTTCTTCCAACGACCTCAGCACACTCTCGCCCTGCCCTCTTCACAATGGCGTCCAGGATCTTCGCCCGCCTCGCAACGAAACCGGTCCTCATCGGCGGATCCGCAGTCGGCGCCGGCGGCCTCGCAACATACTCCTACTCCTCCACCAACGGCACATACGGCAAGACGGACGCGCAGATCCAGTTCGAAAAGTCCTGGGGCTACCAGACCAAGGACGGACGCCAGGTCGTCGAGCCGCCGCCAAACTGGACGGGCGAACTCTTCCAGGTGCGCGTAGACTATCCAAAGTCGGCCGTCGATGCTGCTACTGCTGCTACTTCTACTTCCCAGCCCGTCATCCTACCCGGGCCTGACACGCCCCCGATCGTCGGACTCGATGCGCCCTGGCTGAACTACAACTTTGAGACGGATCCGGAGATGTATTGTAGCGTCATCAAGGAGTATTGCTGGGCGGGGAATGTCAATAATGACTTTGTCGTGCGGAAGAATCCTGTCCGGCAGTGGTATCACGCGCCGTGGATGCACTGGAGTGCGAATGGGCGGGAGCCTATCCATGGTCTGACGTTTGAACGGCCGACTCCGAAGTTGGAGCTGTCTAGGACCCAGGACCGTGTGCTGCAGACGTGGGCGTGTGGCTTCTACAATGCTGCTGGTAAGTAGGCCCTGAACGTCCGTCTGGTATCTGAATCTTCATCATCTGACGGCCGGGCCAGGGGCATCCGCGTTCGAACGCATCTGGAGAGACCCAAACAATCCCCGATGGGACAAGAAGGAATTCCCCGACGGCTTCCAGTTCCCCGTGGGGACCGCCGTCTTCAAGGTCTGAGCCTCCACGAGCACGCTTGTCTCAACCTCTCTCTCACACCCAACAGATACTAATGACCGACGCAACAAACGACGAAGTCCCCTCCATGGCAGGCGCCCCCGTAATGAAAGCTGTGATAGCTCAGCCGCCAACCCCAGAGCAAGAAGCCCAATCATGGACCTGGCAAGCCAGCAAACGCAACGACTTCGCCTCCGACCTGCGGCTCCTCCAGGTCGACTTTGCCGTCCGCGACGACCGCGCCCCGATCGGCTGGGTCTTTGGCACATTCATGTACGACGGCAGCCAGAAAGACCAGAACGTAAGTCAGACCTTCCAATCCCCAATCCTCATCCAAAACTAACCACCACCCGAAAGCCCTGGGATCGCATCATCCCCGTCGGCTTGATGTGGGGCAACGACCCGCAACTCTGGCCCGCCGACGCCGCAAAAGGCGCGAAACCAAAGGAATCATGGCTATCCAAGTGCGCCGACGACCTGCGCAAGTCCATGGGCGGCACCCGGCCCAGCTGGGGCTGGAACGGCCGCATGAACGGCCCAGGTAAGTCCCACTTACCCCCTAAAACAACAACACACGTACCCCTTTTTCTAACATTCTACCTGTTTCTCCAACCCCACAGCCGACAACTTCATCTCCGCCTGCGCATCCTGCCACTCCACCTCCCAAACCGGCCCGCGCGCCCCCATGGTCCAGTCCCCCTCCTGGACCGACGCGCAGAAAATGCACTTGTTTCGTAATATCAGGGGCACGGAGCCGTTTGGCGATCCTCTCGGCGCCTCGAGTAACACTCCAAGTACCACCACCACCACCACCAGCAGCAGCAGCAGAAGCAACACCGCCCCCACAAAGGCCAACAACGACAGGGTCTCGGGCGACTACTCCCTCCAGCTCATGATCGGCATGGCAAACTACCAGGCCTGGCGCATCGGGCAGAGTCTGATCCGGCGGACGATGGTCAAGATTCCGTATACGAGCGCGTGGCGCGAGGCGGCGGATGTGGAGGCGAAGAGGGATTTGTTGCGGGCCGGGCCGGTGTATGTTGATGGTGATGGTGGGAGTGGGAGTGGGGTTGGGGAGGAGAGGAACGGTGAGGAGGGGAATAAGGGGGAGGGGAAGGAGGAGGAGGAGAGTGCGAGGTCCTGAGGAATGTGTTGGAGTTGTGGGGCTGTAAGGAGGGGATGGTAAGTATGGAGGTACTATAGTGTGTTTATGTTAGATATAGGGGAAGATATGCTGGGAGATACCGCGTGTAGGCCGTCGAGGTGGGATTAATCAGGCAATGAGTCAATACCAACATCCGAACTACGAAACGCAGAACATGGCAGAACTACTCAGTTTACTACCTTGTCGAACATCATATCTAATCTGTTTCCTTCACCACTTACTCTGCGGATCAACCATCCTCCTCCCCAGCCCGCTACTGCAACACATCCTCCTCCTTCTCGCCTTCCTCTAGTCACTGCAACAGCGACACAGCCAGGCCAAACATCTCCTTCGCAAGTCACCATCCGCACATCATCAGGAGTATTATCGTTACTCATCGCCTCGAAGAAGAACCCTCTCTCTATTGTGTGTGATTAGAGTGTATGTGTATTTATTGACTGTGTTGAGGAAGTTCTTGTCGTAGTTTAATGTTTGTGTTTGTAGGAGGGAGGTCCAGACTGGTCCTGATGCAACACCATGACATGGATCTCTTCAGTTCCAAGACGACCGAGTAAGTGACCGACCAATGTCTGCTCTGACGTGAAGCTGCAGTCCACGATATCCCTCCCGTTCCGAACTGTGCACCCGAGTGCGGGGCGTCGTCCGAATTCGCGGGGTAGCCACGTGAGATCGAGATACTCACCACGTGATCTGATCTAAAATCAGATCCATCCCTTGCGTCCGTCCACTCGCCGTGATGGCGTAATCAACCGCACGCAATTCTTCTAGAAAGTCTCACCACGCCCTCTGTCAATTCACTCCCTCTCCTCCGGCTCTCAGACCTGAAACTCCCCCCTGATCTCGCCTCATGACAACACCACGGCCCACCCGGCGGACTCCACAATCTCTGAGCCTCGTCGCTAGGCCTGCGGCTCGCCTAATTCTCGCCAATCCGCCACTCTGATTGGTCGCGCGGCACCCCGATCCGTATCTGGGAATGTCATCAAGGATGTTCGCAGGGGTTGTTGTACAGGACCACTCGCGAGTTTACTAGGCCAAGATCCATGGCGTTTGCGTTCATTGGCTCCGGCGCGCGTATGGCGTAGCGAGGGATAATGGTCGTCCAAAGTCTTTTGTGACGCCCTTTCCGCTGCTTGATTATGTGTGATTCGCATTTACTTTGGGGTTTCGTTGTATCATCATCAGAGGACGGACTGTGTGCAAGAGCAAGGTTTGTTGAGAGATATGGGTAGTATAGAGTGCCCGTCGCAGCATCGTCCGCTCAAGGTCCATCCTCATGATGTCCAGACTGTTGAAATGGCCGCCCCGAAATCGTACGCTGACATCGCTGCGACTATCAACCACGCCCTGGCAAATCTTCCAGCGCCAGGGGAGGGTAATATGGCGGAAAGATATCAACTGCTAGGGGCGATCGATAGGTTGAAGGCAGCCGTAGAGCCCCCCGAGTTTGCCCTGCAAAGAATGAACTGTGGAGTACGCGCGAAGCCACGTCCTCTCGAAGACCTGGGTTAATGGGATTATATAGGCGCATTCTCTGGTAGCTATGAGGATAGCAGTCGGAATGGGCATATTCGACGCTCTCCCATCTCATGTCGGCGAGGAGATCTCCTTCGACGACCTGGCCTCACAAACAAAAGGCTCCCCCGATCTCCTGGGTCCGACCGCTTCTCCTCAAGACCAGCACCCTCGCTGACACAAACAGAACGCATCCTCCGCCTCCTCAAGACACACAACATCATCACCTCCCCACGCCCAAACCACTTCGCCCCCCTGCCCCTCGCCCTCTCCCTAACCTCCCCCTCCCCCTCCGCATACTCCGTCATCCACTTCTACTCCCACCTCAAGTCCCAAGCCCACATCTACGAATACCTCTCCTCCACCTCCTTCGCCACCCCAAGCAGCGTCTCATCCGGGCCCTGGCAATACGCCCTCTCCACCCGGAAGCCCTACCAGGAATGGCTCAAAGCAGACCCCCTCCAACAACGCGCCTTCAACGAAACAATGACCAGCTTCAACGCCTTCCGCCTCTCCCACTGGCACGACACATACCCCGTCCACACCCTCGTCCCTGCTCCCCCGTCCAGCACCCCATCCCCATCCCCAACATCATCACCACCTCTCCTCGTCGACATCGGCGCCGGCCTCGGCTCCGACGCCCTCGCCTTCCGCGCCCGCTTCCCCGACCTCCCCGGCCCCGTCATCCTCCAAGACCTCCCCGCCGTCGTATCCTCCATCACCACCCCGCTGCCCCCCGGCATCCTCGTCCTCGGCCACGACATGTTCGCACCCCAACCTCCCATTGCACGTCATGCGCGTGCGTACTATCTGCGCAGCGTGCTTGTTGATTGGCCCGATGCACAGGTCCTGCAGGTGCTGCGGCACGTGCGCGATGCCATGGGCCCGGAGTCGGTGGTGTTGGTGAATGAGTATTTGATGCCGGAGGAGGAGGAGGGCGAGAGGGTGGGTAATGCGGTTGCGGCGATTGATTTGATTCAGATGAGTTTGTTTGGCGGCTTGGTTAGGACGGAGAGGCAGTGGGGGGATGTGGTGCGGAGGGCTGGGCTGAGGGTGAAGAAGGTCTGGAGGACGGATCGGGGTGGGCCGATTCCGACGGGGGTGGTGGAGTGTGTGCTTGAGGATGGGGAGAAAGAGGAGGAGGAGGAGGTGCTATAATGTGTGCTTGCTCGGATACTGGCGCTGTGGTTGCTGGTGTACGGATGATGTTTCCCGTTCATCAATCTTGATAATATTCTTCCTTAACAAATAGACGAGTGAACTACACACTGACACCACAACACATCCCCCCCTAACCCCCTACGAACCATGATGATGCTCCTCACTCGCCGCATGCTCACCCGTATCATGCCCGCCCCCATGCCCGCCCATCCCAACCCTCTCCTTCTTCCTCGCCACCTCCTCCGCACTCAACCCATAATACTCCCACTGCGCCACAAACCCGACCAGCTCCTCCCAGTCCCTACAAACATGCATCGTCCCAAACCCCGTCACCCCACCGAGCCGCACATTCACCCTCTCCGCCGCCAAATCCGGATTACACATCAGACTCTGCCGCAGCAAATCGATGCAATGGCGCATATGCGGCGGGGCGAGATGGTCGGGCAGACTGGCCGGGTCGAGCAGGGCTGTCTGGGTGGTGGCGTGGTCGTAGATGGTCCAGAGGGCGGTGCGCAGGCCGTCGAGGCAGTGCAGCTGGTGGAAGACGGAGAGGGCGGAGCGCGTGGGCGCGTAGGTTGGGTGGGTGAGATAGCCGCCTTGTTCGGGGAAGAGGGCGGCCCAGGCGGCGTTTGTGGATGCGTTGGGCGGGGAGCCGAAGGTGCGGTTGTAGGTGAAGGGGTGTTTGTGGGTTGAGACTTTGGGTGTGGGTCAGTGTGGGAGGTTTTTATATGGTGGGCTTTTGGTGAGGGTAAGGAAGGTTGGAGAGGGGGTTGGGTGGGGAGAGGAGTGCTGGATACGTACTTGGGATTCCGTAGCCTGGGTTTATACTGCTGCTGCTGCTGCTGCTAATGCTGGCATTGCGGCCGCTGCTGGTGTACCTGCCCGCTGTGAAGCTGAGGATACATGCTAGAAGAACGGATAGGAAGATCATAATCTGCTTGACCAGAGGTGTGTTCCATTGCTGGCTGATGGAGGACGTCGAACCTTCAACACGTGCGTAGCGCGGCTTCTGGGTGTTGAGCAAGTCCATTTCGATGACGACGTTCACTCTTGAAGTAATCAGTCACAGGCGACAGTGAGGTATGAGGCGGAAAAGAAAATACACGAGCAGTTTTGTACTGACTTGAAGCTGAGTGACATTGTGGTTGAAGAGGATTGCGGCGTAGGTACGTTCTAGAAGCGGGATGACTAAGGGAGTATGAATCGGTGACTACCTAGAATCTCCTTGAACAGTGTGTAAGACCTTTGTGTTCTCAATATTCATTTCCTCTTATGCTCAAATATCCAACACATGATCGGGATATGGGCCAACAGCCCATGAGTCTGCAGTGAACAATGACTGTTGCATGTTCACTCGAACTTGGGGAAGTCGCGGCACTTTTGATGCAAAATCAGTCCAACACATGAGCAGACCTGTGATTCAGGTCAATTGATCGGTTGTATCCCTTAGGCAGCCACATTCCCTCAAATCGTGTTTCTCCTTTTCGCGCCCTAGTTTGTCGGAGCTCTCCTTAATACTTGTCCGTTCTGTACGAGATCAACCAACCTTTCCCTCTCAACTACTTCATAGCATCTGAGTCTACCGGAAATAGATATGTCATTGAAGACCTGCCTGTTTCATGCCTGATGAGCAGCAGGTCCGTGGATAGTGTACGGTGTACGGCGACTAAAAAGGAGTAACTGCTGCATTGCGCAATGCACACATTGAACTGTTTAATTATATGACTTAGGGGTACGAGCTTTCCTCCTCGCTGTATCAGTCGCTTGCCAACCGGAGGAACCCCTTCGAGGTTGAGGTTCTGATCGTCCTATCTGAGCTACACCCTTGCAGCTTGACTAGGCTCAAGGGTCGATAAACGGTCACAATTCGAGAAAAAATACTGCTCATAACCCAAAAGATGCTTTCGCAATCCATGGAAAGCCATTTCAGGACGCTTCCATGCGTTTCTGCCGAATGTTTCGGTAAATTGATTTCATTATATCACCGATATCTTCGAGCTGAGAATCAGCCTGAAGATGGGCCATTTTCTTAGCGATCAAAGCACATACTGACCAAATAATTCTTTCATGTCGTTCCTGCACCCCAAAAGACCGCTTTTCATTCCCTGTTCAGTATAGTTTAATCGAAGCAGCCAACGGTCCGGTATAGTCTCTAAAGAATCTTTCGTACACGCGTAGTCGAGGTAACGCACCCTCGATATCAGCGATCACTGTGACTATACGGTCAGAATAATTGCCAAACTGCTTAGCCATTTAGTGCGCGTCGATCAGTCTTTTCATGAGACCTTGATAGCTGTCCTACGTGGAAGCAGACGCGATAACTGCCTCATAGTGGGCATGAAGTCGACCTAGGCGTATTCGTATAGCCATGCAGGGTTGATCCATGTTCCGAGATATGCAGTCTATGAGCGGCTGGACTATGCCTTGTTCGCCGAACAGCTTGCTCTTGAGTTTATATCTCTTCTCGGCTACACTGACTGTGTAGAACAAATTCCGTGGAAGCGCTTCCTAAATTTCTCAGATTCCGAAGTCCATCCAGGAATAGCTCCCTTGCTATCTCCCATGACTGCATACGGCAGGGGGTTTTGGTGGAGACAAAGCTTCGGTGGGACGCCTTGAGTCAACCAACTCCAGCAATGTTACGAGACTTGCCATAAGAATGAAAGTAGTGCAATCACGGCGGAATCGAGTAAGGCCATGCTGAATAGCAAACATTGGTGTGTATGGATGCATGCGGACTGTGGCTGTGCGTCCACAGCTTCGACAGGCTCGTTGTCGAACTCTCGCTTCTGAATGATGAGGGTATTATTCAAAATCCGGCACTCTTTCTGTCCGCGGTGTGATCCGTTGAATGACAAATTGGAATATGTATGAAATCCTGAGTTGAAGGTAAAGTGAGGAATAAAAGACATCCAAAGTTGGCGACTGATTTTAGTGGGGCAAATTCCGCGGTCTCCGATATATCTTCTTCGATACAGCCCGTAGCTATTCAATCTTCTTTCCTCATACAACGCGTTCGTATCGTCCTTGTCCCCAGCATGCGTTCGCATTCATGGTACCGTCACATATCACGGTCGCCATTGTGTTGTAGGCTTGCTGCCTCAAATAGCATAATCACCCATCGGCCTTAATTCCGCGATGGGGGCCGACGTCACTGGTCTCCTCTTGAGAGCTTAGAAATGGACGACTATATATGCCAGTCATACAGTCAGCTTCCACCATAAAAGATTCGCCCAACAGCTTTCTTAGTTTGTCCAAACTCTGCTACAGCTAGAAGACTATAATTTTCTGATTTTATCGGACCAACCGTAGCAACATGTCAGAACCCTCGACCAAACGCCAGAAAGTCACTTACGACCTCATCTATTGGCCCGGTATTCCCGGCCGTGGTGAGCACATCCGTCTCGCCCTCGAAGCATCTGGCACACCATACAACGACATTGCGAACGACGACAAAGATGGAATCAAAGCAGTGCAAGCCCTCATAGACCCCAACTCCACAACCGATGATGCCGGGAACCCGCCCGCGTTTGCTCCTCCAGCCCTCAGAGTTCCCGGTGCTGGAAGGGACGGCAAGCCACTACTTATCACACAAACGCCCAACATACTATTCTACCTAGGCGATAAGATCGGCATGGTGCCGGAGGGTGACGAAGCTGGGAAATGGCATGCGAATGCTATTGTGCTCACAGCGCTTGACCTGAACAATGAGACACATGATACACATCACCCAGTTGCAGTGATGAAATACTATGAGGATCAAAAAGAAGAGTCGCTTAAGAAGGCGACCGACTTTCGGGAAAATCGGATACCCAAGTTTCTCGGATATTTCGAACGGGTGCTCAAGGGTAACACAAAAGGGGATGGAAAATACTTTGTTGGCGACAAGATTACTTACGCAGACACGACTGTATGGCAAGTTCTTGACGGGCTGTTCTTCGCATTTCCGAAGGAAATGGAAGCAAGGAAGAAGGAGTTTCCAGTGACCTTGCAAACATTTTACTCCAGTATCAAGGAAGAGAAGGGTATCAAGGAATACTTGAGCAGCGGGAAGCGACTACCATATTCTCAGGGTATCTTCAGACGGTATCCCGAGCTCGACCGGCAATAAGTAACATCTGGAAGTGGCTCAGAATGAGGCTCAAAGACCCTGTCACGCAACGGACCGACAATATAAACACGAAATTTTCAGATTGAAACTAAACCTAGAGTATCGTTTCAAACATGCTATAGATCAGATCCTGACTGCGACCATACTGTGCCTGATGAAGCATTTCTAGGATATACGTATCAAACAAAATGAGAGTAACCAACAAGTAACAAACCACCCGGGTAAGGTATCTACAAGCTCATCTCAACCTTCATAACCTCCTCAATCCCCTTCCTGACCTTCTCGACTCCATCTTTTCCTAGTCTCTTCAACGGCTTCCTCGGATACCCACCATACCCATAGTAGCTTTCAATCGCACTCTTGGTCCCCGGAATGGCCGCCTTGGTCAATACCCAGTCACCCTTACTCAACACCTTCTGCAGCGCAAACGCCTCCTCATACTTCCCATCACGACACAGCTCCCACACCTTGACACACGTCTTCGGCAATACATTTGCACCCCCAGCAATAATCCCGCTTCCACCACTGACCGCCGTCTGCGCCGTGAAATCCGCCATGCCGCCAAACGCCATATACCTACTGCCCACTGTATTCGGCGTCACCGCATCCGTTGCCAGCGCCACGCGCGTCAGCTTGCCCGTATTACCACACGTAAACTTGGTCCCGACAATGTTCGGATGCGCCGCAAGCCGGATCATTAAGTCCGAGTCCATATCAATCCCCGCCACGGCTCCCGGGTAATTGTACAGTATCACCGGCACGGGGCTTGCATCCGCCACCCCCATGAAATATTCGTAAATCGCCTCTTCGTCCATCGCATACCGGTAGTAGCTCGGCGGTACAAGCAGCGCATACTCGCCACCCGCATCCGCCAGCTCGGTGCATAGCGCGACCGTGCCGCGGATGCTGTTCTCGCTGGCGCCGACGATGACTGGCACATCCGTGTGGCCGGCCTCGTCGAGGGCGTCACGGGTTGCACGCGTGACGAGCTGTTTCTCGGCGAGGGAGAGGTGGACGGCTTCACCGTTGGAGCCCATGACAACGAGGCCGACGAGGCCGGCTTCAGCAAGACGTACAGCGTGTCGTTTGATGGTGGGGATGTCGAGATCTTCGGTCTTGGGGTCGAAGAATGTCATTGTAGGTGAATAGATGCCGGCACGGAGAGGAGTGCGTTGTTTGTGGGCGGTGCCGTGGCCGTTGCCTACTGCGCTGGGAGCCATGGTTGGTCGGGCGAGATCAGAATACCGTTGGGAGAAAGCAGTGTTGGATGTATATCGTGTTTGCTTGGGACGGATATTCTAAACGGCTATATATGCTAATGAGGAGTACGAGGCGTATAGAGTGCTGACAATGTCCAGCGAAGAGGATTCGACAGCAAAGAGATCTATATGGTGGAATACACGATCTATCAGGCTCATGTGTATTATGCAGAAGTCAGAATGATCCACACAACCAGAACATGTCAGATTAATATAGACACTAATTATCTAGGTGCCCGCCTGGTCTGCTGCGGGTCTTTTCTGGTCTGACCAAACTCACACTATTATTACCCCGAGACCGATGGCAGACATGTCACTAAGCGACGGCCCTTTGGCGGTTTTATCCAGTATCCCTCCAGACGTGACACTAGTCAGTTGCGATGGTGGGTGAGACGATGTGTATCATTCGCCGAGCTGTGGGTCTTCTCAAGACATTCGGACCTGTACGACATACGAATGATCAAGGAGTCCCCAGTATGAACTTTTGAACATCAGATACGTGTGGAGATGCAGTTGCTGCCGTCGTACACCATCCACGCAAAACAGTGACTAACAATTGGCATGTGTGGCATCAATGAACGTTCACTTCGCGATAAACAGACGTGTCGCAATTGAACGCAGACGCCGCGAGAAGCAGTCATCGCCGTCGCCAGGTAATTTCTCCACCAATGGTTTCAGGTGAGCAGACCTCTCTTAGGCAGATTCAGGAGGTGTTTACTAGTGCGCGCGGCTATCAACATTCACTACAGTTGAGGCGGGGGAGAGGCCGCGGCTTGAGCGGCATTTGCTGCCCCTCGTCTCATCTGCCCCGCCAAAGCCCGCCGCCTCAAGCATGTAACGCTCAAACGGCGGAAGATCTTCCGGGTGAATAGATGGGGCATTGTGACGCCCCCGTAGCTGAACTGCTGCTGCTGTACGACTCCATCTACCTGATTTCTCCCCTCGCGCGACTCGCTGTGTCGTTCACCATGTCTTCTCATCTCCAGCTTCTTCAGCTTCACTTGGCTGACAGTGATACTGACAGAGATCCAGTGTCTGATTGACGGACGCACTTACCAAAGTTCTCGTATCGACTGTAATTGATTCAATATGGCGCCACTCGATGTTCTAATGGTGAGTAAACAATACTAGTGTTGTCAGCGTTGGCGTGGATTACTCATTTCGGTGCTGTAGGTTGGCTCAGGAGAGTACACTACTGGCTTCGTCGGTGGTGGTGCTTCTCAGTCAGACAAGAAAGTCGGTGTTGTGGCTCTGACCCTGTTCGACCTCAGGAGGCGCGGCAAGGTCGGTAACTTGTCCATGGTAGGAGCTTCAGGAGGGAAGTTTCCGGCCATTCGTGAGTCACGTTGCGCCTGATGATGCATAGTATTGTACTGACTGAGACAGGCGAACATCTCCAAAAGAACATCTCCGATGTCTACAATGGACTCGATGTGTCCTTCGAGTCTTACCCAAAAGGCGATGTCCGTGATGGTGAAGCATACAAGACAGCAATAGACGCTCTTCCAAAGGGCAGCGCCATCACCGTCTTTACCCCCGACCCCACACATTTTCCAATCGCAATGTACGCAATTGAGCGTGGCCACCATGTTCTACTCACGAAGCCGGCAGTGAAAGACTTGGCAGAACATCAGAAGTTGATCGAAGCCTCTCGGAAACACAATGTGTTTGTCTATGTGGAGCACCACAAACGGTACGACCCGGCGTATGCGGATGCACGGTACAAAGCGAAGAGCATGGGCGACTTCAACTACTTCTACAGCTATATGAGTCAGCCCAAGAATCAATTGGAGACGTTCAAGGCCTGGGCAGGGAAGGACAGCGACATCTCGTACTACCTCAATTCGCATCACATTGATATCAACGAGAGCATGGTCCCCGACTATAAACCAGTCAAGGTGATTGCGAGTGGCTCCAAAGGCATTGCCACAGACCTCGGCATCGAGACGGAAGATACCATCACGTTACTGGTCAACTGGGTCAAGAAATCAGACCCAAGCAAGATTGCCACAGGTGTATATACGGCGAGCTGGACAGCACCGCTGAAAGCTGGTGTGCATTCAAACCAATACTTCCACTACATGGCGAGTAAAGGCGAGATCCGCACAAACCAGGCAAAACGGGCATACGATGTCACAATGGACGACTCTGGTCTCGCATGGTACAATCCGTAAGTTACTTGGAAATGTGAGCATGTATCCAGTACTGACAGAGATAGGTTCTACATGAGATATGCACCCGATGAGGAAGGGAATTTCAACGGCCAAGGAGGATATGGCTATGTGTCATTCGAAAAGTTCATAGATGGCGTTACCGCGTTGAAAGAGGGACGAGCGACACTTGATGACCTTGATAAACGCGGTCTACCAACACTCAAAAACACGATTGCAACAGGAGCTATTCTTCACGCTGGACGGATATCGCTTGACGAGAACAGAACTGTGGAGATTGTCCAGGAAGGGGATCAATGGAGTCTGAAATGAGTTCGCATGACTAAGGCTCAACGTAAGCTTCCATATAACTTGCAATTTACTTGGTTATCGCCATCGAGCGAGACAGGAGTAGTTTGAGTTGCGACGACCTGTCATATCATCTTTCCGCCGCCTGTCCACTGTGGCGTGCATACGTGATGGATGTGTTGACTGACCTTGTTTACGGAAGCAGTCGTTCCGAGCCGGGTAAGGTTTCTCCAGGGCTAGGCGAGTTAGCGGGCAAGCCAGGAACAGGAACCCGCGGCTGATGACGAGATGTACGCCGGCACTTTTCCCCCACACAAACCTCCCTATATGTAAGTAACAGAATAAACAGGGATCTTGCTGTCAGTGTTTTGCGCACCCTTCTTCTTCCCCAACATCCCCTGTTGTACTCCCCTTCAGCGGCTCAGCATTCTTCATTCGAGACCCAGTGTGGCGCGACTCTTGGTCTTTCTCCACGACTTGTGTCTAGGACGCCTTGTACCATCATGGTCTCGACGCGCAACCACCCGCGCCAATTCCCGCCTCCCGAACTCGCGACGCCCTCCAAATCCTCTCCGACTAAAAGTCCCTCGAAGTCTTCTTCGCCGTCGGACAACGTCGTCGTACGTCGCAGTGCTTCCAAAACTACAGGATGGTCGCACACTCCCTCGACTCTTACGTTGGTCTGGCTGGCTATCTCTCTGCCACTTGTCTCATGGGACACAGGATATCTACTCATGCGCCCACACACGATGCCGGGCGGAAAATTTCATTGGCCGGTTTGGGCGCCGTATAAGCTGTACGGCACCGTCGACCGTCTATATGGCTTCCCGGGCTGGCAATCCAACAACGGCTTTGTGGGCGCACAGGCATTCATGAACCTGCTTGAGACTGCCGCATACCTTGTGTACTTGTATATTGTCTATACTGCTGGTGTGTCGTCTCATGTCCAAGGGACTGGAGCGCCAGATAAGAGCATCGTTGGAAGATTGGCTGAGGCGCGTGTTTTGACCGGGCGCGCTGCGGCTATTGCTGTCACGATTGGCTTTGGAGCATCCGTTGCAACAGTCGCGAAGACTCTCTTGTATGGTGAGTGACTGACGAGTATCACGACTTGGCGTGCTGCATGGCTAAACCTGATTTAGTTCTGAACGACGCGTTCAGCGGGTTCTCTTGGACAGGCCACAACGATTTGTTCACGCTGCTTACCATATACATCATTCCCAAGTTAGTGATTCTGGTTTTTCATTGTGTATCTAAACTAACCACGTGTTAGCGGTCAATGGCTCATCTTTCCCGTATACATGACCTACGTGTTCGCGTCAGAGCTACTTGATGGGCTTGAGGCTGCCTCGACTGGTGCTCTCAAGAAGGCTCAATAGATATACTCCCAATTTCGTTGACATATGGATGTATATGTAAAGCTGGCGGGTCACTGACGAGGCACGTGGCTATCATTGAGATGAATGCATGCGTATTGTACGATGTACCAGGGAAACAAGCTGATATGTACATGATCTGGAAAATATATACCCCTTCTCTGGCCTGAACTGGCTTTAACGTTTGCGGTAAGCAGAGACGAGTTGGAGGGCGGACGGTATGCTTATATCAATTATTGTTCGTTTCTCCGCTGTGTATACACCGAGAGTGCGTATTATTTATCACGCCTCCATCAAACTCACGTGACTAGCCTTGACCTGCGATAACTTTGTCAAAATTGGTCTAACCAAGTAAAGATTTCCACCGCTTAGATCTCGATTCTGGGCACGGTACTATGTTCCATCGGGAGAACAGATGAGGGTGTTCTGCTTCTCATGCTCGGCAAAGCTGCAAACATTGTCCAATGTGAGGAGCCATCCTTGCCAAGTGTACGAGTGCTGTCATGACGGCGGTCGCAATCAGAGCTTTACTTCGAAGACACAACTATGGGAACATATACTCGTGTGCAGCGAAAACCCAAGCGCCCTGAACAAGATACATTCCGAACATGAGTGGATCAAAAGCATAAAATCTAGATCAGCGAATGCTGAGCACGAACCTCCACAGGATGAACACGCGAAAATTCAGCCTTTACACGATAAATCTGGGGTTGTGCTTCAGCGAAGGGATCATGAGCCAGATAAACCTCACTCTGGGCGAAACTCGAAATGGTTGTGTGTAGACGACAGCGAAGAAGCTCCGCGTAGGCTACTTGCAACGCTTGAATCCCACATCCACAGCGAGACAACTCTCAAAAACCATGGTTTTAAGCTGCATGTACCACCAAACCAGTCGAAATATTGGATGGATTCTGCGAATCTGGAGCCCAGTTCATCAAAGCGCGCGGCTGTGGTGCTCGACTGTGAATTCGCTCATAAAGATAACTCGCGGCATGTTGCACGTATTGCAGCCGTCGATGCACTCACGGCTGAGACACTCTTTGACTTCCTGGTTCACCCCGAGGATATTGATGGATACTGGGAGCAAGAATATGCAAAGTGGAAACGCTCAGATATGGATCCAGCCGTCGCTACTGGCGTAGTCCTGGACGGCGTGTACGGAGCGCTTCTGGCACTGACAGATTTCATTGACTCCAATACTATTATTCTGGGACACTCTGTGCATCATGATCTCAATGCCTTGCGGCTTGTGCATCGCAGGGTTGTTGACTCCCAGATCTTGATATCGGAACGAATAACGCAATGGAACAACAGGATTCGCTCGGTCGGTATAGGACTTCAGGTATTGTGTAAAAACCTGATCGGTATTAAAGTGCAAGTCGGGTCTGAGTCTCATCATTCGCCCGTGGAAGACTCACTTGCTGCTCGAGAAGCTATCTTGGCACTCCTCTTCAAGCCAGAGTATCTAGAGAGATGGAGGGTCAAGATTCAGCGGGATGAGGCTAAACAGGAAGTCATGCGTAAGAAATTCGGGGGTTCCGCGAGGGTTGGATTCAAACACATGGATTCGAGGAGCAAAAAGAATACCGGCTTCGAGGCGTCTCTTCCGGCGAAGAAACAGCAGAAATCTGCTGGCTCCTCCCAGACGAAGAATCAAGTCAAGCAAAACAGTCAGGTCACACAGAAGGAACGAGTAAAACAAGAAGGTCCCAAAACACGAAAAGGACGTCCCAAACAACAGGGTTTAGGAAGACACAAGGGCGAGGTCCAGGTGAAAGGCCAGCCGAACAAGGCAACAGGACAGCCGAACGTACACATGTCGAAGGATGAGAGGCATGCGGCGAAGAAAGCTGCAAAACTGGAAGTGAATCTTGAGAACCGTCGACTGAGGAAGCTGGCTCGCGAGAAGAAACGTGAAGCCATGAAGGAGAAGAATCAAAGGGTTGCAATCTAGCGAACGGATCCATGAGCGAACAAATCCACGAGCGAACTTCCAAAGTTGACTCTCGTTATTAATACTGCGCCAATTTCGTCGTCCCAATACCTCATGCCAAGTCCGTTCCGTAAGGCTGAAGAACACCACCAACTAGTCGTTTCGCCCATCACTACCATTTTCCAAAACAAATACGATTGTCTAAACCAGAATAAGCAGCTAAGGGATCGAAGGAATGTATCTTGAGCACGCTTTGCCATGCGGCGTCCCTGCATTGAGTACCGTGATAAATGCCAAGTTCGGTTGGCACGCTTGGCTTAGTCAAGAACTGGTATTGTGTCACGTCTTCGCGGCCTGTCCGGGCCAATGCGCGTGTTATGAGGGAATTCGCGAGTGTTGGATGTACTGAGCATGCGGAGGCTTGTTCGCCATCCAGAATGTTTCAGCGCCATGGCAATGCTTGGGTGGCACGGATGTAACGTTTATAAATGGAAGCGTAGTGCCATTCTCGAGGTCATAACCTCGACCATTAAATATCCTGACCATTCCGCGCGAGCTACATCTCTTCCTCTCTCACACTCGCTCTCGCTCTCACACTCGCTCGTGAATATATCCTCCAGCATACTCAAAATGAAGTTTCTCGCCATCACCCTCGCGGCCGTCCTCCCTGCCGTGCTCGCCCAGAACATGACCGATATACCTCCTGCAACCGGCGTCTCTGCTGCCCCCTCTCAGGTCACCGGTATGTTCATTGCCTACATACTAGCATCCACTCGATCCTAACCAGACTTCCAGACCCTACCACCCTCTGCCACGCCCACGGAGACCACTGGCACTGCCCCTCGGGCGTGCCTGAGCCAACCACTCCTCCAGGTACGCATGCCCGGCTCGAATTACGCCATCACGGCGGCAATCATGATGAGCCTCACCATGACGGTACCGCCATTCCTCCCCCCTTCCCCGTAGATCCCATCGAACCGATCTTCCCCATCCTCCCAAAACTCATCTCAAACCCACGCCTCCTTCTCTCACCAAGCAATCACTAATCATCTGCATCGTCTATAGCCCCCGAGACCGATGACCACGATGACCACGACCACACCGCCACCGGCAGCGAGGACCCTGGCCCAAGCCCAACCGAGAGCGTAGGCTGCGAGCCGCACGGCGACCACTGGCACTGTGACGGTCCACGCTCCACCGGAGCTGTCGCGACGCCAACCACTGGTGAGAGTGCGCCCGCGAGCACGGCTGCTGGTGCCACGATGGGTGTGTACGGCGGCTTGGTCGCTGGTGCTCTTGCGGCTGGTGCGTTTGTCTTGTAGACGAGAGAAAGGGGAACGGGGAGCTCCGTGTGGACTCCTGGGATGACTGTTGATGTGGATGTGGTTAGCATGTGGAGGGTAAAAGACCTCGTGGTCGTAGATGTGCTGGCTTGTATAATAGGTGGTGTAGATTGTCCCTAGGCACGAATCGAATGGATGTGTGTCTTGCTCGAACTGTGCTCGTTGTGCAATGCGGAGTAGAACTGGAAGTCGTCGATAACGCTGCGAGTTTGGCGTGGATGGCGATCTATGTCTGATATCAACTTGAATTCTAGCACATCCACGCGCCAAAATTATGGACTCTAGCACGATTACTCTCCATTCGCACCTCCTCCCCAATCCTCTCCACCTCGCACTTCCTCCCCTGCTACCCCCCCTTTCTCACAAGCCTATAAGCCTCATTTCGTCTTCAAATGCTCTCCCCCAAGCACTACCTCATCCCTCTCCCAAATCAAACACAAAACCGCACTCATCGGCCCCAAAAACACCGACCTCACAACCATATCAATCCACACACTGCCGGAACTAAACGCGCTACTACGCAGATTCACATTCCGCGTCGTCGCAACCGCCCACACAACATGCGCCAGCGCACCAACCGCATGGTCCCATTTCAACAACCGCAGCGCGCCCTCCGCCACAGACACAACGCGCGGCGCATGCAGAACCGGGAGAAACACGTTCGATGGCGCTAGAGTTGCCGCACTCGCTTCATTGAAAAGCGAGGGCACGAGCGCAGATGTCACGCTCAGCCCAACGGTGTAGACATGCGCGATGGAGGATACCAGCAACGCAAAGGCGTACGCACGGCGCAGAGACGGCAGTTGAGCGGCCGGCGATGCGTTCTTGGGGCCAGCGAAACAGGGCGCGAGGACATAGGACGACAGCGTGACAAAGACGGGGAAGACCTGCCATGCTAGCACGGCGGCGATTTTGGAGTCGAGGGAGAGCAGGCTGGGGTACGGGAGGAGCATGATTGCGCTTGGGACGACGAAGCCGAGGGTGAGGGCGTAGGGGAGGGCTTTGAGCTGCTTGAGGTTTGGGTGCGAGAGCGAGGTTGGGGTTGGGGAGGAGGGGATTGTGGAGGAGAAGAGGTTGATGAGGAGGAATAGGGGGGAAACGACTGCGAAGCCGAGTGTCTGGACGAGGAGGCCGTAGATGGTCGTGCTGATGTTGTGAGTCTGGTGATTTTCTGGGGAACGAAACTAAAGGTTAGACGTACTATGACCCTGCGCCTCCTCGGACGCCGTTTCGGTTTGCTTCGAGGAGTATCACCGTCCATCCGGACATGACAGCACCCGCGAACGGGATGCCGCAGAGGAGGAGATCAGCCTGTTCCGCGTTTGCAAACGGCCAGAAGAAGCCCAGTAGCGGTGCTACGAGGCGGAATTCGTAGTCCTGGAGCCATTGAGGCCATGCCGTGACACCGTCGGTCAACAGGTGTCTCTCGCCGACCGATTTGATCATCTCGTACATGCCGTTCTGGCTGGAGAGGGCGTGGAGCGTGTACGCGCCAATGCCGGCCAAGGCGACAAGTGAAGCTTTGTAAAGGGCAGCCATCGCTGTCAATGCTTCAGACGGATACTACGGTGGGATGTGAGATGGATTTGAGTATGGATTTGATGATATGGAGACTGAAGACAAGTAATTGACCAGATTATAGAACGAATTGTAACTTTGGTTTGATCCAGGCGGGGGCGGCATGGTGGTGGGCCGTGGCACGATCATGCTGCCCTCGGTCAGCCCACGGCTATTCAACTTTTGAGACAACAGGGATATTCTGCGGCATCCTTCATCTTGGCATATGATACAGTATGTCTCGACGTCGTGTAATAAGTCCGAGATGGATCTGGACTGTAAGCGGCTAGCGTTTCGGTACTTTGGCCGGGTCGCAGACCTTGTTGTTGATGTATAGGATTGAGTCTGAGATACTCGAGGCCTTCTGGTCTGCTTTCCATTGCAACTATTATCACTAAACATGCGAGATACAAAGTATTTGATGACAGCTTGTGATAGTGATATGGAGGCTGGTTGCCTGATATAGACTAGCGCATACAGGTCCAAGTAGTAGTGGAAAGTGTGACTGCAGCCTCCAGCTTTCCAGTCATTGTTGTTCGACTCTCGACTCATCGCTGCCATGCAGAACCCTTTCAGTCGCTCCGCCTCGTCTTTTGAGAGCGCCAAAAATATGAAGACTACAATGGCAACACCATGACATCCTACCCCAGCACCCGGCCGGTCTATCGCAAGACGAGGTTCGTCTGCATCTCCGACACCCACAATCAAACACCGAAGCTACCAGCCGGAGATGTCTTGATTCACGCGGGAGACCTCACAAATCAGGGGAGTCTATCTGAGCTCCAAAAGACAGTCGCGTGGCTGGAAAAGGCAAACTTCGAAGCCAAGATCGTGGTAGCTGGTACAGAGAGTTCCACAATGGAAGATGATAATGATGCCTGACTCCAACCAACAGGGAACCACGATATCACCTTAGATTCCCCCTTCTACCAAGAGCACGGCGCCTATTTCCACAACCAACAGCCCCAAGACCCGCTAGCATGCCAGGAGCTGCTCAAGTCTTCGCCTACCATTACTTATCTCCAACATGAAACCCGCGATATATACCTGAGTAGCCCTACCGGTCCCCAAACTGTCTTCACTGTCTTTGGCAGCCCATACTCCCCGGCGCAAGGGAGCTGGGGATTCCAGTACAATAAAGATAGGGCAGCCACAATCTGGGATGCCATCCCACTCAATGCCAGTGTCGTAGTGACTCACGCGCCACCCTTTGGCCACTGTGACTATTCTGCCGGGGGACGCTCAAAGGGCTGCGAGGCATTGCGCAAAGCACTATGGCGCGTCCGGCCCATGCTGTCTGTATGCGGCCATACACACGAAGGCCGAGGCATCGAACGCGTGACTTGGAAGATGGACCTACCTCTCTGTCCATACCTCGAGGACGGATACACATTCTGGGATGATCCAGGCGCCGGCACCAACAAGCTCAGCTACATCGACCTGACGGAGAAGGGAGGCAAGAAGCTGGACAATTACTATGAGTCAAAGCATCAGAGGCAATTGACTCCCAACCGGGTCTCCTTTTCGCCACCGCCAGAGGGCGCGTCGTTGCCATCTCCAACGAAGCACTCGATGCACAGCCACAAGACAGCCCTGGGACGAGCACGGTGCCGCTCGAATCCGAACAGGAAGAAGTCATCGTCGCGGTCTCGTTCACGCAGTCGATCTCGGAGACGCGCTGTACCTGGAAAGGACGCTAGAACGAGGGATATTACCGCCACCGACGTGAACACGGATAGCAAGCCTGCAACAGAAGCTCGAGGTCGACAGCCATCGAACGAGGTCTCAGCGCTCGAAGAATGGTATTCGCGTCTCGATGGACTCAACATATCCGCAATGGCAGGCAGAGAGGGCAAGAAGGAGACATGTATCATCAACGCGGCCATCTGTGGTACAAGCTGGGGCCAGGGGCCGAGAAAGTTCAACAAGCCGATTGTTGTCGACCTCGACCTCCCGGTCTGGGACGGTGCGCCCACGCTGAATTCGAATCTATCTACTGCACCGCCCTGAAGCTTGCCGTACGTCAATTGAGGCTGTTATTCCTACCTACCTACAAAAATAGCTAGATACCTAATACCTACTAAATAAGCGAAGGGCAAAATTAACCTTTTCCCCCTTCCCGAGGAGGGAGGGCCAAGTGGTCGTCATAATCGCGTGCAAGGCGCAGCCAGGGTCTCTCTCCCTCCCTCTCTCCCTCTCTCCCGAGTCCCGTCATGCACATCATTTCCATCGTGCAAAACTCTATCAGTCGAATAATTAACGATTGATGAGCCCCTGACGTCGTCATCGCTTCCTTCTATTGGCATTTCATGCATGCGTTCCTTACTGTACCTCTCGACGACGGGCGCGTGGCGCACAAGGTTAGCCCGTACGTAGCACGATACAGATTAGCTTTAGGTTGTAAGGTAAGCCACCTAAGCAAGCCAAGCCAGCTTACAGAAAGCAGCTTCGGCAGCTGCGGACATATACGTACTTGGACCTCCGTCTCCGTTTTAAGGTAGGGTCAGCCATGGGGAATGTAGTAATTAGTACCTAATTAACCCCCCGATGCCAGGCCCATGTGTGTGCCGTCCTTGAGCATCAGCATCATCGTCATCATCAGCAGCAGCAGGCCGAAGCTCCGTCGCGGATCGCGATGGATAGATGCTGTAGATATGACGGCATGCAGCATGCGACATATGTGGCAGATGCGCCGAGTCTGGACGTCGTTTCGTAAATGATAATGGATCATGAGGACAGCTCAGTTAACAAGTGGTATGCACCGCTGCTGTACAATTGGACTGGACAGGACTGGACTGACTGGCTGGCTGTCTGGCTGGCTGGTTGTGTATTGGGTATGGGATATTGGGTTAATATGCGAGGGTCAATGCACTTATCTACTTTCACGTTCAGATTTGTTCACGTCTCTCTGCCAGGGATACACCCCAGACAAATCACGGCATACCACGTTCACGAAGGGTAGTGTTGTTGCCGTGAGATTCGCAACCCATGGGGGATCTGTTTTGGTTGGTGGTTGGTGGTTGGGGGCTGGAAGGCTGGGCTGGCGCTGGGCGTGGTTTGGCATTGGTATTGGGGCTGGTGGCTGGTAGGTAGGTAGCTGGACAGCTATGCCTATGGTGTAGCCGTAGCTGTACCGTCTAGGTTAGGTTCAGGCTTGCGAGCTCCGGATGTATCTACGTGGTATGTAGTAAAGTGTTTTACAGGATGAAGCGAGCGAGGATTCTATGGTGTCTTGGTGTCTGCGCAGTGTCTGGCGTTCTGGAGGAGAGTGCCCGGGAATTGGATGATGGATGCCCCGGCAACAGGACATCCATAGATACCATGTATATGTGACTTCTTGTGGGAATTCGTGGCGCTGTGTAAGTGACAGGGCGGCTGCGGTGGGAGGCCTCGCATGCATCGGGCACAGTACAGGCGAGGCGAGGCGAGTTTGTGGATGTGGTTGTGGTTGTGCGTGTAATCGTGAAACTCAGACGCTAAGCGGACGGGCCGTTGCGATTGGCTCGACATTGAGTGCTTCGGGATGAGGTGGATGAGGGCGGGGTAAATAGGTCAGGTAGGACGGGACATAGGCAGGACATGCTCCATTGGATAGCGATGCATCGATTGTGCATCGTCATTGTCGCAGATATACGTGATCAACATTCAATCAATCTCCAAGTCTACAGTCTTCTTGGACTGCTAGAACGCAGGTCTGCGGACGCGGATAGTCTCGATAGAACCCGCTGTGGCAGCATACGGAGCGCCATGTAGATCAGGCGATCGCTATACATAGCCCCTGAGTAGAGTCAAGGGTTCCTTGGATGCGTCTCTTGTCAGTCAAAGTGAAGCGTTACGAGACGGCGCAAGTGTTGGATCATAAGTGGTCCTACGTGTCGTCGCTCTATTACCTCCAGCATGGATACGCTTGAACACCGGAACACACTTCTCCAGATAGATGCAGCCGGTGAGCGCTGTCACACGTTCCTGCGGGCCGTAGACAAGGCCACGAAGCGCTGGGCTAGGACTGTGCGATGGTCACGTCGGCAATGCTGTATATGAGATACGGGGGTTAAGTGGGATGTTGGCGTCGATATGGGCGTGATAAGACGAGTTCTGGATGTAGACGACGCATCTCATGTGGTTGCCCTCTTCTGGCAGTCGTCCTGGCAGTCAGAGGACTTGGCCTCACTCTTTGGGTGTGTTGAGACTTGGGTGATGCAGCCGCTTGGGCCGCGGGGCTGAGGGGTTGGAGTCGAGGTGTCTCGACTGATCGAGATAGCTCTTAACATCGAGTATGGAGCACGAAGCACGCTGCTGCAAGAAGTCTCATGAGCGTGCGTATGATGGACACTTCCTTGCATGACTCGTGGTAGGAGATGGCATGTGAAGCTCTAATCTGGCTTCTTGAGGATGCATTTCTTTGGACACGATAATCAACCTTTGTGCACAACGTGCAACAGTAGAGTGGGAATTGAGAAGTCCTCCCAGGGCGATGATCGCAATCCTCCATCGTTCTGACACATGGATAGTAATAGCGGCCGTCCTGGTCCTTGTCCTTGTCGCATCCACAACCCATGACGCCTTCTGGTAGTCAGCGAGCCGTGAGACCCCGCCTGTCGCTCCATGTTATCGATAGTCTGACGCCAAGCTTGGCTTAGAAGCCTTTGGAAGTCGAGTCGAATGATTCGTGGAGTAGGAGGAGTGCCGAGTTGATTGGCCACTTGACGGCTTCTACTCGACCGTAGCCGTAGCCGCCAACACTAATACCACATGCAGCTGCAGCTGCTACTGCAGGGCCTGGGTTCAGGTGGGCGATTGTATACTCTCTGGCGATTCGCACGGCTCTGCAAGGGCAATCCGACTCGTGGAACACGATGCAAGAATCCGCTCGCACTCTTCCTTACAATGTATGCTTCTAGAGCGGGGACAGAGACAGCGAAAGGTTCTTTTCGCGCAGTGGATAATGCGGACCAGTGATGGCAGCTTCCAAATGGCCCGACGCGTGCTTTTGCAGCGCCGCATAGGTGACTCTGTCCAATAGTAGAGGGCTGAGTGACGACAGCGCTGTGCTGAGGTTTTGCAGACGTTGCTGAATACGCTCAGCAGTGGATGTCGACATGGCGATAGAAGAGGACTAGAGCTGAGGAGGATGGGTGAGGCCTGAGTAAGACGACGTTTCATTCTCCCAGTGCTGCTTCTTGGTTGTCCATTTCCAACTTCATCGCGGGACAAGATTGGGCTGCTCACAGGCATCGAATGTGCAGTCTTGTGTTGCCCTGTTCCTCCAGAAAACCGACCACACTCAAGGCTGATTGGCATTTGTGCCAGCCTTGTTGCGTACAGCCAGTTGACATCTATACCATTCACAACTCTGCCTTGTCACCTTTGTTCTTATAATTATACCTCACTGCCCTCCCACACTGACCTCCCGGTCTCTCCCCCGCCTCTTCTGCATCCTGCACAGTCGGAGGCGTAGTGGATCCTTTGTGGGACGAGACTCTCCATTCATAAGTTCCGCCAGGTTGTTGCTAGGAGACGACGACCTTCTGACCAAAGACGGTGAGAGAATCAGCGCAACCACAGCAAACAAGCCCGAGGCCAGAACCTATCTGGTAGTTTGTTATTACCCACCAGGAGCCGAAACACTCACCGACATTTCGAGCGGAGGCTATAGAACGCTTCTCACAGAAGGGAGCAGGACTGTACGACGGCGACGGCGTCTTGCACCGCCTCTTTTCGTTGTAAACGCCTCTCGCAGCAATACGCAATACGCAATAGACGGACGCGCCGGAACAATCATCGACATATTCGCCGCCGGCGCCGCACAATCCGAAGACGACGAGAACGACGACAACAACGACGACGGATTCGTAACTCGGATTGCGGCTTAGTTCTGGCTTGGTCTGGCCGAAAAGACGCCGCAACAGCTTCCACGGGATTCGATCGGTGTCTGCCTCAGGCCACGAAGTCTGACCTATTCTGAATCAGCAACAGCATCGATCAACGCGACGTGCGACGCCATCAATCGCCGCCATCAAAATCCATCGCCGGCCAAAATCCGCACTGACCCCCCCTCGACCCCCGCCGCCAAACCCGCCTGACTTGGCTTCTACTTGGCTTCCATTTGGCTACTCACCACCGCCCACCACCGCCCACCGCCGCCCACTTTCGCCTGCTTACTGGCCACTTGCTGCTCACCTACTGGTCGCCTCTCTCTCTCCCCCCCCCCAAAAAGCCTGACAACTGGGCATCCCTCCCCCCCCGGCTGACCGTTGTTGTCGTTGCTCACAGGCCCCAGGGTCAGGCTCTTTTTGCCCTTTTTGCCCGGGCCTTGTTCCTTGGGTTGGGTGGTGCCCTTGTGCCCTTTGAGCCCTTTGCCTCAAACCTCTCTATTAGTCTCTGTCACCGATCCTTCCGCCTCTCCTCTCCACGTTCTTCACTTCATCCACCCTCCCCTCGCCTTACCCAACAACATACACATCACTTCAATCAATTCAACCACTTCGTCGACTACGCTGTTACAGACTCTCCGCTTCTTTCTACACCACTTCTTTGTCTACACTTCTTAATACCTACTTTGTTCAAAGAGCCAAGACGACTGGCTCGTCGTTTATCGCTTTCTTGGAACACCGCGTCTACCCTGCCCAACGCCTTTGCACTACCTTCTACTTCACCGGCACCGACACCGACAATCTTTCAATCCTTCACATCACCCTCAACTCGGCTGTTATACGTGAGCTGTCTAGAGTCAGCGCTCGATCGACTGAGCACTTCGACCACCACAGCCAGTGCAACGGCAGACCCACCAACAACAGCGGCCTCCCACCTCAAGTCATGGACGAACCGTTACCAGACCCATATACCACCCTTGGAGTGTCGAGAAACGCGACCGAGAATGACGTCAAGTCAGCCTACAGAAAGCTGGCACTCAAGTGTCACCCGGACAAGTTTCCTGACGAAGCCGTCAAGAAAGTCAAGGAGCAGGAATTTCATCGTTTAAACGAGGCGTACGAACTCTTGAGCGATCCCGCCAAGAAGAGTGAATGGCAAGCCACGGTCAAGCTGGCGGAGATGCGCAAAGAGGCGATGGAGAGAGCCGCTCGTGGGAGTGGCAACATGCGGTCCTCATACAACGACGTGCCATCGTCCGCATACAAGACACAAACGCGCGCTCCCAGCTTCGCTGCTCCACCGCCCACCTCTCAAGAGCGACAACGAACTTCTTACGATGACTATGATCGCTATGAACCGACTGACAGGCCATCTTCGCGCAAGGTGCCCGGCTACGAACGAGAGCGACACAGTAAATCCTCCAAGACTGAACGTCAATCGAGTAAGTCCGCAACCGAAAAGAAACGCTCAGAAGAGAAGAGGCAGAAAGAGAAAGCACAGACACGAGAGCGCTCACAAAAAGCAACGTACGTCGACGCTTCTTCCGACTCAGACTATGGCAAAGACCAGCGCCGCAGAGAGAAAGAGAGGGCAGAAAAGGAGCCCTCGCGACGCTCGACTGCAAATCGTATGTTTTCTGCAGCTACCGACTCGCGAGCTCGGGGTGACGTTCACGACGACTCCCACAGGAAGTACTCCACCATGGCCGACTATGCCTACGCATACATGGGTAAAGACAAAGACTCTCGCAAAGATAGCGGAATCGCCTTCACGGGCACTGGAAGGCCTGCCCACGTTCGGAGGTCGTCTGCCCGACCGAAAGATCAAAGCCCCAGAGCAAAGGACCGAGGTCCATACATTGTCGAAGAGCCCGATGAGCATGAGCGACGTAAACCATCGATGCCACAGTCCACGTCCTCTCCCGCTGCACTGAGGCAACACCTTTCCCAGTCACAAACTTACAGCCACGTCCGTGCGCCGCAAGAAACAGTGCCCAAGATGGGTCGTTCCGAAACCATGCCCACCGGAGGCTACACGACAAACACTTCACGCAGACGCGATACAACCCCCCAACAGACTTCGAAGGACGACTCGGGCTACTCTAGCCCTGGCACGCCAGAAACTCAGCAGCCTCAGAGCGGCTTCTCGCGCTCCTACACGCAGCCAGTACCTCCTTCGACAGCACCCTATACGTCAACCAAGGCCCGCTTTCCCTCTGCGGTCCCTCCCACCGTCCACGAATTCACTCAATACGATCCATATGGCCCCCGTATTGAGACTCGTGAGCCGGGTACTCAGTACACACCGCGTATGACTAGGAGCCCATCTCCTCATACCAAGGAGACTGATTCTGCAGAGCGCTTACCGAAGTCTTCGGGCCGCTCATCATACCCAGCAGCATCTCCTGCCACACAGACTCATCGCGTAGTGTACTCATATGCGCCCATTTCCACCCCATCCGTACCACGACCTCCAATACCGCACGCCAACACGACACAAACAATTCCAATCGTGAGTGAGCCTGAACGTGAACGAGGCCGAGAGAGGTCCCGCCGTGATGCTTCCCCCAAGCTTTATGGCGAGGTGCCTTCTGCCTACACTCAAAAATCCACCCGACCTGCCATGGAGCGACGGACCTCCTACAGGCCCGAGGAAGTTAGCTACACTCCAAACTACAGCGTGGATGACGTTAAGTTCAGTCATGAAGACTACAGGAACGGCGACGATGAGTACAGGCGTGGGTATCGCGCAGCATGGGAGGAAATGGCCAGACAGGGACGTGCGCCACCCCTTCACAGGCGTGAGACTGCTGCGCACTAGCAGCCTCGTTGTTCACAATGTTTTCCTGACATTGCATTTCCGTGTTCATCGTTGGTGGAAGCACTTTCTGCATTTTCAATCACACATATTGTTCTATCACTGTATCGTTTTGGCTTTTTGGCGTCCAAGGGGAGTTCGCTCTTGGTGCTACTTTCCTTTTTCTACCAATATCATCGAAGAGGCTTTGCTGTGAGTCTATCGAGTTTCACTATACAAATACATAAACAACAACAACAACAACAACAACATTAACAACAATAACAATCATCGACGACCGACGACGACTACGAAGACGACCGACGACGAATCACTTTTTTTGCAGAGAAGGAGGAACTCCCAATATCATTTTGGTCGAGTGTGGAATCTGGACAGAGAGATATAGAAACAGCGCTCTTCTTTTGAACTTTTTCCCCCTGAAAGACAAAATGTCAAAAGAGAGCGCTTGTGTGTAATGTACATGAGGAAAGATGGGAAATCCCCCTAGCAGCAAGTTAGAGCAACGCCTAGCGAGACCAGCGCGAACAAAACCCCCCCTTGCTTGCGCTGGGCTACGATGAGCATGAATATAATGATCTTACCAACCCAAAACTCCATACAAATTCCCGAAAACGAAAATTTTAATACTAAATTACTTGTTCTTTGTGACTCTCCACAAAATGCACTACGTTTGGTCTCTCGAATTCGTATTTTCTCTTTGAACCCACCCCACTTACCCGCCACTGCAGTGCCACCTTGTTGTGTACGTCATATGTCATATGGCGACCTCTCGTCCTCGTGTCGATGCTAATACAACACATCACATCATGTCACACCACACACACACATACACATACACACACGACACGCCACACGACACGCCACATCACACATCAGCACTACCTTTGACACTCAATGTACAGTATGCGACATTTTCATTCTCCATGATAGCGACACGCTGCCGCATTGCGATATTTCCCATCTACCTATCTATCTGCCCACTTATCGACTCAGCTACCCACGAACCTCCCCATTCAATCCAAAATACCCACACTACCCAACCCACCACACGCCCTCTCAAGCGTCAAAAACGCAAAATGCCCTCCCACAACAGGCCGTGCAAAGAAGTTTGGCCCGGGAAACCCGCCGTCGCCCTCGGTGTTGTACAAGTCCGTAAACGGGCGATCGGTCACCGTCTCATTTAGCCACTTCGCGACTCGTTGGAGGATTTCTTTACGCACGTCCGAAGAAGCCACGGCGGCGGATTCGAATTCCCAGTCCGACTTTGTATACAGGTGGCGTGAGTCGAGCGGGAGGCCGTATTTCTGCATCACGGCCGCGTACCAGTCGGACTGCTTCTTGTAGATTGACGTGGGGATGAAGTCTTTGCTGTTGGAGGAGATGGGTCCAGAGATGGGTTTCTGCTCGCCAGAGTGCGCTGGCGAAAACGTGGGCGCAGAGCTGTTTGAGAATGAAGGGTGGAAGCATAGGATGGCGTCGGCGTAGAGCGAGTATAGAGTTGTCCAGCTGCCATACCAGTCGTATGCCAGCTTTGCGTGCGAGCCGTCGCGGGACATGCCGTATTCCTCCCATTTGGTTATGTATGTTTCCGAGATGTTCTTGTACCTCTTTGCGTCGGCATCTTCGCCGAGAATTGAGGATAGCTCGCTCATGGCCTTGATACCGATGATACCTTTCAAGGCGAGGTTCGTCTGGAGCGGAAGCCAGCCGGCGAAGTCGTCGGTGCATACTATGACCGTGTCAGAAGCGGAACATAATTGATAGATGACTTCATCTCGAAACTTACGTTGATTTGCTGGCTCTAGAGAGAATTCCACCAAGTAGCCGGTCCATTGCTTCCACAGACGGTAGCTGTTCTTGAGCCATTTTTTTGCCTGCTTAGGGCCCTTCAATACGCCACCCCACGAATTGTCAATGTACTCGATACCGTCAACAGTCCCTATCTCGGCAAGCGAGAAGGGATTCTCATTACTTTCGTCAAAGTCTTGACTACCAACGGTGGACCATCTTGACTGTGCTGCTGAGCTGTCCGAGTACATCAATGAGTTGATCAGTGCGAGGCCCATGATAAGCATGTCCCCACACTCTTCGACAGGCATGTACTCGTCCCGTCCGTCTGCGTGGCCTGTCTCATTGGGGAAATGGGAACCCAGGTCATGCATCGAGTAGTCATTAGGGTACTGGCCGCTCAGCTGATGCTCAATTAGCGGCTCCAAGAGGTACGAAAGCCATCGTGGATTCGTGTACAGGAAAAACGGGAACGCAGGGAAAATTACATCCACAGTCTGTGTATTGCCGTTACTTGAGATTTCTTTGAGGAAGAGTAGAGGATTGTCAGGTGTTCCAGAAAACGAGGTGGCGCCTAGGACTTGTCGAGCAGACAAAGCAACAATATCAACATAGTCATGCGAGCCAGATTGAAATGCATCTGCAGCGAGCTGATCAGAGTAATTCTGGGCAAGCGCTTGCGCGTTGTGAAAGTCCAAATAATGATAGTCGATCACTTTCTCATCCGTCAAGAACCATGACTTCCATAACGGCTTCGCATGCAGGAGGCCTCGAGCGCTGGCAAATTGAACTACTGGGTCCTGCATATGAGCCAATGTGAATTGGACTTTGTCATGTACTGCCTTTGTGGCAGTCGTCGAGGAGTTTTGGGCTAACTTGAAGCTCTTTGAGAACGCAAAGACCGGCTCACGTTCCATGACTCCTCGAAAGTCGTTATCAACCTGATTCTGTAATGTACCAGTCCGTGAAAACCGCTGTCTAAGGGTCTTAGCTCTACCAGCTTCATGTCTGACGCCCGCGGGAGCACTGAAGAGAAGATGTCCCCACTCTGATTGGTCGTATATTTCGGTGTATAGCAATTGCTGCGCACGATTGACCTTCCAAGTCTTTAATAGCTTCGTGCCTCTGGCATCTCCATTGTTCAAAAGCTCCCACTCAATCTTTGCATTTTTAGTCCCGCTCACCCATTCACCGTTGACATCGATGTATATGTCGAGGTCGAAATCCCCAGATACATAGACAGTCAGGTACGCTGCAGGTATTGATTGTCTCAAGGTGGATGTGGGTGTGATCGGGGAGAGGAATGATAACTTAAGCTCCAGAGGCTTAGAACCGGGCGTAGGAGCGGGGATCATGTAGGTAAGGTTCGTGGTCGAGGCATCATAACTTGCGCCTTTATAATCCGGGTACGAAACATTGTATCTTTCAACGTCAGCTTGGTTGCGGTCCCAGAAGGATCTCTAAGCTTACCCGATTTCTTCTCCGTCACTTTCGAGGAAATCTTGGACCCTACCAAGAAGAGGGTAAACATCTTTAGTGTCCGGCGAGGATGCCATTATCGCCATGCCGAGCGATCCTCCTGTCCAAAATATGGGCCTGGAAGTAGATCAATCACTCTGGCCGGATGGTCCAGGACAGGTCCTTACCAATGACTCCATGGTACGTCTCTGGCATTCGCAAGCCAGCTATTGAAGTAGGGTGTTCGAACGAACAGTGGAAGAATCGGAGGTGTCAATGTAGAAGCTTCAGCTACACTTGCCAGGAGTGCGCATATGGACGTTGAACAGCCGAAGCAAGAGAGCTTCATTATGAGAAGACAAAAAGACACAATTCAAGAGCTCAGTCGTCAGCCACGTAGCTTTCTGGGAAATTTGAGCTCGTTTTTTACATGCTCGATATCATACATTCAACGCATGAGACTTTGGGAGCTAGGAGCTGTCGTGAGACTTGAGTGATTAATGGTAGTGGGTCTGGGGAAGTCACCCAACAGGGCTGTTATGCACGGATGGACCCATCCATTGCGGGGAAGTTCCAACCAATCAAACTCCGTGCCCTGAATCGGGTTGTAGGGTCGTATTCAAATGCCGACCTCACCCTATCATTATTTCATGCTTCTTACACAAGTTATCATCCCGCAGACACGAATTCTTCGACAGCATCATTTGCCCAGAATCGTGATTCGCGGTCTGACATTCTTTTGATGCAATGGAAGTCTGCCTCTCCATGCCTCGTCGCCGCCGGCCCCTTACTTCTTTGAGACCGTGTCATTAACCACATCCTGCCAGACCTCAGCTGTGTGAGAGCGCTTACGTCCTGGAGTTGGAGAATCGATGTCCCTGAAGCCTCCTCTAATTGGGCTCGGTGCTCGCCATGCCTCTCTATCATGAGTTTCGACCGTGTCCTCCGTAGTCCTCGAAAACAATGACATTGGAAAAGAGCTGTTCGTGGTGGGGAAGAGGCGCCGCGAAGGCGGGATAGATAATCTCTTCGGACGCCCAACAAAGCCGAACTTGTCGTCCTCGATGTCATCTTCATCTGGCTGATTACCATGTGCCTCCGGTGCTTTGCTGGAGGAATCAAGAGACGTCTCGCTGTGGTGACCATCAACTCCTTCCGGCCCTTGTACATTCTCCATTGAATCTTGCAGGTCGAGGCTAAGGTAACTATCGATGTAGCTCTCATCGGAGCCATCGGGAACTCGCAGAATCTCGAGGCGCTTCAACTCATCTTGATAGTGTCAGCCTCGCATAAAATGGCGATCCATCCTCATACCTAATGTTTTGTAGTAGTACCGGAATGTAGCGTATGGCATGTCCACCGGATCTACGAGTGCATATTTGTAGAATCGCTTTGGCTGTTCTTTCTTTACCTGGCCAACAGACAAGATCCTGTCGAGGTTAGTAGCCATTCATACATTCGCACTCCATCGCTCTTCTCACTCTAAACCCGTTGGTCGTTTGCGCCCCTGTATGGTATCTCTATATTGATTCATATCCTTCGCAATTCTCTGGCGTCCGGCCGCACGATAAACGCGGATCTCAAACCTTGCCCCATAATTTCCTTCCAGGTTGTCATCCTGTCTGCTGTTGGCCGCGAAGAAAAAGCCTCGTCTTTCAGTAGCTGAACTTCTTGCATTCCAAGTTTCTGTAGCCTCGTAAAGCGCATGCATTGTTTTTCCTTGATAGTCTTCCTCCTTTCCGACACCCCAAGAGACCACGTCCGTGTCATTGATCGAGAGCTTGAAAAAGAAATAAGCTGAAGGAGGCTCCGGCTCGCTTAGGCTATAGCAAACCCAAAACTGCGCTCCTGGTCGCGATTGTATGTACACTGAGGCCACGTTATTTTCCAAGAGCTTGGGGAAGCCCGGCTTCTTGGGTGGTGCAAACTCCGGAACTTGCTCCACATCGAATTGCGAATTGACACCGAGGGTGATCCCGCGAAAACCTGCGAAATTGATTCAGTCAGCACAATTTCTGGCTTCGTGCAAGCAACTGCAAGACATACCAGGCATTTTTGTGACGCCTGAATCCAGACAGCGCTGCAGTATGGCTTCAAAAGAGGTCCGAAAGCTTCCGCAGCTCGATGTGCGAATGTTGTCGCGCGTATGCCCGGGACTTTGCGTGTGTTCAGCTCAGCAGGCGCAACACCCTCTTCATGGGCTTATCACGTGATGTCAGTGAAGTTCACCAGGAGTCGCAACTAGGCTAATACATAGCTCTAAGTCTGTTCCAAAAAGAAACTCTCAAGACGAACTAAAGACAACAAAACATTACCCATAAAGATGGGTGGCTACCACAGACCGGTGACCTTAAGCGCACACCTACAGTCATTGAAGTGCTCAAGACTCGAATGATGTTTGAAGAGCGATTCGCCTCCCTAGCAATAAAGTGATGGTCTATAGGATGACACAAGGCAAGCGCAGACGTGTTCTGGAAGACTTCAATCGCATTGCCATTCCATTCGTTTGTTCTGTAGCTCCGGTCAATTTCATATCTTTTTGGATGCTCAAAGGAGGATCCTTTAGTGCATGGCAAGACACGCATGGAGTGTCATTTGAAGACCTAAATATTCCTGACCTACTTGTCTTGCACAGCATCGCCCCTTTCCTACGTATTCCTTGCTTGGAGAGGGTATATGTTGATCGCTTACGATGGGAATCATCTCACGTTTTGCTGTACCCTGATCAGCTCAGGGTGGTAATGAATAGACTTCCACGGCTCATCACTGACAGTGTATCGTCAGCTGTGAAGGTAGGCAGCTGGCTTGAGCGAGACATGAGCTCACTCTAATGAACGATTGGATCTCTTGCATGAGATTAAGGCAAGGATTTAGCTTATTCGATTTCAACGAGAACATTTTGTAGAGCGATGTGTTACTGTCGTACTACGACAGTAACTTATGTAAAGTCTTCAACTAACACTAAGCCAGCTACCAGCATCGCCCTGTTTGTTTCGCCTCTTGAATAGCTCACACAGCAATGTATCTAGCTATCACAGCAAGCATTCTGAGAAATTTAAGCTCCTTTTATCTTACTTCAAGACTCTAAATCTTTTGCTTGTTAGTAGTTTTACGATACCTATCCCCGTTATACTGATTCAAAACTCACAATATAGGAAAGAAGATACAAGGCTTATCCAGCACCATAGTACTTGACATGGAGACAACATTCGGAAATTCGCGAAGTCAGATCTCCGTACCTATGATCAGTTCCTTTGGGTCAAAACTACACCCTTGCTGCTTGTTCACGTCCTTAGTGAAGTCCACCAAAACGACACCCCTGAAAACCCTTCCATTCGGTAAGTGATCGCTTTCTTGTCTCGATGGGTATATAATAGGAACAATTGTTGCATCCTTCGTAACACTAACACAGGTTCTAGGGCATTTGGCAAACTTGATTCTTGTCACCGAACGTTACCACGATCCTCGACCGAGTCCCCCCGTTCGATTCCCACTCACGACATCCCGTTCTGCTCTCGAGCCGTCGACCGTATACGTCGCTCGCCATTATGACGTACCCATTGCACACCGCGGTCGTCTGGCTTCCTTCCCCTTCTCTCCTCCGTATACGCCCTCTCACTGGCACACGTGCTCTCGACCCTTCACTTCCTCACTTGCACACGTGCTCTCGACCGTTGCGCCACAATGCAAACCAACCCTTATCGCCGGGCAGAGTTTCCCCATCCCCATCGGGGGGTGGTTTTTTGTCAAATTTTGCGGCGCTCACCACTCAAGACAAGGCAAGGTTTGGTGGTCTCTCATACTAATTGAAACAAATTTTGAAGAGATAATCGCGCGTTATCTTATCGCACATAGTTGCTTGTAAGCTCACATGAGTGTTTACATCGGCCAGTTTTTTGGTTGTGTCCAAAGCAGCTCAGCCCTGGACAACGCACCAAGTCAGTCTTTGGATGGCGACGTATAACTGTGTATCAACGAATACTGAATTCCTACTCAAAGATGCCCAAGAAAGACTGCACTCATGGCTTCAGCGGTGAGCCCCGACGCGTTTCGTGATCAGGTCAATCACAACGCACGCAGCTGTGCACTGTGACTTCATCTTCAATCTGCTCAGGGAAACGCCTTTTTTTCGAACAAAACTCAGCTAACTCGAAAGCAGTCTACTCTTTCTTGGTTCTCACATTTCAACGTAGCCACTCACTGACATATCGATTGCAAGCCTGCCATCAGAGAAAACCTCAACTTCATCTCAGCACGACTGACTGAGATTACTTGGGAAGTCTCTTGTCCTATAGAACAGACTCGCTTCTAGTCTCTGTAAGCATTCATTCCTACATATCGAACCAAGAACTAACGCTGCCCATGATATCTACGAAAGTTCAGATCAAACCCTCGCACAACTAGCGAATCTGAGAGTCGCCCAAACTTCCTATCCTGCGATACCAGCTTTCGACCCATATTCTTTGGACATGATAGAAGCCACTGACGTTAAGATCTCTATGCTCTTGGACACAGCCTCATCACGCGGAAGCATATAACTAGGCTGTTTTGCTGAGGCGTCCTTTCCCTCGCGGTCATTGAGGCCACACTACCTTATCCGCCATAAAGGCTATCGTTGCCTTATAACCATAGCCTCCCATACATGCCTCATTACTGCGTCACCTGGATGAGGACAAGCTGCTCATAATATTGGTCCATCGAAGAGAACGATGGTAGGAACCTGATCACTGTGGATCATAGAAAGCTGCCAGTATCCACATCTTGCTCGAACAGGCCAATTGCTGAGCGAGTGATGAATAACAAAGCAGGCCTTCAAGATCGATCTTCCGTGGTGTCGGGATCAGTGGCAGCTAGAAACATGACATTCTGGATCCATATGCGGCAAGAATGATGACAAGGGAATGTTTTGAGTGAGCCTTGTCCCTGAAAATGTTTTGACAGAGTACAGAATCAATCATCGACTCGACCTCGCAGTATAGACGGGTTTCTCCAGTACATTTTAATACCCTGGACGCTATGTACAGACCATTCGAGCCAAGACTAAACACTGTGTAGCGCTATATGCATGGAGAAGTATCGTATGATCCTCCTCTACCTGACATGATTCGGATATACATCCTGTGGGCAGTGGAAAGAGAATGACTTTGTTTACAATTATCAGGCTGATGCCCAAGATTGGGCGACAAGCCCCTAAGCCTTATTCCGAGAGGATGCCTACGCGTACAAGACGCTGATAGTGTAATATAGAATGACTGTGATGGTAATTTATTGTCTGTCAGTGCTCCAGGCTACATGTAAAGAATCACCAAAACGCAAAAGAGTATTCAAGCTTTCTTCTCTCCCATCACCCCTTCCATCTGAACAATGCCTTAGCTGCGAGACAGCCTCCAAAGTATCCGCTGCAAGAGAACGAACTAGTCTGACGATGCAATGTTATTTCTTCCACCTACATCATGGTCATGGGTCCATCCTCTATGGCTGAGTATTACAACTCACTACACGGAACCTGGCAAGTATTCGAGTCTTTTTATCTCCCAGCATGGTTTCTGCCTGGCGTAGTATGGCGTTTTTCAGTCGTATATCCAGCACCGCCTCCTACCGGATCCGCAAACGGGTCCTCCTGCATGGAAGAATTATCGCGTCGCGTAGTATCACCCCTGTTTGGCGTCTGTTTGCCCGCAGCTCCGAATGCATCACTGACGGCATTAAGATGCCCTGCTGGTGTATGCGTTTCTGTCCAACGATCATGCCTTGCGAGCTCTTTTTGGGTAGGATAAAGAGATTCGGAAGATGACTTGGAGACAGAGCTTAGGGGTTCAGGCTCACGCTCTCCTAGAAGCCTACGCGTGCATTCATCGGACGGGGCTTTCTTAAGCGTGAGTATTTTCCCAAGGTTCTCTTTGATTTTGCTCATGGCTTTTTTAGAAAGGAATGGAGCCTTGTTTTCTGTGAATTGGGAGGCGCTGGGCGCTGGGTTGGGAATTTGCTGTGTTTCGTAAAGGGATGTGGATGGGTTGGGCTGTATAGTGGCCTGAGATGCTGAAGGGTGTTTTGGCCTAGTGATTATGATAGAAACTGTGGAGAGGTGATTTGGTAGATGATTCATGTGACAGTGACACATGGTGGTAGCTTTATACGCTTCCCAAGTGTAGACAATGTCGGTGTACAGTGATTAGGAAGCATTGTGAGACAAAGCAAACCAGTAACAGAGTGGAAGGGCACCATTCGATGCTGCTTCAGCATATGGCAAAGAACATACGAGTGAACAACGCAGCCACTGTCAAGCGCAAACTGACAGGCTCGCATTACATTTACATGTTTTATATCTTCGCATTCGTTACTTCGGATGCCACTTGGTTGCAGATAGTCGCTCTTGGAAACTACCGGTAGAGAATGTCGGTCTTTCTGTATTACCAAGATCGTAATTCATTATCGAGTGTGGCCAAAGACGAGAAGACACCCATCACAGAGCACGGAGTTCATGGTTAGAGAGACAGTGGACTCACGTACTTCTAGAACTGCGCACAGAGTATATCTGACACTGATGAATAACAGTCCACAGAAGGCCATAAGCTGAGAAGATCAATTTGTAATATTAGAAGCTGTAATATATATCCAACCCAAAACAAAACTGCGTGGTGAGCTTCCACTAATATATCTCCGCGGCACTCTGACGCGTGGTAATCATATTGCATGTCGAACATCTCACACCAATCCTCTGGTTGAATTAACGATGGTCTGTCCTGTATCGAAGACACTATTTCTCAGCTCATTGATGCGCTCAGTAGGACCACCGGGTCACTCTGACAGTCGATGTATGGTAGTTCTCAGGCGTTCAGTACTGTATCACTGTCCCCCTGCTGACGAGTATGAGATGACTACTCAAGGTAAGTACACCAGAAATACCGGAGACCATGAGATAATCCCTACCATACATGCTTACCGTGAATTTGACCTCGAAAACTTGGCCTTGAACAACAGCAAAGTAATTTCAAATAATATAAACCTTAGAGTGTGAAACATCAGACAGCACTATACCACAATCTAAGAGACTATAGAAAGCATACGCGCGCAGACGTGAGCATATACAATCGGATACAATCCGAAGTACTAGATTAGGATTGTATGATTAGTCACCCTAAAAGTACAGATTAAGCTTGGAATCTATGCTAAGGGATTAAGATTGCTTATATTAGATTAATTAAAGTGGGTGTATAGCCGGGGCCCTATATTAGGCTATATTCAGGCATTATTTATGCCTAAGGCTGCCATATTAGTGCCTTAGGCTAGACTTTGGGCCTTAGGTAGAAATAATACCTAAATATGGCCTAATATTAGGCCCGCAGCTATTTACCCCACTTTATTCAATCTAACACAATCAATCTAACCAATTAGATTAAGATTGTACCGTCTTAGCAATCATTTTGAGTCGTAGATTGAGCTTGTATTCTCTATCAAAATTTTGGCCCAGATTGAGATTGCATAGATTCGGATTGTATATGCTCACGTCTGTACGCGCGCAGCTGAATAAATGATAACTGACGGGGCCAGCCCCACTCCTTCCTTCGATTGCATATAAATCTATCTATACAGCACCCTCTATTCTCGTGACTAACCTTCCTTCTCCAACTCTGTCGTCGAAGAACTTTCCACCTTGCCAGAGTGACCCTGGTCTCTGCCATCGTCGTCTCCCTTGCAACATGAGACTTCGCCAGCATGACCAGATCCCCACTTCTATCCCAGCTCATGTTTGGAACAAATCTTCTTACACCTTTCTTCCAACCTGCGAGATCTATTATCCGCGTCTCTCGCATTGCGATCTTGATGTTTGTCCCTCCGTCTCTCAATGCGCCTTAAATACAGATACAATTTCGCACGGCTTAGTAGATTCCAGTGGTGTCGCACTTTGGGCCGGTTGCGGTACGCTTCGTCAAATTCGGAGTTGATTCGTTTTTTGGTAGCTTCCGTGTCGGATTTTATTCTTGCATCAGTTTGATAGATTTCCTCGAGCCTGGCAGGGAGGACTGTTGTTAGGGATTTGGATGGGTGAAGGGGTGAAAGGGCTATAGGTACTTTTCTTTTAATTCCGCGGGAATGTCCCGCGCGGGACTGTCCCGCCAAGGCATCAGCAAGTCTTTGTAGGTTATGAGCGAATGCGGATGGCACTCCTCTTGGTCTTGGCTTTTGGACATACTGCCTTGAATACTGTCTCGTGTGGGTATCGGTGCTGATCTTGCTGTTACTGGCATTACTGTTACTAATGGTGCTATCCCATCCACAAGACCTTTGCTAGGAGTAACTGTAATGACTCTTGGGAAGAAGACGGATATAGTCGAATCGACGTATCAGAATCCGAAAAAAAAAACAAGTGGAGTGCGGCTGTGGATTAAGTGGAGCAGGCTCAAGATCTATATCGATGTTCACATATCGAACAGAGTCGCCTCGGAGGCTGTAAAAGTAAGGGATATTCATGAAAGAGCACATGGTGGACGCCGGGGCATAACAATGAAGATCAAACAATGCCCTTCACAAAGGAAACGAGTTTACTTCGCTTTGTTACAATGTCCAGTGAGCCTGACCTGAAGAGACGACTCATAGTGTCGGGTACAATGAAAACTGTTTTGAATCCTGACTAGCTCTCAGCAAGATCTTGATCATAGCTGATTCTGGTCGATGGCTGTTATATGCAATATGCTACACCCTGTCTGGAGAGGTTATCAAACCACAAAGGATCTTTTCGGATTTGATGGAGCGGAAACGTGCTTCGCTAGCTTCTAGTCTGCGACGCGTCCATTCATTCAGCCTGAGGTGCCACGTACATAAGGGGATACATCAAATACCGATGTTCGTTCTTACCAGAACCCAGAAGAAGAATGCAGAGACACGTCTGAATGCAGAAGCTGCACAAGGGCTCTTTCTAGACACGTGGAATGACAATGAAAGAGACTAAGCAGAGAAAATGAACTACATTGTTCCAGAGAACTAGCGACGAATTGTCTCGTCCAAAAGACCCACGTATCTCGTGAGCGCGTCATGAAGTGAATTTTTTGCAGTAGCCCAAGACAGCATTAGTGAATATCTACTTCCAATCCAGACAGGAAATACTCTACAATAGCAATAATCACAGTATCGAACACAGACGGTAATCAAACCCAACGTTACTATCTATCCTCGTCGCACATAATTCGTGTCATACTACTCCTCTACTGGTATCACGAAGCCACTCTACCCAAAACGCCAGTACTCCAACCTACGTCACTCTACCACAAGTTCTATGCGCTCTATACTCCAACAAAGCCCCTCAGCGACCGCCAATCTGCTTACTAGGCACAGGTCTAATCCAAGCAACCGCCAAATTCATGCCGATTGAGATGGCGCCAACGATGTAGAAGACTTGGTGGTAGTTCGTACCATGGTAGCGAAATGCGATGGCATATATAACTTTACTCATTGTCAGCAAAAGCGCCCACACAATAAGCCACGAGGAAGAGTGAGCACTCGACTTACCACCACCAAGATTGCCCACCGCACCCACAAGCCCACTCACGACCCCGTTCGCAAACGGATGCACGTGCGGCACAAGCCCAAAATTCGCTCCGTTGCCTGCTTCCATGAACATCGCCATCCCCGCGACCAGGCCGATCATAGTCGGTAGATGATGAGGGTCGAGAACGCCGATGATGATGGCGAATATCCCCGCGACGCAGCCTACGAAATGAATCCAGAGCTTCTTGCCCCATAGACTGCCCCCGGTAGCGCGGTAGATCACGTCCGCGATGACGCCACCCAAAGGGCGAGACACGACGTTCAGTAACCCGAACATGGCGGCCCAGCGCCCAGAGCCGGTCTGGAGGAGAGTCGGGAAGTTCTTAAGGTAGTAGGCGCCGAGTATGGAGTTTATAGCGAGTTCGGCGCCGAACGAGTTGAAGTATCCAGCGCACAAAGCGAGGGTTTGCGGAGACGTGTATACCTTGAGCATCTCCTTGAATGTCGGCGCTTGTACGATTTCATGCTGGTATTCGTCTACTATGACAGCCTCGCCGACTTCACGGTCGGCGACGTCGGCGTCGTCGGATTCGGAGGGCGCAGCGGATTTCTTCTCGGATAGGTACTTGGCGTCCTGAGTGGTTGAGACGGGGATCTTGTGCAGGGCGGGAACTTGTGCGGAGGCAACGTGGCCGGCGTTGTGTTGAGTGCGGATGCGTGCGTTGATGGCTTCGTGGCGGGTGGACCAGGCGCCGTTGGGAGTATCGGGGCAAAGGAGGAGCATGGAAATTGCGGTGGAGGTGATGAGAATAAAAGGCACGATGAAGGCGACGCGCCATGCGACATGAGCGCCGAGGTGCTGAGAGTGGACGAGGGAGTCGAAGATTGCGGGCATGGCGAAGCTGGTGGATGTGAGCGAAGGTTGCGTGAGTTGGATGAAGGTAAAGGAGACGAACTATGTGATGCCACCACCGGAATTGCCCCAACCACCGATGAGGGCGTTGGATGTTCCAACAACATTTTTGTCGAAGAACTGCATAGACCATACCTGGCAAGGAACGAAAGTGCCACCGAGAATACCAATGAAAAATCTCAGAGTGATCAGTCCAGCCGCATTGTGAATAGTTCCGGCAAGGGCAGTTGGGAGAGCGCCAACAAGTAGGAGACTGGCAAAGACCTTTCGGGGCCCAAACCTATCACAAAGAGGTCCAGCAACGGCACGAACCAGAAGTGTAGCAACTAGTCCAGAGATATTTGAGTTCGCGACTTCATTCGTGGATAGGTGAAGGTCTTTCTTGATAGTAAGGGTCAAGAGCGGCGGGAAAGCGTACCAGGACCAAAAAGCAATCAAAAAGCCAAGCCATGAAAAGAAGAATACACGACCATGCACATCCACTGGGTTTAGGACAGGAATGGAACGAGCTTTGCCATTGATCGGATTCTGCTCTGGCTTGGTCCAGAGGAGGGAGAGTTTAGGGGCCATTGTTGATGTCGATCGCTTACCAACGAAGATCTGGACAGGTAGAAGAATGACTGCAGACTAGACAAGGAAGAAAGTTGGATGGTGAGACTCGACTCCGAAAGCGAGAAGACCGCATATATACGAACAGACCGGACATATCAGACCACCAGGCCCGCGGATGTGGTCAAACGCAGTGCTGGCATCTCCAGAAAGTAGTGGGGACTTTGAAGAATCCAGAACTACACAATTCAGAGATCTACTAATTACCAGGAATGGAGGCGTCGTTGCCAGGCTCTGGCTGATATCGGATATGTTTGATCAAGTAGGGAGTAAGAGATAGCGAGCATGAGCCATTTGATTTTGCAGACAATCCGCGGAAATCTATAGATGATGGGCGCGAATGTCGCAACAGGACTTGTTGTTAGTGTGTTTGCTGCCGAAAGCGTTATCAGCACCGCAGTGCGCTGTAAGCACGGCTTGGCCTGGCCTGATAAGCAATTCCCTCCAAGTCGCACATGAAAGAGTCCAGAATCGGAACATCCTACAACTCCATACTTCTTTCACCAGTTCATAGGCTCCTCAGACCTGCGCTGTTGTGCATATGTGATAGCTGTTCCCTTTCAGACCTGGAGAAAACCCTGGGCAATCGAGATTTAGATATCTATCGATATGATGCGACCTCGAAGCAGTTGGAGCTGAATGAGGGGCAATCGGTACCCATCAGCCCTACTAACTCAGGATGGAGGCCTCTCTTCTTTTTTCTTCGTATTTTCCGTGTTCATTCTCCTACAGCATCAGCCTCATGCCCCGTTCAATTCCCAAGCTCTTTCTCTGCCCATCACTCTACTGTAAGATGATAAAAACTGTACCCGGGCACCGTTCAGGTACGCGCCTGTGACGACAACTACGAGCATGACGTCTCCGCGGTTCGCAGCGTCGCAAGCTCGCAGATCGTCACCAAAGTGGCGTCGCGACTGATAAGGGAAAGCAATCTGTGGATGTGAGGATTGAGATAGTAAAGAGGGTCTGGGCCGAGATTGTTGTGGTGTTTAAAAGCGTTGTGGCGCGCTCGTGGCTGGACGCGAACATCTCCGCGGCCGTGGACACACGCTAACTCTGCTGGAGATTATGGATATCGTGGGGGTGTTTGGAATTTGGGCGTACAATGTTTGTGTCTATTTTGGGCTGCATGTTTATCGCGAAAAAAGTTGTGTTGTGGAGCGTCTGGATCCCTAGATACTGAGTGTCTACTTCGTATGGAGGCTGCGTGGCTATTGAATCTGAACCTCAGTTTATGCATCAAAGTGAACAACAAACCCGAAGCCGCTACTATTCTCTCTGTATATCAGGCAGACTGTCCCTTAGCATAGTCGGTACTGTAGCTGATGTCCTTCCATTCATCTAACAGCGCCAGCGTAGCCCTACACTTCTCGCGAATCGTCTCCTGACAATCACTTCCTAGTACAAGCCTTGGAGGTATACCCTTCTTTCCAGTCTCGCCGCTCCCAGTCAACACATCGACAATGACCTCGCACCCCTTCTTCACATCTCCTGGCTGGTTACCGCCAACCTGAGCCAGCAATCTCCTCACTTCTCCTGTCGCAGTATCCGTATAGTCCTGAATCTCGACCTCGCTCTTGACTTTTGCGTCAGAGCTTAAGAAATTAGATCTGAAGTATCCCGGTTCGATGACTGTCGCTGTGATCCCGAGGCCCTCTAGCTCCGGACGCAAACTCTCGGCTATCGCGCTGCAGCTCCATTTTGTCGCTGCGTAGTTTGCAAAGCCGGCCCCGCCAGTCCAAGATCCCAAAGAGCCGAAGATAGCCATGACTCCGCTCCTCTGCGCTCGCATGTACGGCAATACAGCCCTTGTAACGTTTAGCATGCCCAGAACGTTCGTGTTGAAGGTAGCAAGCGTTTCTTCCGGACTCGTCTCCTCGACTGCGCCTTCAAGAATGTAGCCTGCTGCATTAACTAGGATGTCGATGCTACCATGGATCTTTTGGGCTTCTTTTACTGTCTCCTTGATCTGGGGAAGCGGCCAAGTTACATCCAGAGCAAGAGTTGATGCGCCGGATTCTTTAAGACCAGCAATCTTTGCTGTATTGCGAGCAGTGGCTATGACTCTGTGACCACGAGCCAGAGCAAGTTCTGCGATGCCTTTACCAAAGCCGTTGGATGTGGCTGTGATCAGCCAGACAGGAGTTTCAGAGGTCATAATGCAGTATGTTCTGTACAAGGCTTTGATCTCGAAGGGAGGTTCCGGAACCGCGAAGAGAAGAACTCCGCACTAATCTAGGTCGATATTAACAGAGATAGCGAGAAAGTTGTTGAAACTTATAGAGGTATTTGTATGGGTTCTGCAAGCAATATGTGTTGCCTACCTAGTGATAAAGGTTACAACGCTCCGCTTCATACAATATCGTTCTTTCTGCTATTAAGCTACGGCGACCCTACATTATATCAATGATCATGTAGATCTGGCAGAGCTGAATGAGGATCATTATACGCTTCTTGGCATCAGCCGTACCCCACTTTCTCTCGCATATAAGACACTTAAGTCCTATATCTCCGTTGTCAGATGTGAGGCCATTGGTAGACTTCTGCCTTTGCTTGTGCATGATAGAAAGCATCCTGATAGGGGACTATAGGTTATTTCATAGCACATACTCAGATTGATGACGAAGAGCAATCTTCTCCTACTACCCGTAGCAAAAGTCGGTCTTTGCGGTTCGTTATTCTCATAGCATGTCCATTATCAGTCACTGCTGCACAGCGCATTTGCAATCACTTCTTGCCTTCTACCCACTTCCATATCGCCTCTTCACCTTTCTTCAGACTTTCGCCCGCTGTATTCAACGCATTCATGATGCTCTCTTGGGTTGTAGTATCGCCACCAAGCTCACTCTCTCGCCTTGCTGCCTCTCGTAATTCAGGAGGATCTTCGAATGCGCGGTAGTTCTGCACATATCCCGGAGGATGCTCGATAGGACTCTGCCATGGCTGTCGTGGCTGCGACGAAAGCTTCGCAGTTCCGAGAGGAAGTGATGTTGAACCTGAGCCTGAGCCTTGATATTGCGCAGGCTGATATGGAATTGTTGACTTGCCAGACAGTTGACTATCCGTTGGAGGCGGAAGAGATGCTTGAGGTGGGAGTGAGCGCGTCTCCGTTACGGCGACAACCTTTTCTACCACATTGGCTGACTGAGGTGGTATAGGTACTGCCCCTGGCTGCGGAGGCGGCGGTGTGTCGGCATTTTGCTGCGATGACAATGTGGTCAAGGCAGTTGTGGCCGCGGGAATGTAACGTGAGGCAGGCTGGGGCGCCGCAGGAGGAGCCGGGCTGTAAGTGTTTGAAGTTGTCGTAGGTGTAGGTATCTCTATGGTACGGGTTGGTGGAGGAGCGGTTTGGGGAGTAATGCCACTCGCTTTTCCTGCCGTCGTAGAAGCCTCGGTGGATGAAACCTCCGGGTTGATTGGGTCGTGAAGGTGGATTGGTATCGGAGGCATGATGGTGAGATGCAAAAGAACGGCGGAAGTGTTGGATCTGAGGAATTTGCGGAAAAGTAAAAAAAATCTAGGACATCTGTGGCAGGGTTGTCTTTGCTGTAATTGCTAGGGTCGACAGGTTGATGTATAGTGTTCGTTTGTCAGGTAGAATCGTGGACGTGGACCCTGGCATGCATGTCCATTGACATCATTGTGGCTCTGAAACATCATTTTCACGCTAGTACCGCTTCTACCTAAATATTGATGCCTAGTGTCTGATGCCTGAGTGTATTACCACTCTTCCTCCTATCTTGCTGTCTCCAGCAGTATGATGATTAGCTTATGATACATAATGTCAGAATCTTTCGGATTTTCTCCCTGTGCCTAGTATACTGTATTCCAATCTCTCCCGCATTCGGTTTGATACAATGTTGACCGCCAGAAAACACCCAAGATTGTCTTAGTAGACGTATGGAATGATTCTATAAGGAACTTTCTCCACATAGCGGTCCCAGTCCTTGCCATATTTGCGTCTGCACTTCTCCTCATCTCTGCGCTCTCTATGAATGAGTAGAACGGCAAAGTAGATCATGAAAAAGTAGGTGAATAGCATTCCCCATCCTTTTGCTTCACCCGGAACGACCTTCTTAGGTCCTAGAATACCAGCGATTGAGTCACGCTCAATGACATATCCCGCGATTGCGGTCGGAAGACAGAAGGACCAACTCATCAACCAGTCGCCCAGATAGTTGATATGGCGGGCCGTTCCCCACCAGCCAGTAGTCAGTAATTTGGAGCCAGATTCGGTCTCAATGTATTCCAGGTGGGCAATTCTCGGATCTTTTGGGTTGGTACGGAAGCGATTCTTCTCGTTGTTAACAGCACGGAAAAGTGCATAGCCGGAAGCCTGAACGGCAAAGACACCCAGCAGTCGAAGCGGACCGAGCTGAACGGGATGAACAGCTAAGTAACGAGTATGGATGCTGTAAGTAAACGGCAACCATGGCACATCCCCGAAAGCTAGCATGAAGCCAAATCCATCAGCGATTATATCGATAGTAGTGAGGATAGCAGGCTCCATGTATTGGCCATCAAGTGTGTAGAAGGCCTGAGCAAACGTGATGAACAGAATCGAATCTGTCACATGACCATAGTGGCGATATTGCGCAGCAATGTTTGACAGATTGATAACAACCCATGCAATCATACCAGGACGTAGCTCCATCCATGACTTAATGTCAATCTCGCCGAAGACTGGAAGAGTGATGCGGGGATTGAGTTCGCGTCCGATGAACCAGTCGTATAGCATGTTGCCACTTTGTCCACCCTTGGCGAGCTCACGGAGCTCCTTGTTGCCTGGCTTGACACTGAAAGACCGTATATAGACAAAAGTAGCCAATGCATACGCAAATACAAGGTTAGTAGTAAGAAGTGGGATCGTGTTTTCCCATAAGAATACCCAGATCGGCCAGTCAGCGCCCTGATAGAGGGTACCTGCCGCTGCAATTGCGAGCGTAAAGACGTGGATATTGAAGGCTGTAGCAGTTAGTTTTGTGTGGGAGTCAATCTGATAACACTCACTGTTAAGTCGATACTTCAGTTTGCCACCAGAGTCAAGTTCAACACCTTCAATCTCAGTTGCAGGTAAAAATCTCGTCAAAGTCAGGAGGTAAATATACCACCCGACCGTAGCTAAGATAGACTGCAGGTTGATGATTGACTCTATACCTTTCCATCCGATGTCCCGCTTTAGATCTTCGATGTTGAATTCCGTCGGGTGAAGCAATGATGGAATTGGACAGCCAGAGACATCGTTGCAGCCAAATGCGAAGACGTAACAAAGGATAGGCAATCCGATGGAGATGAGGAATGCACCGGGACTGTACATGTAAGCAGAGGGATGACAAGATCCAATGATTTGTTAACGTACGGGCCCATGAACTCATATCCATGTTTCTCAGACGGTGCGGCTGTCGATGACGCTTTCGACGTTTTCGGAGCCATCACGTTTGAGCGCGCAGTCTATGTCAACGCTGCACAGGCGACACGCGGAAGGGATATACAGCAATTGACAGATGGAACGAATTGATCAGCCAAAGAAAGAAGAAACGCGATGAGAGGCGGAAAGAGTATGAATAATACTTGGAATTGTAGCGATGCAGGCTGACTTAACCATCGTTCGACTTTGTCCCGTCGGGAAACGAAGCAGCCGCGAGCGACGCACGGGCGCTCATGATGATGCTCAAATCGACTAAATAGGGGAAAGCCCGGATTAGGGGGGCACGTGATGCCCGTGAACTAACGGACACGATCGGAATGTGCAAGCCTACCCGAAACTACCAACACACACACATATATATATATATACATATACCTGAACAGTCCAGTATTCTAAGCATGCATCGGACAAACCCAGATAGTTTGCCACATCAAGTGGTTGACATAGCTCCACCACCACAAGTCATCAATCAGTTCCCGATTCTACGGCCCAATTTCTCCAAGGGCGGCAGTCATTGGCGCAACGATAGAATCAGGAACTCACTGACCCATTTATCAGCTGCGTCTCATGAGAGGTCCTGTGCGGAGCTCGAATGTGTGGATTAAGTTGAACGCTTTAATTGACATCGGCGATAATAGCCATGGCCGATGAGCATGAAAGAACCTGACTTAGGTGGGATTGAATGTTGAATACATGTTGTGTGCACTCTGGTACTCTGATGTTGATAGGTTACGTATTAGGCCTACAGCTTTACTAGGTCTCAAGTCGGCAGTTACATTAGGTGCAAGAATCCTGCCATAGAGCGTATGGAAGATTCAAGATCGAACAACGATAAGGAACGTATTTCCATGAGAGTCATGGTGTGTGTTCATAAGGCTGCTGTTGTTTGTAACAGCTTTATATCAGTCCCTAATTAATACCTCACGCCCATAATGATAAATGGCACGGCTCCTTGTTCGGTAGCGATTGGCGCGGACCGCGGACAGGGGGTTTGTAGTGGGTCGGAAAGATGGAAAGGCTGGAAGAGCAATAAAGATGGTACTCATGTCTGCAGTGCTGGGCAGAACACTCCTAAGGTTGCTAGCAGAATCGAATCGCACGAGAAGGGAGAAAGGTTCCAGCCTTAATATGTTTCGGCCGCAAATTGGAAGGTTGAGAGAATAACAGTCCGAGGTATGCGGTCTCGCAGCAACGGGGGCAAAAACGCTGATATGGCTGTGAATGGCTAGTAATAGACCTCTTCTGCTCAGGACTTCGGCCCGGATTTTTCCGAGCTAGGTCAAGGCGGCTAAGCCTAACCCTGCCGCAAAATCTTTCTCACTCGCTCCTCCCTACAAAACCCTCCAAAGCAACTTTCTTCCATTCTCACTTCATCTCCATCCCATCTCCCCTCAACCTTTTCGACTTTCTTTCGTTAGAAGTCTTTACATAGCTGTCATAATGTCAGACAAGAAGGGCGAAGTCGTCCAGCAGGACAAGTCCTTCATGGGCATGCCGGTAAGCTCACTGATTCTCGATCTTAGTCTGCAATTTGACAGCAACGACAATTGTCACATCCTATCTACATTCAGCAATCGCTCGCGGTAGCTCTTTTACAATTGATCGTAAAGCTTCAACGGGTTGTGTGGAGATGAATGGCATTGGCAATGCTGTCGATCCTGACCTTTACTTCTTTGCGCGCGACCATGACCAGCAGCTAACAACATTATCAGGGTTTTGTCGTCGATTTCTTGAGTACGTCGCCTTCACCTGTCAATTGACATCACTCTGGAGGATCGCCTTGATCTCCTGAAATGATTGGATACATTTGGATTGCAACACAATACGTTGTCGACATGCTGACGCCTTATCTATAGTGGGTGGTGTCTCCGCTGCCGTCTCGAAAACCGCCGCCGCTCCCATTGAGCGTGTCAAGCTTCTCATTCAGAACCAGGTAAGTGCCATCAATGCTAGCCTATTTTCAAACCTGTACTGACAATCGTTCCAGGATGAGATGTTGAAGTCTGGTCGTCTTGACCGCAAATACGATGGTATCGCCGACTGCTTCCGTCGTACAACTGCTGGTGAGGGTGTTATCTCTCTCTGGAGAGGTAACACTGCCAACGTCATCCGTTACTTCCCTACTCAGGCCCTAAACTTCGCTTTCCGTGACACCTACAAGTCAATGTTCGCGTACAAGAAGGAGCGTGATGGTTACGCCAAGTGGATGATGGGCAACTTGGCCTCCGGTGGTGTAAGTGAAGCATTTGAGATGGATATCTTGCCTGAAATATCACTGACCACTAGCATATAGGCTGCCGGTGCCACCTCTCTTCTCTTCGTTTACTCTCTCGACTATGCCCGTACTCGTCTTGCCAATGACGCTAAGAACGCTAAGAAGGGTGGTGACCGTCAATTCAACGGTCTCGTAGACGTTTACAAGAAGACTCTGGCCTCCGATGGTATCGCTGGTCTCTACCGTGGTTTCATGCCCTCCGTTCTCGGTATAGTCGTTTACCGTGGTTTGTACTTCGGAATGTACGACTCTATCAAGCCTGTTGTCCTTGTCGGTTCCCTTGAGGGTAACTTCTTCGCTTCCTTCGCTCTCGGTTGGGCTGTCACTACTGGTGCTGGTATCGCTTCCTACCCTCTCGACACTATCCGTCGTCGTATGATGATGACGTCTGGTGAGGTATGTATCAAGTGAAGCAACTCTCAATTATTCGCAATTCTGACATCATACTAGGCCGTTAAGTACACTTCGTCTATGGATGCCGCCCGCAAGATTGTCGCCGCTGAGGGTGTCAAGTCTCTGTTCAAGGGCGCTGGTGCCAACATCCTCCGTGGTGTTGCCGGTGCTGGTGTGCTCTCCATCTACGACCAAGTCCAGCTCCTCATGTTCGGCAAGAAGTTCAAATAAATGACTCGCTCCGGTCAATACTGGAACAGGTCTCAGGGTCGTGCAGATGGGAGTGTAATGATGAGCGCGGTGGTCGTGTAGAGGACGGCGCAGACATGATACTCTAAAGGCTGGCTAGCTGAATCAGTGGAAAGATAAAGGATATGGGAATCTTCTTCTTTTGTTCATCTACTGGTTTGGTCGCATGTACACTACTGCTGGAGCATTCAAGACTTCTTTCTCTACATTCACCTCCCCCACAGCCATTTCCGCTCGCTGTACTAAATCACCATTGTTGCTCATTTTCTCTTTTGTTGATAGACTTCTGTTGCCGTCCTTGTTGAGCATTAGTAATGACTCAATGATGCAGGCTTCAAAAATAGTTGCATAGAGCGTTCTTCCATTCTAGCTTCACTGTTGTCCTTTCTAAGTGCTTACCTTAATTGTGCATGCCAGGATTAAGCCTGGACAAGACCTCTGCGAAAGTTTATCCAACAGTAGAATAATCGTTACTCTAGCTAGCTAGGCCGGGTGACTGGGACCCAGTGTCCTTACAACGTCGATGACGACAACGGCAACAAGAAGAATATAATCCTATAATCCTGAACTCAAACACGTCTGATCTGAAGCTCTCGGGCAGGACAGGGATATCGTAGCATAGCAATGAGACCACTAAGATTTTGAATGACATGCAAGGGGAGGGATATCAAAGAATAGAACCGAAGAATGAACAAGCCGCCCTGCAAACTTTTCATGGTTCGCTTTTCTCTTCTTTCCTTTTCCTTTCGCTTGAATGGATGGGTGGGTGGGTATATGTTTTGTACAACAGAGAAACAAAAGAGTACAGGAGAAAATGTCGAACAAGCATGTACAGTCTTGGAATAGAGATCGTGGAATGGCAAGGCATCTTGGTTCCTTCCTGACGGGCATCATCGGAGGTTCCAAGGGAGTTATTAGTGTTGGGAATCAGACTCGGAGCTGGCCAAAATGACTTTTCCTAGCCAACGTGTTCGTCAGGAGAGAGCTTTCCAAGAAGAGTGCGAGTTGTGTAGAGCCGATTAGGGTCGTGTCCTCTCGGCAGAAATGTATCCAATGTCGGGAAATTTCCTACGGTGTCAAAAACTGCCATTTAACCATTCAGCCAACATTGGATTTGCTTGATAGTCATTGACGTCGTCCATATCCGTCGCTGGAACAATCTCGTCGACGTCGTTGAAGTCGTCGGGCGCATCTTCATGGTCTGCGGTCTCATACTTTATAGATTGTGTTGGATCCGCCGCGTCCTGAGAAACTTGACCATCGTCGCCAAGTTGCGTGGTGAGATCTTCTCCTGCAACTTCTGTCTCGGGCTGTTGTCCGCCGCATAAAATTCTGTCAAAAGCCTCATTGAAATTGTCGAGGAGGTCCTTGACCCTTCGCCTGATTTTCCGCTCAGCGCTGGAAACCTGTGCGGCACTGTCAACTTGTACGCCGGCGATGATGCCCATGTAGTCTTGTTGCATAGACCTCCATACATAGTCACTCTGATTTGCGCAAAACTCCTCAACATCTCGGCACATTTGGGCGAGTCTTTCTTCAACCCCCTTTACAGCATCCATGAACATGTTCGAACGCGCCTTCTCGACGTGATTGAGCATCGCAGCCTTCATCCGAGCGTACGAGCCCGTGCCGCACTCATTTGTGCAGATCGTGTATGCGACTTCCATAGCTGCAGTGATGACTGGAGTGAATTCGCGATTCACCTCACGTTGGCGTTCGTTTATGGCGGCGAGGACCTTTTGGGTGTGGTCCTGCAGCAACGCCTGATGGTTGCCAATCTGCCGGGCCAGCAATTCTATTCTGGAAAGACCAAGACCTTTCTCGTGGGCGCGAGCACCTATGGCATCATGGAAACACTGGAGCTGCCTGCCGGCATCCTTCTTGTAGGCTTCAAGAACCCGTGGGAGGTGTCTTTGAAAGGTCTTCTCCCACCCTGACGCAAGATACACTATCATCGGCTCACACAGCTCAGCGTTAAAGTCACGCGCGCCAGCAGCCCCATTGTACATACCACTGCGCCGTACCGTAGCTTTATATGTGGCCCAATACAGGCCGCCTTCAGCTCTATGAGCCCCCCATTTCGCGGCAGTCCCCACCGAAGCTTCGATGGCGATATCTGTAGCCTTTTCATATTTGTCATAGATGTTCTCGATGAGAGCCTTATTGATTTCTTTAACGCATGTCGAAACCGCTTCCTCGAGAGCCTACGGAATCACAGATCAGCACAAGTGATGAGGTTAGAATGAAAGACACGTTTTATAGATGAGACCTGTCTGCTATCCATTGAACCAGGTTGAGTGCTAAGGAAAGAGATATATCAAATGCGCTTCCTCATCATATGAGACATTCGTTGAAATGCGAACAATGCAGTTCTAGATAAAGAGAGTGTCAAGCAATTGACTTGATGAAATATGAAATGTGAAATTTGAAATTTGAAATTTGAAATTTGAAATTTGGAGGTTGAAAGATGAAACTGTGATACCGTAGACGTTGAGTCAAGTATCATTAGCCATGCGAGTTGAAGTACGAATTTGTACGGCACGACCCAAGTCAAATGCGCATGCCATTTTCGACCCATCGATCGAGTAGAATCCTGGTATCCAAGACAACCCTGGAACTAGCTCACTGAGAAGAGAGGAAACATCTGTACTGACCTTTTCTAGCTCTGCGAGCTTCTTCTTTAGGAAGAGGACCTCTCGAACCTTCTGTTGGTCTGTAAGGGTTGCGCCACTACCATCATCAGAAGCCCATAGACTAATTGAGGTCAGCAACTGGTTCAAGTTATTGAGAAATCGTCGACACGAAGACGAACGGCCGGCCTCGGTGAGCTTTTTGCAATGTGCCTGTAGAGCCGGAATCTCGGTCTGGTCTAGAGTCGTGAATCCAGGCACAGCAGAGTCTTTCTTAAGACGACCAGAGAGCTTCTGGTACGCCCGACTACTCACACAAAAGACGGGTAAGTCCCTTGCAACCTGTTCATAGTCTCGCTTCTCATCATCAGGGTTGAAATTCTCCTCATCTTCCTCAATTGCGTTCTCTTGGTCAAGTTCTTCCACACCGGCAGCGAAGTCGAATTGAATCGCGCGCCTGGAATAGTCATTGCGACCAGAAATGCAGATGGTATTCATCTTCGCTTGGACCTCGTTGTGCTCGAATTTAGCAGCTGTGATCTCTTTCCTCACCTGTCTGATTTTATCCTCGAGTTCAGCCTTTGAACTCCGAGCTTTCTTTTTGAAAACCCGGATCTGGTTGATCTCAGTGGCAATATCCTCTTCAGTCAAAGGTTGTCTTTCTTCTTCTTGGTCCTCGGTCTCGTCCTCTTTTTCTGAATCAGAACCAGAAAGATTGCTTCTATCACTATCCGTATCGGCAAGGAAATCATCGTCACTGCTAGCCCTTCTCTTGCGCGGCTTGTCCGTCGCGAGGTTCGATTTACGTTTCTTCTGGAGGGGCCGAAACACTTTTTCACCATCACCAAGTTTGTTCGAGAGACGTTCCCAAACGGCGAGAAGCTCGTCTTGGTCGTCGAACATCTCACTGAAAACTTCTTTCTCGTCCTTGAGGGCTACCAGGCGTTTCTCTAATTCTTTGATTGTCTGCTCGATTGAGTCTTCTTGGCTGAATAGTTCCGACATTCGATCTTCTAAGCCCAGGGAGTCGGTGGCCTCCGTGATGGAAATGTCGTCGGTCTTTGAACAGATGAACGTAACAGCGCTGTAGGTTCCGTCGTACTTCAGCTGTCGTTTGAAAGTATCTCCGAGCAGATTTTTGGCAGATTTATCATCGACAGCCCGAGTGATTGGGGCTACGATCCACAAGCCGGTACATTGCTTCATGTACCCCGCTGCGACTGCAGCACGGGCAGCATTGGAGTCTTGAACACCGGGAAGATCGACAATGACAGCCCCAGTGGCCAGGGCAGGTGATCTTACGAAGATCCTCACGACCTTGATCAGGGGCCAGTATTCAGTCTTCCTAGGCTCCTTCTTTTCTTTGTCCTTCCCAGTGCCCGTTCCTTTGTCTTTCTTGATGATTTTTTCTTTGCTATCAACATACGTCTGTAGCTTTCGGTAAAAGCCTTCAGGCTCCGCTTTCTCGATTTTGATAGTAGTTCCAAGAACTTCGGCGACAATGGGAAACTTCATTAATTTGGCCACGGAACTACGAGCTATGTCTTCCTTCGTCATCTGCGGATATACAGCCTTGATTTTGGCATAAGCAACACCAGCATCGGAGTCGGGGTTAGCACAGTCCCGAGAAACCTGGCCATTCTGATCCAATAAGTCATTGAACAGCACCTTCAGTTCCCTTTCCCAGTCCTCTGGTTTGATGAACTCGATGGCAGCTCGGTATTTCTTGTTCTCATCATCATCATCGTTCCAAGAGAGCTCCGTGACAACTGCAGTGCATGCTCTCATGCAGTTTGTTGGAACGAGACGTTCTTCGTCCAGCATAGCGTTGATAACAGAGCTCTTGCCGGCTCCAGTGTTCCCGACCACACCAACAACTGTGCGAGTGCGGACGGCTTGCTCTTGGAGATTGGTTATCGAGGTCGTCCAGTTGTCTGCGTCGGCAATATTCTTTTCAGCAGACTGCTTCCGCAGAGCCAATTTGAGCTTCTCGAGTAGCTGAACCGCCTCCTGGACTCCGCGCTCTAGGGTCTCTGGCAGGGGAGATTTCATCAGCTGCTGAAGAGACATGTGTCGCTCCTTGCCAACATTGCCGGATGAATCTTGCGGATCATTCATGTCGGAGTCGGAGGCCTGGCTGGGCTGTCTAGACACCGCAGGTTCAAACTTGGGCGACAAACTCCGTTCCTTTTTCACTGCAGGTGACGGTAATTGATATTTTCGGTCGTTAAGTTCTTCGGCGTCACCAGAGTCATCAATGTGAGCTTGGGGGTCATCACCCGATTCTTCCATTACGTTTAAGGCCTGGTGGGCACGTTCATGTCTGTTAATCTGCTTCATACCGTTAGTGGCAGGCGTATTGTGACCAAAGGGCTCCTGGCCTAAAGGAGCGCTACTCGACGGCTGGATAAGGGAAGCTGCTGACAGGTCATGCTCGGACGCAGCTGAGACTTCGACAGCTCGGACGACCACCAGGTTGTCTTTGTATTTGTTGAGAGATGACAGAGGCGTTTCTTCAGTTGGCTGCTGGTCTGTGTCACCGAATTTGAGAATCAGATTCATAGCGTGGCGTTCCACGTAGGATTTTTTGATAGTCTTGATTGTGATTCTCTGGGGTTCATCAGTAATGCCAACCATACAAGTAATAATTGTTCTATACTGACGCCGTGACACTTGACCCACATGAAGTCATTTTCTCCCTTGACATCTTCTGGCTTCTTGGTGTGATACAGAATCGCGACCCAGTAACGTGAAGGTTTTTCTGGTAACTTGGGCCTCAAGGAAAGTGCAAGATTGTGGAACGCTTGATCTGAATCCATGGCCGGGCACAGTTTCAGTAGGCTTGCACAGACACGACTTCAGGTCGTGGACGAAAGTGAGAACACCGCTTGCACTTGACTTCAACTTATCACATGTGGGTGCGCATGTGTGAAAAGAGTTGCGTGCAAAGAAAGTGTGGCTCAGCAACAGAGGGAAACGGAGATCAAAATACGATGACGTTGTAGAAATACCAAAGAGAGGGACGCCAGGTTCTTTGGCAGGTGAACCTAAAACCAATTGGTCCAAATAATCAATTGACTGTAGCTAAACAAGTGAGCACTTTGTTTCTTTCCCCTCGCAACACGGTGCGCGATAGGACGCGTTTGCGCCAGTCCAAATTTGGTTAGGTGCAAGGATCTTCCAGGTCTCCTTACGTCCAACCGCAACTTCAGCAATATACTTGTAAATTTGCATCTCCTCAACACTAAGGCTCAGCGATAAATCGACAGTCGTCTATATCACTTGATAGTCGTGAGGCTTACATAACCCGTACTACTATCATGGATGCCAAACCGACTGTGTCGATATCCCTTGTTACGCGTGAACTTTACACGACTCGCCGTACTTTGTTGCTGTCGATTGCTATTAAATAGCCTCGTTCAGCCGATCTCTCGGCCACTCACTGCTTAGTTTAAAACGGTACTAAGAATGTTAATACATCTAATATAGCTGCTACAAGCTCGTAGACCAGATATTCGGACATAACCTTGACCTCTATTTGTGCCACTTTTTCATGCACTTATTATTCGATATCAATCGCTGTGTGGGACACCATATGGCATCTTACTGTGATGGCTCCTCACATAGCACAAGTGACAGAAATGGAAGTCATTTGGAAGCGCACGCGTGAAGTCGAGCATGGCGAGCAAGGTTACACAAGTCAAAATATCAACTCTGTTCACAGCTTCGACAGGACTGCCAAGTATGACCCCAGGGCTACTCCTAAAACCCGTCACAGATGCGCCCTCGTGCAATACTGCTGAACATTATCATCATAATCCTGAGCAACAATAGTCGCCGCCGTAACACAGCTATGCCATCCATCATCATCCTATCATATAGATGCACATACTGCAAGGACACACCGCAGCACCCGTAGTCCACGACGATAGAATCAAAGCACGTACACATTACACCTTCACTTTAGGTGAGCAAAGGTCCAACGCAGCATGAACCGTATTTGCGGAAGAGGCTGGAATTGACTGCCTATATCTGAGATGTTCTATCGGTAGCGCCGCCACAGGTATGAGCAACTCGCAGGAGGAGCTAGGCCTATATATCTGCACCCACTGGTAACCCCTGAAGCTCAATGCCGGGTAGGCCAGACCATTGCATGACACTACCAGCTGATCTCTCCATTCACAAGTGAGCTCTTCGTCCATATAAATTCAGTAGCCTGTATATAACATCCTCTCGACAGCCACAGAAGTGTAAAGAGGAACCACCACGAGTCTCCACAAGCATATCCATGATATGGGCAACAACCTTCCTAGAAATCGCGAATGCTGGGCCTTTCTCCTGGATGCCTCCTCCTGACTGATGATAACGTTCGGCGGTGACCTATGATAGCAAACACCATTATCAAACGAGCACCCACACGGACATGATATTAAGGTCTCTGCACTCTCGCTCTGGAGAAGAGAAGCAAGATGGCAGACAAGCATAGGGGTCGGTTCTTCTCACTCCAAAAATGTAGTATCTACATTGTCCCGGCAGAAAGAGGAATAGAAAGTGAGAATACAATCCCGTATAAATATACTATAATTCATAGATGCCGGGTAGATACCCTAGTTCTACCTCGTCACCCGCTTGCATCTTGTGTAAACACGAGCTTTCAGCAGAACATCCATCAGCACATCACACTGTTCAGCCTGGTTCCGTAAAGATGAAGACCATTAGTACACACTTCTTACCTACAAAGACCCTCATAACAAAGTCCTTGCCATGACCGAAGGAAAGAACGGAATATTAGACGCGTAATTCCTACTAAGAAGCAAGACTGGATCCCGAAACCCCTATTGAGGTTGAACCTGTTCTCTCTGGCGGAGAAGCCGTTCAGCATTGCAAATGTAGAGAAAGCTGTGTTTGGGCTCATCATGAGTTGCATGTAAGTCAGGTGTCGTTCTTCATCAATGATCTCCTCGGATTTCATTGGGAACATGTTTGCGTCGACTGGAGTTTTACGTCCATTGCAACTGTCTAGTTTTGAATCGTGTCAGAAATTTCTTGGAGTATTTCTTCTCTGGGAGTCAGCTTTCACCTTTTCGCAATTAATCAATTTCAATGCCTAGAATGACACGTGCTTCTCCAAGGTTTTTTAAACTTCATGCGTGATGATACCTTTTGCTTGAAGGCTTCAATATCTGCTAGGTTCAAGGGCAGTATGGATACGTTTCACAAATGCCCTGTAAGCCATCCCTCATACTCGGCGGACTGTGGAAGTCCACTGAAAGTGCCTACAGAGCTGCTTCTGATGATCACAGAGCGCCGAACAGTCGGGAACGTGCACCCGCGCGTGATAGAATCCAGTGGATGGTCTTTTTCTAATTTGGTTTATTCCGACGTCGAAGATTCGGCCACGGTGAATCGCGACGCGATTGTATTCTCGAAACGCCTAAGTCAGTCAATCAATCCTCGCGCTAAAGTCCCAGACAGACAGCCATCCCAAAGCATAAACCAAACGTTCCAACTCCTCCCCCAAATATATCAACCTCAAACCACCCCCCAACCCTCCCTCATGCCCCTCAGCACAACCAAACACGTAGCAAGAACGACACTCTCATCCACCACCCCGCCAACCAAGTGCCCATCTAAATTCCAGCCCGCCTGGCCGTCAACACGTACTTCAGGCCCAAACTGCAACTCTAAACCCGCATCATCTCGACGCACGAGTCTGGCTATGACATTGTGTGCAGTGCGATGTGTGAGCGCCAGTATGAGCTTCGGATCTCGTGAATTCATCGACGTGGACGATGACGAGCTCCGCTGCGAGGAAGGGCTGCCATTTGGCCTCGGTCCGAGCTTGGGGGAGTCGCAGGGTGAGGGAGCGCGTGGCTGGAGCCCGAGAGAGGATTTAATCTGTGCGGTGTTTGGAGAAGGGGATGATGGCATTGCCGCTCGGGTGCGCCATTTCAGTGTCATAGGATTCTCAGTGGTGGCAGATGGCGTTTCAGGCACCGTAAATTTAGTGACGGACGACAGTGGGGCGTGTTTGAGTTCGATGTGTTGGTCCCTGACCACCGAGCTGCCACTGAAATTGTTGCGAATGGACTTCGTATGCGTCGCGTTTCCTTCCTCTGCATCCTCGTCGTCACTCGTCAGGACGATCAGCGGAACTGCCGGTACTGCGACTGGTCTAGGATTCTCTACATTGGTAGTAGGGGTGTCTGGAGCAAGCATCTGGATATCCGCGTTTTTCCTGAGGGCATGTCTGTATGTAGTCCGAGCCACGGGTAGCGCGATACCATCTTTGAATCTGCTCAGTGTGGCTTCTTTCCTCGTCTTGGAGTGCATATACTGCGGTCGATCCAACACGTCTGTAAAGACGAGTCCGAACTCTTCATTCCTCAATTTGAGCGTCTGACAAGCTTGAAAGGACCGCGAAGCAGCACGCTGGGAACGAGGTGAGCTCCGCAATGTATAGCTGCCGGTCCTTGATGGGGACTCCAGTGAGGGTTGTGATCTACCGGGAAATGAGGTGGCGATGTGAGTAGAATCGAGAGACCCTCGCGGGGTTACTTTGTCTGTTGTAGAGGGCATATCTTGCTTGGAAGAAATACGACGTTCTGGCTGTGGTGGACGAGAACCCTGATCCATCGCCATAAATGCAGCAGACATGGCGTCTGTCATAATTGACTACTTTGAACCAACAAAGGGGAGCAATACGGCATCCAAAGAATGTAATTTAGATGCAGCACTGCTTGTCGTCTTCGCTTTGATGTACGCATTCGCCGATCAGGTCGCTTCCTGAGTTAGACTTACTCCTTCCCACGATGCATGCTGCCTACCTATGCTATCATACCTGTGTCTCATATTAGGGACATTCATCTCATCAAGCAGATATGGTTGTGTGCAATCGTTACCATCGAAAAGTCGCGCGTCAAAAACTCCATGTCGCTGGGGCATACTTGATATTAAGCCAATGGCCGGCCAGGCAACGCCACGCGCCAATCAGGTGAAGTCAAGTCATTAGTCCAAGTCCAGAACCGACGTGATGAACGCCAAAGTCTGATATTAGGTTTTAGCGGATCCTTGGTGAAACGGAACAAGCGCTGTCCGTTACATGGACGGCTATAGTGAAAGCAGAGCAGAGGTTAACATCACAGCGAGGAACGTCCAACTCACGGGATGCGGCGAATGCTAAAGCCTATCCGAATAGGCCGCCTGAGAACTAGAAAATTCAAAGCTTTCATTTTCCACTAATTTACCACTCCCAAGTTTCGTATGTTACCACACCTCCTCCCGTTTTACACACATTTTTCGAGATCCATAGAAGCCCGGTTGTAGATGCGAGATTGGAAAGAAATCTGAGTACTTTTCAAGGCTCGGTTTACGAATCGATGAAATGCCATTCGACATCAATCTTGGCCCAACATCGAGATTCCTTTTAGCGTTTATGCGCCTAGGCTGGGGAATGCCTTGTCGTCGTTGACGTTGGGGGATGTGACTCCGCGACCACCGCGACCACCACGGAATTCGCCTCGGTCACCTCCACGGCCTCGTCCGCCACGTCCACGGCCTTCACCTCGGAAGTTACCATCGCCGCGGCCACGGCCTTCACCTCTTGGGGGACGGTCTCCATCACCACGTCCGCGTCCACGTCCACCACGGCCTCCACGGAAGCCAGAGTCCTGAGGGGCGCTGTGAAGGCGCTGATCATCCAACTCGAGAAGAGTACGCTCCTTACGGGCACGCTCACGCTTGGCCTTGGGACCAGAGCCGGCAATGAAGTCTTCTTGCTCCTCACGAGAGATAGCCTTGCCTTCGGGTTGTTTCTTGGAGCCTTCGTTAGGCTTGCGGATTTCGAGACCGGCACCGAGAGCAGCGCGCTTCTCCTCCTGCTCAGCCAACCATGCGGTGTAGGACTTGGTCTTGTCTTCTTCAGGCTCAGGGGCAGCGGCAGCCGTCTCACCCTCAGCATTCACTGGGCCGTCGGCAGCATCTCCAACATCTGGAGTGAAGCCTTCTTCCTTCTCGTCTGCCTTAGCAATGGCTTCGCCGGCCTTTTCATCAGCCCACTCGTCATCACCAGTCTGGCCTCCCCAGCCGGCACCGGCTTGTTTGTCAGAATCACTGTTGTAAATGTCAACGATGGGATATCAGGAAGAAATGGGTCTGCCTACGAGACGCCGGTCTTGCTGTGACGGTCATCGCGGGGGCCACCGCCGCCACGACCACCTCGGTAACCACCCTGTCCACGAGAACGTCCACGGCCTCCCGAGTGTTTTTGCTCGCCGTCTAGGAGAACAGGTCAGGATAGTTGATGATAAGCGATCAATGAATAAACAAACCTTGGAGGCGGTTGGAGTGCCTATCAGATCGAAACTCGTCGGTCGGCTTGTTGCGGTTCTGGTTGCTTCCAGCGCCACGGTCACGGAAAGCTGCATGTCGGATTAGTATCAAATCGATGTGAGATAGCTGACTTGCAAGAGCCAATGCTCAAGAATCTATACGAAGGGCTGTACGGACCTAGTTCAGAGCCTGTGGCACCATCACGGCCTCCACGTCCACCTCTTGGTGCAGCAGTAGCATCTTTCGAGGGAGCCTCAGCAGGCGCATTTCGCTTGCCTTGTCGCGCAGCAGGCTTGTCTACAGTCTTGACGGGTGGGTCTGCCGGTCGGTCCGGATCGAGTTCGGGATCATTGCCTGGTTTGGGATGTGAGAAAATTTCGAAAGAGGTAACTGAGTGGTGGGAAAAGTACCTAGAAGCTCGTAGAGGTTCTGCGACAAAAACCAAAGTCAGTGATGGAACTTTCGAGAGACACGATTGAGCATGCAATGGCAAATCGTATGTGTCGGCACATGACAATGAGCTTAATCAACGCACCTTGGACACGATGCCTTGAGTAGTCATGATGAATGGGGAGTTCAAGCGCCTTCCGCGCTTTTCCCTTTTCGACACTCAATCTGATCCGAAGAAAAAAGATGAAGTGAGAGCTGATCCCAAAGAAAAGGATCGGAACTCTCGGGGCGAAGATGAGGATGCAGGTAGTTGCAGAGGGAAAAGTGCGGTCGAGGTTGGCGGAAAGTCTGGTGACGACGAAATTAGGCAGGGTGTGGCTGCTCGCTTAATCTGAATGGATTGCCCGTTTGCGTCAAGTCGCACAAGGTGCCGCCCTCAATATGTTCGCAGGCAGGATAGTCAGGCAGCCATGCTTGATTGAAATGTTTATGTAGAAATTGCTTGTAACGAAGTAATGCAAATAGAGGAGCCATCATCTGATTGAGAGGCTGAAGATTTATTGCGTTGTCGCTCGACCTGCTATCGTTAAGTTTTAGGGCACCCCGCATGAAGCTACTACCAAGGTACGTTTCACGGCACATCATTCCATATAGATCAAACATTGTCCGGCCTTTGAACCCCTTCTACTGTGTAGACGCAAGCACACTAAATGATGATTCTGACAAGCAGAAACACAGGTAAAACTGCACGTAACCTGCGCCACAGCTGTGCCAAGACACTGATGATGAAGACGTTCGTTCTGACGACTCGAACGTGGTAAGAATGGTACATATATACAAATGGAACAAGCGTTTCGGCTGATTGTCGCTCACTGAAGTATGCTGACCTTGAGCATGGTCGGAAAAACGGCAATCCGAGCCATATGTTCAATTGAGTGCTAAATTCTTTCATGACGCCTTTCCATGACTGTCCCTGTTCATTCATGCAGTCGTGAATTGTAATCGCGCTTCCCAAGCTTTTGCGCGCCGTATCTTTGCCTTTTTGAAACCGCCTCTGTCCATAAACGCCCGCTAAAGTCAAGCAAAATCTGCAACCGCCCTTCATCACCCCTGCCTTTATCTCGACTCGTATTGGAATTGTGTTGGGAAGTGCATGCTTGCAGAGAGACCAAATGGATCTGCGTCTAGCATGGGATCGTAGGAATCGAACATCTGGTTGTTGATGTTCTGAAAATTGCCATTCGTATCGGTCGGGTGCATAGCGACCGGCGATTGGAAGGTTTGTGTATTCGAATTCGGCACAGGTGGATTCGGTAACCCGTGCGGGGACTGTTGCGGTGCAAGTTGCGGCGTCGTGTAGTGATTCGGGAAAGGGCCGGGGCCCGCGGCATGTTCGGCGGGGTCTTGCTCGTCGAGCATATCGGCTTGGGCGTCGTACTCTTGCTCTGTACTCACGGAATAAGTCTAGGACGAACAGAGTTCTATGCCAAAGAAAGGCACGGGGGCGGGACAGCTTGCCGAGTTGATCCATATGACTCTGAAACGGTGAAGGGTAATAGTGCCCGGTGGCAGCGCTCGTATTACCCGACATTACGTTGTTTCCTCCACTTGTCATACCACTTGGACTCTGTTGAGCCGTTATGACCGAGGGTCGCTGGGGCGGAGGCTGTATCTGGTTGAACTGGGATCTTGGAGGTTGCTGCGTCTGTCGCATATGTTGCTGCGGGCCAAGGGGACCAAAGTTGGGAGAGTGTATGGCACTGGACACTGGCATGAAGTTGGGAGACTTGGTTGCAGTCGTGGCTGGCGAGGACAGGTGTGAAGCCGATGTCGGCTGTGATAGCGGAGAACGGTTCGTCATAGCAACTTCATGTTGACCAAGTGCCATTGCCGGTACACCTTCCAGCTTGTGTGGCATGCCTACAAGAGAACGACGCTGCCTATGGTTATTCATGATAGCACTACGCATGGGTGGCTGCGCAGGCGATGTGTTCGCTGGGGGTGCCTGGACCGGGCCTAGATTGGGACTTCCAGTCTTTGCTTGCAGTTCGGCTTGCACGTCAATGCCTAGCATACCGTCAGTGACATTCAATTGTGTAGATGTCTCGGGAGACGGTGAGGCAATATAAAGGACCTTTCTCTAGCAGGATTCTCTCCAGAAGCGAATTCTTGTATCTAAGCATAAGGCATTCGTCGGCGGCGGTGCGGTGATTCTGCTGCAGATTTTGTAGCGTCTCTTCATGGTGCTTGATGGTGCTTTCCAGCTGCTTTATATATTCAGTTCTTCGCTCGCGGAAGGCAGCCTGAGCTTGCCTGTTACGCTGCTTGCGCTCCTCGGAAGTAGCATATATCTGACAACGCTTTGTTAGCTGCAGTCTGCGAGACCTTGCTACACTAAGACACAAGGGGTAGGAATGAGCTCACGGGTTTACGTCCACCTTTACGCTTTTGCTGCTGAGGCTCTTCCTGAGTGTAGGTTTCGGGATCAGGTTCGGGAGTGGAGGAGACTGAGCCGGATGAAGGTTCGCGTTCTGGGTCCTTCTTGCCCACGGCAGAAGGCATGTCTTGCTGAGTGCTATCTCCCATCTGCAGGAGAGGAACGAGTTTCGGGGGATATATTACGAGAGACCAAAGCACAAGCGGGCCTCCCGTCCGCGCAAGGCGAACAGTAGGCGCGGATATCGATAGGGCTGGGGCCGGTAGGGTTTGGTGGTGGTGGTAAACGCGCGTGCAAAGGGATCGTCCAGAGCGCCGGAACCTGGCAGTGCAAAAGCGTGTGTCGAACTGTTTGATAATGGAAAATAGAATAGCAAAGATAAAGTTGCAGAGGTGGAGAGAGTTAGTTGGCGTGAGGTAAGCAGTTGGCTAATGGAAATGTGAAAATGGGGTGTGCTGGTCCTGTCCTGTGTGTAGTAGCGGAGGCGGCGGGGGAGGGGGCGGATGGGGATGGATGGATGCCTTTTAATATCAGACCGGCCGTGAAGGTTGTGTTGTTTGTCCTTTTGCAGACTCCATCCACTCTCTCTCTCTATAATGAACAGTCCGACCGTTTCGACAATTCCGCCTCCCTTTGTGTCCTGGCTGGGCAGATGGCAGATGGCAGATGGCTACTGGCTAATGAGAGAGCGAGCAGAAAGCAGATGGCGGACTGCGGCGAAGGCACTGGCACCAACCACCACGTACTGCGACTTGCTTCCCGTCTCAGGTGTATCCTCTACGACGTCGTTGTCGCTGTCGTTTTCGTGGTTCTCGTCCTCTCCTCAATCGATATTAGATCGTACGCCGACAGTCTGCATCAAATGAAAGCGTGCCCCGAAAACAAAGGTCAGGACAACAGAATAAGCAATGGACAGGCCAACACAGGTAGCAAGACTGAAGAAGCGCAATTGGTTGAGACATACGACGCCTCCCCAGTACAAAACGAGGTGGTGGAATGCAAATTTTCACTCGACTCGACGACTACCACTGCCGCTACGACGACCACGACCACGACCATGGCCACTACTACTACATACACACCACTAATTACTGAGGGAACGACAGGCTCCTTTGGTGTGAATCGACGGCTCTGGCTGGGCAGAATGCGCGGTTTCACCTCCCGCGACAGGTTACATTTTCTAGGCCTGCCCCGCCTCCTTCACGTCCTCTTCATGCAAGCGAGACGCAACAGCATGCCATTTTGTGGCGCCTTTTGCCAAGGGTGCCGGAAAGAATGGCTGTAAAAGGGTTGGTTTTCTGCTTTCCTGGACGCTTCACCCGAGGTCAGCTCTCCCACTCCACGCACACGGCACTACAGTACGACGCTGCTCTTGCTGCGCTGCCCTCCGCCCGAACGAACGGGGTAAGCCGGGGCAAGGCTTTGATGCTGCCCTTAGAGCTGGGCAGTGATAGTACCAATATTAAGTGCCCCGGCGCGCTCATCCGCCCAGCAGCCTGGATGTGCCGCTGCGGCGCTGCCGATGATGCTGATGCTGATGCTGATCCCCGTCGTCGTGCCTTGACTTATTCATGCCTCGTCCTGCCATCAATCCTCTCTACCATGAAGGCTACTGACAGATGCTGCGTGTTGGAGGCTGCAGCTGCACTCTTGCTAATTAATGTAATGGGAAAGGGTTCGCAAGCTGCTTGATGATCTGCAGACTGCAGCATCAAACCCCGCGTGGACCGTGGAGACCATTCGCTCTACCACTTCATTCACTCTACTAACCTATAAAGGTAACCCACATTTGTGCTCACCTGTCGAATCCGGGCAATCTGCATCCCTATACCATGCATACATACATGTATACGGACACGGTTCGATACTACTGTGTACATAGTCTTTTGCTGACATCGCAGACGCGTCCAGAGCGTCCGTAAACTTGTCACGATGCTTGCATCCCAAGCCTCGATTCTCATCAAACTGCCAGTCAGTGCGCGTTAGCGGGCCTCGGCCGAACCATCCGGCGGTGAAAAGCAAGTTCAGAATGACCTTTAGCCCTGACTCTTCAAGGTTCACACCTGTGCAACATCGTCTCGTGCTGCTCTTTCGAATATCTTCTTGCAATCGGGCCTACTCTTAGACTCCAAATGACCCAGTCTTCGAAAGGAACCAAGAAGAAGAGAAGGAACCCAAGCCAACAGAAATGCAAAGTTGAACCTCAAATACTGATGGCTGGCGAACGTGTTCGGTCGGCCTGGCTGACCGAGTGTCGCAGGCCTAAGTCTTGACCTTCTGTGTGGAGAATCAGATGCATTGACTTCCTACTACACTCTACGGCGTGATATAACCTTGCGTAGCCTAGCTCCAATTCTTGGACGAACTTCGTTGAGCTGCTGTCATATAGTATTCCTCGACTAGGCCTGGCATGCGCTCCATGCAGTTACCGTGTGGAGAGCTTACAACTAAATTAAGAGGCAATTCCCCTATTCGAAAAAAGGGCGGGAAAAGCCCTTGCTCATACGGTCAGATAGGATGAAGTCGCATCAGTACATATCCACAACATGATGAAGTGATCAAGTCTAGGTCCATTAGGCCGCCCTCAAGTATCTATGCTAAGTACCAATCGTACATAGAGGTGAGATATAGGTATATATGCTATTAGTGGCAGGCAAGATTGGTTGACACAGTCGACGGAAGGCACGACTTATCGTGTAGTTGCCCATTGTTACATCAGGCGTCAACAAAGGACTGATCTTTCCGAGTATTGCCTCTCGATCGTCAATGTCGAGATAGCTGATCTTTCTGATTTTTTAGTCGCAACATGCCTTTTTTCCATGTATCCGGTAAGAATGCAATGACGCTTTCGTCTGTCTTGATTCTGACATGCATGGATAGTTGCGATCAAATCCCGTCGCTCAAGGCGTAGGCCTCTTACCACCACCACATAGACTTGGACATGGTATTCTCGCTACCCTACTATGTCTACCGAATGCTAATCTTCCTAGAACCACAGCGTTCTGGCTCCATCAGAAGCGACCATTCTCGTGACAGACCTTCTCTTGATATCCTGAATGACTATGTTCCACTCTTGCCTCCGGCTCCTTTACGCAGAAACGAACCGCAAGCAAATGAGAATATTCCCCCACCAGTCCCGAAAGCCCCTGTGTCCAACTGGGCGAATGCTCAGCGGCCTCTTTCAGACATACGAGAACTCACAGAACCTAGTCTTGTTGAAGACGCGAATCGAAGAAAGGCACCAGAGTCAGGTTTATTGCGGAACCTGTCACTGACAAGAAGAAGCTCTGTGGAGAACTCATCCAGTAATCGTCATGCTCGTGGTGAGGACTCTAGAGGCCGATTGTCCCCTCGTCGATCGCCCAGGAAAGACCAGGATCGCTCGAGCATCTACAGTATTCCACCAAACAATGTTCCTCCTCGCTCATCTTCACATCATCGTCGCGAGAGAAGCTCATCACGGTCAAGAGGGGGCCATTCTGCGCCACCACTACCGCCTCCACCATCAGCGAGACCAGAATATATAACGCGTAAAGGGCAGCCTAGTAGTCCAGTGAAAGCGACTGCTGATAGACTTGATCCGGTCACTTCTGAAAATACGCGACGAATCCCTTCCAGGACATTCTACCGCGAGTCTCAATTGACCGACATTGCCGAGTTTCCCATACATCGACATCCACGGATCAACATAGAGATTCACCTTGGCGCATCGCTGTATGTAGGTGGGGGTACTATCGAAGGGACTGCGCGGATATCCATAGACGACGCGGAGCGAATCCGCCACAAGCGAGCTTTAGCACTGGCGCGTATCTCTGTTGATCTCGTAGGGATCGAGGAAATAACTGGTGCGAAGAAATCAGTGTTCCTCAATCTTGCAACGGAACTTGTTGACCCCGAAAACCCTCCACCTCACGGGATGGTGGAATCTCTGAAGCAAATTTCGGCCATTGACACATTTTGGCACCTTGCGCCATCAATTTCCGTTCTACCATTTTCACTCAGCCTACCTTTAGATGTTGGGCCGCCCCCGTTCATATCTAGGATAGCACGAATACGCTATCTCCTGTCAGTGACGCTTTTGGTTCGTGATCAGGGTAAGCAATATCTTGTTCGGCAATCACAAGATGTAACAGTGATACCAGTGTACGATCGTAAGTCTAATGTATCCGACATCACGGATCGTCAAAAGTAACGTTCCGATTAGCAGAAAAAGCCCTGATGTCTTTGCCAAGTCCTCTGACTGCTGAAGACGAATTCATTCGGTCTCGAGATCATGGACTAGAAGTCATACATGTCACCGCTGGTCTTCATCGACAAGTCTGGGTCAGTGGTACAAGCATCTTCGTCGATATTCATGTGGCGAACAATAGTAGCAAGAATATTAAGCGACTGGAGCTGCAACTGGAGCGAGACATACTTTGCTACAAGCATGTGTGTCAAAGGTGTCCCGAATCTTGTTCGGTGGTCGCTAAACCTTGACTGTTTAGGCTGCTGCATCCACGATGGAAAAGTCTGCGAGTCAAGGCCGTATTTTCGATGCCAATGATCGATCAATCCTTAGTCGGTCAATCACGAAAGCTGGAGGTGGTACATGGAGTGGGATAGCCGCGCACACCACCGAAATACGCACATGTGACCTCGAGCTGCCACGTGGACATGCAACTGTAAAGTGTGGTACGTCGATCATATATTGCCCTCCCACCATGATGAACTGACGTTACACAGGTAAATTTTTCGAGGTCAGGTATTTCTTGAATGTTGTTGTTAGTTCTGCCCATACGTGAGACTGTCCCAATGCTAGCCCCTGAATCGCTGCTGAGGCAATAGCAGGAAACTCGTGACGATACAACTACCAATCGTCCTCATTCATATGGTACGCTCTTGTCTGTTCGAATGCTACCCCGCTGGACTCACATAATCCAGAACAGTCTCGACATAGTGCCCAATTCTGTGGCACAGGTCGCTGCAGCCATTGAGGAGAAGCGCTCCAATTCCAATCCTGCCGATGACCCTCCAACCAGCTCTCCGCGTCTCCGTCGACGCCCGTCTGTTACCGTGCAAGGTCGGGCCTTTGCAGCGCCCCGCTTTCAATCCCTCGACCGAATGCGCTCTGAGACGGAAGTGATTCAACATCTGGGTCGCGATTTAGAGGCCAGTCCACGCAAAATACAACACTCCATACGCCGCGTACAAAGTAATTGCAATTACCGTACCGACCAGGGCTCGCACTCGCCGCCTCAAGCTCACAAGGGTAGATTTTTAGATTCACACGGCCAAATCGAAGGTACTAGTATTGGCGCTGATGTCAAAGCTCAATTGAGGAGGATGCGTAGCACGGATACAGCAAGGAGTAACCTTCAGTCTGCGCATTACCGGAAAGAGAGCTGTCCGGGTGTTACCACACTGCGAACGGTACCGAGTCTTGGGCTGCGGGACATGGGCAAGGAGAACTTCATGGCAGGCACTGGGCCTGGAACTGGGACTGAAGCGCGAGAACAGAGAGATCTCGTTGACGGTTTCAAGCAAAGGATTGAAGAGGCGAAGCAACAGCGGCAGTTTCAATTTCAATTCAAGAAGAAGAAAAGTGGTGAGAAGAGAAGTGGACTCCCGGGTGTTGGGTGGCTAAGAAGCTTGGATAGGGATCGTGAAAGAGATGGAAGGGAAGGGAATTGGATATAACCTTCAATGAGACAATGAGGATGATATACTTACAATGATACGTATGTACTATACGTTTTCGACGTCCTTTAATTGCCCGCAGCTACTTGCCCAACTCGGCCTTCTGTCAGAATTCACTTCGTAGCCGTCGCGTGCTTCGTCTCGTCGTTTAGTCTACGGCCAGACACGAAGAATGCCGTGAAATTGCAAAAGTGTACCGTAAACAATCACGTGATGTCAAAACTCTTGCCTCTTATGTCCATTCAATTAAGGCTAATTGAAGAGGAGAATGCCTGCATTGACCTCGTCGGCCGCTTCTCGGCGAGTTTTCATGGATATATCCGTAGAAATCTGTCCATATGAGGAACCTCTTTCCGAAGCCATGATCGCAGCGTTTGGTCTAAGTCAGCATCCTCTTGTTTGCATTAACGTTCTTTAAAGAAATGTCACAGTCCGACTGTGATATGCAGGTGCCAAGTAAGGTTGAGCATTACGCGTATAAAACGCGCAACGGGGTAATACATTTCGCAAGTCGTGATTCGTTGGCATCGTAGTTCTGACGGACATCCCGCCTCGCATTCGCGATTGCCGGCATTTAGAACGCTACTCGAATCCTTGCGATGCGGGGGTGTCGTTGCTTACGGATGCCTTATGAATCGCCAATTTCAACGTCGTACGAAGTTTATACACTACCGCATATGCCTTGTATTTATATAGTTGCAGACTAGTTCGTGACTCTACCATGAAATTGTGACTTTAGATGAATCCAAGGTCTCTCTGGTTTCAGACTTCAATAGCCTGGGATCTGCTATTGGAACCTCTTGCTAGACTGCTCTGAGGTTATACTTAGGAGTCAAGATTCGTACGAGGACTCAGCAAACGACATGTCTCCGGCAACGATCACATCTCCCGTGGTCATCATAGGAGCTGGTCCAGCCGGTGCTTCCCTGGCCTGTTTCCTCTCCTCGCACTCCATCACAGGTCTCATCATTGAGCTCAACAGCCACTCCGCAGACACCCCTCGCGCTCATATCACGAACATGGCCGCGCTCGAATGTCTGCGCGACATCGGTCTCGAGGAAACCGTCCTCAAGCTCTCTACACCTGACGAGAACATGTCGCACACGCGTTGGTGCTACAATATGGCCGGCCGCGAATACGCACGCATCCATTCCTGGGGCGCCGACCCTGCTCGAAAAGGGGAATACGAGGCTGCATCTCCCTGTAAACACTGCGACCTGCCGCAGACCTTGCTTGAGCCGGAACTCGTCCGCTATGCGACGCTGCACGGCTTCAAGATCCGCTGGGATACGGAGATGTTGTCCTTCGACGAGGATTCCTCCGGAGTGCTGGTGCGCGTGCGAGACAACATCACGGCAGCAGAATACCTCATTCGAACTCAGTATTTGTTTGGCGCAGATGGCGCCCGCTCCCGTACGATCCAACAGCTCGATATCCCACTCATCAAAGCCCCTGGTGGGGGTCCTGCGCTTAACATCCTTTTCCGCGCTGATCTCGCTCAGTTGATGCCACACCGCATGGGCAATCTTCACTGGATTATGCAGCCGGATCGCGACTCGCCTGACTGGGCCTGGCTCAGCATCCTCCGCATGGTCAAGCCGTGGTCCGAATGGATGCTCATCGCGCTCCTACGCCCAGGCTCAACACTCTCTCAGAAACCAACCCCTGAGCAGTGCGCCACACACATAACGCAGCTAATCGGCACCACTAGCATCCCCGTGACAGTAGAAAAGATAAACATCTGGAACATCAACGACATCGTTGCTTCAAGATACTCCTCGGACTTGGGCAGGGTGCATTGCCTGGGCGACGCCGTCCATCGCCACCCGCCCTTCAACGGCCTCGGCAGCAATACATGCATCCAAGACGCCTTCAACCTGGCCTGGAAAACCGCATATGTGCTCAAGGGCCTCGCACGTCCCTCACTGCTCAGCACGTTTAGCACAGAGCGACAACCCGTCGGCGCGGCGGTCGTCCGGCGCGCAAACGCCGGCATCGCAGCTCATGCAGATGTGTGGGACGCGTTCGGACTCCTCCTGCCCACACCCGCAGAGCGTACCGCTGCGATGGCCGAGTTGGAGGAGGACAGCGAGCAAGGGCGGGCAAGGAGGTTCAAAGTGCAAAAAGCGATCCACGAGACGAGGTACGAGTTCCACGGGCTGGGCGTGGAGATGAACCAGACGTATGGCGCGGAGACGACAACGGCCGTGATAGCGGACGTATTTCCAACAGCGCAGAACGCGACCGACGAGGAGCGCATAGCGGCGAATCCGGACCAGGTGTTGTATCATATCCGTAGCACACTGCCCGGGCGTCGCCTTCCGCATGTCTGGCTCTCGCGACCTACGCCTGAAGGGCTGGTGTCTACAATCGATATTGCAGGCCACGGGGTCTTTACGCTATTCACTGGCATTGGAGGTGCTGGTCCCTGGACTGCAGCAGCGGAAGAAGTTGGTGACAAGCTGGGCGTTGAGGTTAAAGTGGTGGATGTGGGCTGGGGGTGTGAGTGGGAGGACGTGTATTTCGAATGGGCGCGCATACGTGGCGTCGAGGAGGACGGATGTGTGCTTGTCAGGCCGGATCGATTCGTGGGATGGCGGTGTGGAAGGAGGGACGGTGCGAGTATGCTGGTGGGTGTGATGAGTAGTATTGTAGGGAGAGCAGAAGGGAAGGGACAGGTTGGGATCTAGAAGTGAAGGAGGCATCGTACTGGTTTCTGATGACAATAGACACTACATTATACTGATCTAGAAATGAACGAGCGCATAAACGTAGATTGTTTTCATCACAACACAACCGTAGTTCAATCAGCCATAGGCATCAACAGTAAAGTGACTTCCCTCTCGGTGTGATATACGAACAGTATCTTGATAGAAGACGTACAGAGTTCCCATGGGATTGGATATTTATATAGCCAGCATGTGCTCGATTGAAAACGCTGGGTAGGGGTCGTCAAAGAACGCCAGGAGAACGAGCAAGCACTTTGATTGCGGTCGTTGTCTACTATTATACGAATGATTGTATAAGCCTATCATCAAGGGGTATAGGGTCTTATCTAGGACGACTTGTATAGCGTGATAAACAAGTACGTATAGGAGTGGCTTCGCCGGTCGCCGGTCGTCGGTCTAGCGGAACCAACCTCGGAGGCCGCTGCCCCAGCTTTTGCTAACCCAATTAGGACAGCTCCACAACACCGACTTTGCTCATAGTGGACGTAAGACGGTCCTATAACCGACGCCTGCAATGGCTCTTCTACTGTGCCGCAGTGCGAGCGCGCTGTTACGCCCTTGTATTCTGCGTATGTCTGCTGTCTTCCTCTTGTACACCCCATTATACCACAGATCGCCTTCAATTGTTGATTTTTTGGGCAGACGGAGTTCCGCCCTCACATAACGACCATGTCCGGCGCTCTCTCTCGGCTGTCAAAGATTGCCTCACAGGTCATCAATCCGACGCATGCGGAAGAAGTCGACACAGCGAAGGAGTCGAAGAACCATCGGCTGAACTTTCACACCCTGTCGCCAACGGCATTCTTGCCAAGAGCTGCTGCGATCGAGCCAGATGTACGTCATGTCGCCCGCCTACGGAAGCTCTAAGCGCACCTACAATGAGATGGCCCGAGTTGAAGAGAAGACTTTTCATCGAGAACGTCGCTCATATATGGAAAAGACCCGCTAACTGAACAATCCTTGCTAGGCCGAAGCCGTATACCACATCACTACAAACAACAAAGTCCTAAGGAGAACGTATGGTGAAGTGGCCGATCGTGCGCGTGGTGTATCCTACTACCTCAAGAAACACAATTACACAAGAGTTGGGATTCTCTCTACAAACACACCGGCATTCCTTGAATCGCTGTATGGGATTACAGCTGCTGGAGCCGTCAATGTCGGTACGTAAAATGCGACTGCGCCCGTACCGATCCAACATACTATACTGCGCACGCAGGGGACCCCTTACAGACAGCGTCCTAGAACATCCATGCTTATCCCCTTTCGAAGGCCAAGAGCAGTACTGTAATTAGCTGACTGGAGCTGGCAGCCATCAACTACCGACTGAAATCTGATGACATTGCTTATATCTTTACCCACTCCGAGGTTCAACTCATCATCGTCGATGCCGAATTCGAGGACCTCCTTTCAGACTGCCGCAAAGCCTCCCCTCTAGTACAAATACTCATTGACACCGATACAGACGCGATTGAGGGGGATCTGTGCGGCCCCTTCGATCGTGCAGTCTTGGAAGGTCTGAAACATGACGTCGATACAGGGAATAAAGGCTGGGATGGCCTCGAGGTTCAAGCCGCAGACGAAGAGAGTGTGTTCGCATTAGCATACACAAGCGGAACAACGGCTCGCCCCAAAGGCGTCGAGTATACTCATCGTGGCGCATACCTTGCCGCTCTCGGCAACATAATCGAGAGCGGCCTCAACTACCACACCGGCCGCTGCAAGTATCTCTGGACACTTCCTATGTTCCATGCGACTGGTCCGTCTCACTCTCCCCTCCCTCGGCCCTTTATGTTGACCCTCTTCTAGGTTGGACCTTTCCTTGGGCTATAACAGCCGTTCGCGGCACCCATTACTGCCTTCGCAAAATTGACTATCCGCTTATCTGGCGGCTCCTCAAGGAGGAGCACATAACGCACTTCAACGCCGCACCCACTGTAAACACACTACTCTGCGCCGACTCTTCCGCATCCCGCCTCCCCTCTCCTGTTCGCGTCACCGTCGCCGCATCCCCGCCCACCCCACACCTCTTTGAAACGATGACAGCTCTCAACTTGCATCCGGTCCACGTCTATGGCCTCACCGAAACCTACGGGCCCATCACAAAGGGCTACCATATGCCCTCCTGGGACGCCCTCCCAGCCAGAGACAAATACGCCAAAATGGCCCGTCAAGGCCACGGCTTCGTCACATCTCTCCCCGCACGCGTCATCCAACCGGACCGCACCGACGGCCAACTCATCGACGTCGCTCGCGACGGCAACGAAATTGGCGAAATCGTCATGGCCGGAAACATCTGCGCAAAGGGATACTACAAGGATCCCGTCGCCACATCCAAGCTGTGGGCCGGCAGTGTCAGCCACTCGGGCGATCTCGCCGTCATGCACCCGGACGGCGCAATCCAGATCCTCGACCGCGCAAAGGACATAATCATCTCCGGCGGCGAGAATATCAGCAGTGTCGCGCTCGAGGCCATGCTTGCCACGCATCCCGACATTCTCGAGGCGGGCGTCGTGGCGGTGAAGGACGAGCGCTGGGGCGAGCGGCCAAAGGCTTTTGTGACGGTGAAGAATCAGGCTGCTACGACGGGTGCGGATGTGATTGCCTGGGCCAAGGAGAATAGCAGTATCAGTCGGTTCATGGTGCCGCGGGAGGTGGAGATTGTGGCCGAGTTGCCCAAGACGAGTACGGGCAAGATACGGAAGAATGTTCTGAGAGATTGGGCGCGTGGGGTGCGCAGTGAGTAGCAGTAGTAGCGCGCTCTATGTGTGCAGCATGTCATGGAATGGTCGTACTTTCTAATCATGAATAGTTGGCAGGTACGAATGCATATATATACACGTATGTATGGACGAAATGTACAGATGAAGATGAATCTACAGGATGGCTACAAAGACATCATCCATGTCAAACTGTATCGTATGCTGGGTTCCCCGCACAGAAATCGCTACAGCAGAACAAGGATGAGACATTGAATATAGCGTAATGAATACGAAAGAAAGAACAAAAAAAAATCGACACCTCTATCAACAGGTCCGGCCCATTAAACAGTCATTCATATCCATTTCATTGCATTCGCACCTCGTGCCTAACATCACCATTTAAGCTGAGCAGCCCTGGAGCACATATGTCTCCGTGATCGTTACCGTGGTGGCCGCACCACCCACATCAGTCGCCCCTCCAGCAAGTGGCGCCCCAGGAGTCACTCGCGGAGTTACCACGGGCGCCACGGAGGGAAGTTCCATCGGCGTTGAAACACCGGTGCTAGGAAGACTGACGAACCCGCCAAAGCTCTTGCCCGCCGGCGGTGGCGGTGGCAGCGATGAAGCGATCGCACCAACACCCATTTCAGGAACAGGGGTCACGACGCTGGTGATTAGAGTGCTGGGGCTTGAAGGAAGGGGGGCGAACTGGATTGGAGATCCAGACGGCGCAAGGATGGAGTTCTGGTTTGCGACTGACAGCGCAGGGATGGAGTTCTGGCTTGCGATTGACGGCGCAGGGATGGAGTTCTGGCTTGCGATTGACAACACAGGGATGGAGTTCTGGCTTGCGATTGACAGCACAGGGATGGAGTTCTGGCTTGCAATTAACGGCACAGGGATGGAGTTCTGGCTAGCGACTGACAGCACAGGCACCGGGCTTTGGAATAGTGCAGCAGAGGAAGCTGTTGGTGGTGCCCCTGACGGGCCCACAACGGCGCCCTGGGAGACGGCTGTCGAGACTGCATTCAATGGCAGTATGGGAATTCCAGTGTTTCCAGAATTGATATCGGCAGGAACTCCACCAGACATGGTCGATAGGCCGGCTCTCATCGCGATCAGGTGGTCGGGCGAATCCCAGTTCTCTTCGCCGAAGCTCCAGGCCATGACACCACCGAGTTTGAGCGGGACGACGATAGTTTGAAACTTTTTCTGTACGTAATCTTTCGAGTCCCAGCTCCAGAAGATGTTGAGCTCAGTGTCGAGGTATGTGAGGCCGCCTTTGATGGTGTCGTCGCTTGGTTTGGTCGTTGCGGTGCGCCACGACTTCCAGACGTCTGGGCCTTCACATTGACTGCCGGAACCACTGTAGGTGGGGTTGCAGTGGCCATAGCCACAGTAGTCTGCTGTGTTACCGCTGTTTATGATTAGAATGGGAATGCTGAGAGGAGACAAATGGTTACGTACCACCAACCGTCAGTGGAGCAGCAATAGCCACTGCCACATTGTAAACCTTTCTCGGGTCCACACTGGCCGTCCGTCGCAGGTGAGAGAGAAGATGGTGCATCTTTCGCGTTCTTTGCCTCAAAGGTCATGGAGCCGGAGTGATTGGTGTCGGCACCATTGGAAGCCTCCAGTTCTACAGTAGCACATCCGAGCCCTCCTGTAGATGTACACCCGGGCTGGACACCGAACCATTTAGCATACAAGGCTAGACCTAGGTTTGCTTTTTGGGGATCTAGGCCAATATTCAGGTATTCCTGGACCGTGTCGAGGGTATCTTGTACACAGGTGTGGTGGCTTGTGGTTTTGTCTCGCCTGTTCATGATGTCGTAGGTCATGATCTATACGCTGTCAGGGGATTCGCGTGCTAACAAGAGGGAAGAAACTCACGTTCACAAAATCAACATTGTCGAATATGTTTTTGCCGTTAGCTGCGTTGAAGATGAGCATGTCGCCCTTCTTGCCAGGAGTCGCTATGGAAAGAACCTTGTCGGTTCCCATGGTTGTCTTTATAGTCTTTAGCATGTTGATGTAGCCTGTGGTTTCAGTACTGGTCGAAGGAGGGGCGCCTCCTGCAAGATAGTAGACGTCGTTTCCACCAGGGTATTCCCAATCAATATCTGCGGCCGTCAGCATCTCCGAGTCCATCACACTCCCTCACGGTGTTACTCACCAACGCCGTCAAAGTGAGCGCCGCCCCCAAAATCATGCGTGACGATCTGCTTGATGTTTTCGGCAAAAAGGCTCAAAGAGGCGTCGCTCTCGATAGCCTTTCTCCATCCAGTGGTAGGATCATCGTTCCACCCACCGATGGCGAGGCTGACCTTAATATTGGGATTGAGTGCCTTGATAGCTTTGAGAGTGTCAGCGTGCCACTTATGTCCTGGCTCTGTATACTGAAATGTGGTCCAGTCTATAGTTTGGTTGTTGAGATTATGGCTTAACATGAAGGCCAAGATGACGTTTGTGACGCCTTCAAAGGATGTTGCGGTCATAGGAACATTGGGATGCCATCTATTCATGTTAGTTAGTACGACTGAGGGAGGGCGACGAGAAGGAGTGAACTTACTGGTCATAGTACATAACCAAGCGAGGGGCCGAAGTGGTGTCTTGAGCGACGCTTCGTGTTACCCCTAGAAAAGTCGTCAAAGTCCTCAGTATGTTCCTCATGTTGGGCAGTAACGATATAGGAGTCCAGCTGCTTGATATCGATGGTAGCACAGTATGTTAGGAAGAAGTAGGTAAGAGTGTATGTCGTACGCATATACGGGTAGCGTATTTATATACTCTCTAACAGTGAATGCGGCGATACAGTCACGGATCTGATCGATCGTGAAGGAGCAGAGAAATCTCTATGCATCGAGACAAAATATATATTCCATGGAAAGTGGGTGCAGCAGCCACAGAACTGCTGAATGCAGAAGTCACAATACGCTTCCACCTGCCCAAAACCCTTTCTTGAATGCTTTCGTCAATTATTAACTTATCCATGGCATCGGAAGACCAAGGTCAGACCTCAGACTCTGTGATGGAGTGGTGTTTGCCATAACGTGGCTTTGAAATACCGCCTGAGCGCATCTAACGCGTTGACGCGCCACAATTCGACGCCTACAGAGTAGAACAACGGCATTTATTGCTCCTGTAAAGTGATCATGTGCTGCTCGCGTGTCTGTGTCCTTCTCACTGAAACTTGTTAGGTGACCGGGATATAACGATTGGCCAAAGTGCGTTCGATGATGCCATATAACTTGGCGCTTCGTGAATGGACGACCACAGCATCACAAAAATGTCGACTGCTAGATTAAACTCCGGCGGTAGTTTCATGAGAGATGGCAGATTGAAGCACCCAATGGAGCTGAGGTCATTGAAGTGGGTCTTGGCTCATTCCATGCTTGGATAAATCCCTTGCTTCGTTAAAGACCTACAAGTCCACCCGTCGGATGTGCCGGAACCCAATACGCCACATTATCTGTCTGCTAAGTTAGGACAAGGTTGATCAATGTTTCGAATGTTCGTGATACCCGTCAGAACGCCCAAGTCTAGGTGGCCTTGAGTCAGGTGGAAAATCTTCTGTTTGCCATATCAGATTTGAAACACTTGAAATGCCAGTTACACTTGATGATGGTGATGACGATACTTTCATTTTTATTCTAGATGATAAGGTAGATTCGTCTGTTTATCCGCGTCAATTCCAGACATCCTTGTAAGGTTATATTGATCTGCCATAGAAGCACCGCTACGGCGAGGAGGGTTTCGACGCAGTACTATATGCTCTCTTGGCTATGTTAGAATTGAGTTGAGCAAAATGTCGGATACTTGTGGTTATTTTCGATCTCTCACTTAGCCTTCTTCTTCATTTCGGCCAGTCTTATGTTCGTCTCCATGGCATGCTCCGCAGTTTTCTGCGTAATGTCTTTATCGATCTGTTCATTCTTCAGCCTCATGGCTTCTCGGGTTTCCGCTATAGCTATCAAGCTCTTTATTCTCTTTTCGATTTCTTTTTCCTGTGCTTTCTTCAGTCCGGCCTTGGTCCTGATATTGGGATGCGCCTTCAGGAAATTGGCGGTGAACGCGAGCTGTTCCTTGTCTTCAGCTGCTGACTTGGGACCAGGACCTCCATAGGGCGAGCCATGTTCATGTGTTAATGGTATGGGAATGGTGGGATGCAAGACGTTCTCGGGGTTCCGGGATGTTGAGCTAAGCGGGAGGGGAGCACCTGCAACTGGTGTACTTTGGTCCAGGCTGGGGGATGGCATTTTGCCATGGAGTACGAGCGCTGCGAGTTCGTTTTCAAATTGAGGGTCGTATGGCCTTTCAGGGAGTGGCACGTATTTGCTATCTGCATCGACGGGAGTGTGTCCAACCGATGGAGAGGGTGTATTTGCAGTGCTTGTACGATGAGGAGTGTTGTTTGAGGTTGTAGCAGCCTCAGGCTTATAAGCATCAGTCATATCGATATTGACACCTGTAGTGTCGCTGGCAGATGGCATGCTAACGATTGCTGTAGTTGTTATTGATCGATTGGATGAATGAATGAGGTAACATGTGAAACGAGCTTCTCCAGTAATCTATGTCCTGGAGTAAAGTGATATTGCCGTTGTTGTAAGAGATGAAGTGGAACGGGAGGAGTGAGATGTAGTGATAATTATAAAGTTATAGATAAATGATTTGTTCAAAGAAATCGCGACTTGGAATCGAAGCAGGTTCGGGAAGCAGCGGCCGGAACTGGCGGAGCTTTTCCGCCCTGGCACCAAACACTTCACGACCAAGCGCCTCCTGGGACCCAAACTTCAGTTTTCATCCTCACCTTACTACCGTACTTCAACCCGCCAATACCCGCCCGACCTCAGCTCTAAACCTCCCATCCTTCTTTCAATATGGCTGACAAACTCCGCACACAACAACAGCTCGAAGCGCTGCAGTCCCGCTACCTCGGCGTCGGACACGCGGACACAACCAAATTCGAATGGACTTCTAACATCGCCCGCGACAGTTACGCTTCATACGTAGGTCATCCTCAAATGCTTGCGTACATGAGCGTAGGGCTGGGACAGAGCCGTGAGAAGACAAGGTTGGACTTCATTGAAAAGATGGTCAGACCCGTGGGACCGCCTCCTGAGAGGGAGGATTGAGGCGGGTAAGAAAGAGTTTTTATTTGGGCCACAGGCGCTTGGGCTTGTGATATGGAAGGACGGGACTGTGGAATGAGAGATTGAAACAGGCTTGAACTACATGAGCTTAAAAATACATGAGCTTTCAGTCAAGAGCGTACGAGAAGGAGGGTTCGTCTTCGGTGTCTTCAATCGCTCTGTTTCTGCATAGCCATCTGGGATAGACATGATGTCGCAACGGCAAGGACGATGGTCCTTGTGATTGTTTGGTGCTTAGAAGTCAGTATATGATGGGCGAAACAAAGCATACTCACGGAGCCTCCGACACCCCAGGAAGCGCGGCAAGGTGCTTGAGCGTTCTAAGGAAAGACCTAAATCGACTTCTCGGGTTACGATATGCGCCATGCACAGACTGGGTTATATCACAAAACAAATGAACATGAGGTTGAGGGAGAATGTCACAGTGCTGCTAGGTTACAACATTCAGGGAGTAATGGTTCTCTGTAATTTACAATCTAAAGTAACGCCCGCTATGCACTGGCAATGCTTCATCTCTTATGACCTTCAATGGTGCCCTCAGTCCGAGTCGCTGGCACTCCCAGTCGGTCCGTCATCGTCATCGTCTGCCACGACGTCGTTGCCAACATTCATGGCATACTCAGCCTTCTGCAACGACGTCCGCAGTGCATCGTTTCTAGGGTCGACGAGCTCGAATGGCTTAAGTTTGGCCTTGTTCCGTATCCGTGGATCGCAGCCGGCATCAATCAAGATGTCTACGACAGACTGACCTTCCTCCCATTGCTTCGGTGCTAGTGAATTGACATATCGTACTGCTTTGTGCAGGGGTGTGTCTTGCTCCATGCGGTCTATTTCGTCGATCTCGAGGCCTTCTTGGTCGAGGAGAATGTCTAGAATCTCATCTGAAATGCATGTCAGCTGTAGTTTCTTTGGCCGGCGGGAGTGGACGCACAGCTACCACACTCGGCGGCTACATGTAGAGCCCCCTTCCCTACGCCATTCCGTGCCTCGTTGAGTGTTTTGGCAATATACTCGGTGTCCTTGCCTTTCGGGGCGCCCTTAGACAGGTCTGACAGGACTTCTTCGAGAAGTGTAGTATTGTCACGTCGGCATGCTTCAAATATAAGCTCGCGGGGAGAGGCACCCTGCTAATTCATTAGCCCATAGCCAGTGATTGTCGAGATGGATGTGAAGGACTGACCTCGTCAGCCATTGCGGGGATGAGAGGAAGTGGGGTAGACTACTGCGAGGATAGCTTTCTAGACGCGCAGGGGAGAGTTCGTTGTTCTTTTTTCTTGGGGGCACTTGGTGAAGACGTTCGGGCTATAGAATGAAATAAAACGAGGCTGCACGCAGCTCTGAAACGCGCGTGCGTGTAGCAGGCGCAGTGAAACATCCGATCGCATCCAACGGCAACGAGGCGCGATCAGGCACAAAATCCAGGGTCCAATAATACGACTTCCCGAAATATCACCGATCCTGTTTGAAGCTTCAATTTTGATGATATCGATGCCACCTCTAATAATTTGACCATCTCAATCTTGGACGCGTCCATTACCACCTCTCGCCTCGGTGGGTACTCACCACAATGCTACTCTTCTGCCCAGTATGCAGCAATCTCCTTACCGTCTCCAAGATGCCCGTAAACCCACTTTGGCCTGAAGAGTCTGGCAAAAACCGCTTCGAGTGTCGCACATGTCCGTACATGTTCATGATAACTCAAAGGATGATGGAGCGTAAGCCAATGAAGAGAAAAGAAGTCGAGGATGTACTTGGTGGGGAAGACGCCTGGGCAAATGTTGACAAGACCGATGGTATGGCAAGGCCATAGGATGCGCGTGCAAAGTTGCAGGATTGCTGACTTGATACAGTCCAATGCCCAAACGACAAGTGCGGTAATACGCAGGCTTTCTTCTATCAATTGCAGATTCGCTCTGCGGATGAGCCGATGACTTCTTTTTACAAGGCACGTGTTTAGTTACTGTCCACTCGTACTATGCTAATGGTCTCAGTGCACATCTTGTGCTCGTCAATGGAACGAATGAGTTTGATATATACACTTTTCCATCTACTTTTCGCATAGCATAGGAGTTGGGAGGGCTTTCTAAAGAGATACCCATATATATATAGCGGGGCAGACCGATTCGCATTCGAAATTGTCGGCTTAAAATACAACATCAAACCCACGGACTTGTTTCTTGTACAAATCGCGTCATATGCCTATAGGCTATAGCAGAGTCAATCGACTTGACTTAGATCTCATTCAGCATTTGACGAGTCATCGGGACATGGCGCTGACAACCCAGTCGAACTTGGCAGAGTAGATTACGCTAGCATGATACTGTCCTGCGTATTGTCAAAGGTTTGGACACTTGAAATATTTTGTCTAGCATTGGGGAATAAAAAACTGCGACGACTGTTCCTGACTGTTGTGACTGCCGGGGTTGCCGCACTAAGACACAAACAGGCAATTCCTGGGTCCCAAGGTCGTTCAAGGTAAGACCTTTAGCAAACCAAGATTATTCGATTTTTCGATTGGAACCCAGCCATCTTCTCTTGAGGCAGGTTGCGTTCTTTGCTGGGGCTATGGGCTTCATGGCTTACCACCGATTGCAAGTTCTTTTCGCTTGGCAGCCAAGACAAACAACATCTGTACGGAAGGCCCGGTCGATTTTGTTGATGACGTCGAAAGCTCAACAGGAGTTTACCCTTCTGAAGTCTGAGGATGGAATTTATTTCTCTGCGGCTATGGGCAAACACCCACCCAATCATGCGAATCATCATCATATTCGGCGCTACTTCCCGATAGCGAAGCTTCCATGTCAATCATTTCGGGCAAAATAACGTTACGGTCCGCAGGCTTCCTTGCTTCCTTGTCCATGTCCTACAGCTGCGGTACCCAAAGGATTGCTGAAGCTGGGAAAAAGCGACACTGTAGTACCACATCATCACCTCATCGCCTAATACATTGTCTACCACTCATGTCTAAGTGCGTCATGTCGTTACGCCTGACACCTCTATTCATCTTAGCACCCCAGCCCCCTCCCATTGAACTGCTACATGAAGTTAGGCACCGCCTCCACCCGGCGAAAGATCGACACTTGGGGTCCAGGACATTAAGGGACACAACTGCGCCCAATGTCTGGGATCAGACCATCACGGGTCATTAAAAGCTGCTTTGTCCGGTCGTTCCGGCATTTACTCACGACCACCTCGCAGCTACAGACATTGCGAAGATGCTCTGGCCAAAGTTCGGAGCGATCAGCCTTTGCGCATCTGTCGCACTCGCATTACCAAGATCACCTGCTTCGATCCGGAAACGGGAAGACCAGGAAAGGGCTGATGCTGTAAAGGCAGCATTCCAGCATGCATGGGATGGTTATAAACAATACGCGTTCCCTAATGATGAATTGAAACCAGTTTCGAATTCGTTTGGCAATTCGAGGTACGTGCAATGTGATCGTTGCTGTAGCATGGCCTGAGTGGACGTATAGGAATGGCTGGGGTGCTTCTGCTGTAGATGCTCTATCTACAGCATTGCTTATGGGCAATCAGGATGTGGTAGACACTGTCCTGGAGCACATCACCACGATCGACTATACGAAGACAGACACAGAAGTCTCCCTGTTCGAAACTACCATCAGATACCTTGGTGGCATGCTATCCGCATACGATCTACTGAAAGGACCTTTATCGAACATGGCGACAGACGTAAGTCATCCAGTAGCATAATCATCACGTGCATTGACAGTCTTGTAGTACACAAAGGTCGATGCTCTCCTCACTAAGTCAAAAGAGCTTGCAGACGCGCTCAAATTTGCATTCGACACTACGAGCGGTGTCCCGCACAACAATCTGATTTTCGCCAATCGAACCTATGTCGAAGACAACGGCTCCAACGGACTCGCGACCGTCGGCACTCTTGTCCTCGAATGGACGCATCTCTCTGACCTCCTCGGCGTTTCAACTTACCAAGACCTCGCCGAGAAAGGCGAATCCTATCTCTTGAACCCCATGCCTACCTCGAATGAACCTTGGCCCGGTCTCATCGGCTCTGATATCAGCATCGAAGACGGCACGCTACAGAACGCAAACGGCGGTTGGTCCGGCGGGCAGGACTCGTTCTACGAATATTTACTGAAGATGTACGTCTACGACCAGTCGCGCTTTGGTCAATACAAAGATCGCTGGGTCCTTGCCGCCGACAGCACAATCGCTCACCTAACGTCGCATCCACAAACACGCCCGGAAGTGACCTTCGTGGCCGAATTCCGGGGCCAGACGCAGAGTCTGAATTCAGGCCATCTGACGTGTTTCCACGGCGGCAACTTCTTACTCGGTGGTGCTGTGCTCGGCGAGCAGAAATACATCGACTACGGCCTTGCGCTCGTCGACAGCTGCCACGCTACCTACAACGCCACCGCAACGAAGATCGGGCCAGAGCGCTGGTCCTGGGACCCAGAAAACGTGCCTGCTGATCAACAGGCGTTTTGGGAGGAAAACGGGTTCTACATCACCGTCGAATACTACGATCTCCGGCCTGAAGTCGTGGAGAGCTTTTACCACGCATACCGCATCACCGGTGAGCAGATCTATGCGGATTGGGTGTGGGATGCGTTCATTGCTGTCAATAGCACAGCGCGGCGTGGAAGTGGGTTTGATGCAATTGAGAATGTGAATGTGGAGGGTGGAGGCACGAGCTTTGACAACCAAGAAAGCTTCTTGTATGCGGAAGTCATGAAGTATTTCTACCTGACGTTCGCTGGCGAGGCGGAGTGGCAGGTCAGCAAGGATGGAAAGAATGCATTTGTGTTCAATACTGAGGCACATCCATTCAAAGTTGTAGGTGGGAGCTGACTATATGATCTGAATGCGAAAGCCTCCCAGGTCTGGTTGGCGGTATTGGTTTTGTTACGTGCGAAGTAGGGGTGGGAGGACTGTATATAGTGGAAGGCGTATGCATGTAAGAACCAATGCTGCTGTGTACGACTGTGATTCGCAGTCCAGATGTTTATTGATCCACAATGGCACCTATGCACGCAATTTGACTGTGGCGTGCTTCTAGAGCATCCTAGACAAGGCTGCCTCTGTTGTCTACCAGATGATGACCGCCCTAAGCGACCAGTCCCCGTAGGCGTCCTCTTCTTACCTGTACGGATAATATTTGTCAGTGCTCAAGTGCCTCGAGACGATGTACACGCCTTATACTGCCCTATCAGTGGCCATCAGTGATACATGTGCGACTATGGCTTGTGAATGTCGCGGACATGATATCTCGGGGCTGGAAAGGAGTCCTGTGATCGTCGCTCCAGATGCATGGCATACAACATATGGCCTTTACTGCATTGGTCCCGACATCCCCGAGCGCGTGGTAGGTATTTGATTCGCTAGAGAATATTGTATCCACTGTAACACTCTTGGAAGTTTTGAGGCTGTCTCCGTGTTTCGCAGTAAGGGATGTTCGTGGATAGATGGCAGGCAATTGAGGGTCCTAGATGCTGCAATTAGCTCTTTTCTATGCATAGCGAGACGCCCAGCCAGCCAGTAAGATGGCATAGAATGAGACGTTCAGCCTCGGTCGCGGCTCCGAGAGTATGAGACATAGACGTAGACTACTCATAGTAGTTACCGTACGCTAAGAAGCAATAGTCAGTCAACATGGAGCCCCGATTGTGACGGTTTGCGCACGAGCACATACATCGGCAAATCAGCGACAGTGTCAAGCGGAGACGGCTCCGACTAGGGATGTACTAGGGAGGTAGCATGCTGAGACCCGTAATTTAGTCGTCCGTAGGGAACTGCTGTATTTTCAGGGTGCGGCGAGGAGGAAGCAGAGTGTGTACTGTGGATGGAAGTTGGAGGAGGATTGGGGAAGACAAAACACACGCGGGTAAACACATCAATTTCTTGTAGAATAATTGTCAGAGCAAAGAGAGAGAGGTGCCGTGGTCCGCCCGCGCGCACGGTTTGCCTTCACTTCCCTAGGAGACCCCCCCCGTCAGCACAGCATTTCATCTTTGGCATGCATGACTCAGCAGCCGTCCTTGTAGCATTTTGAAATCCCATCTTTCTAAGCATCCATCATCTATTCATCAAAATCACTAGCAAGACTTCGCAACACGATATGAGCTCCCGTGGCTCAATCGATGATGGCTGTGGCGGTAACGGCGAGGATGCTTCTACTCGACTCCTCCCTCGATTGCTCCCCGCTTTGGGAGGTCATGGAAGTCGACGTCCCAGCATTCGACTTTCGTCTGCACCGCCCAAAAGGATAGGAAATCCTATAGCATGCAGGCCCTGTAAAGCCAGGAAGCTACGGGTATGTTGCCATCGAGCTTTTACGATGGACGCATCTAACATGTGAGGCGGGTGCTAGTGCGATGGAATTCGGCCAGTGTGTACAAGATGCCAGAAGAAGAACACTGGTGGTTGTCAGTATGAGTTGCCCGCCGGTGTTTCTCGTCAAGTCGCCTTGAAGAACTTCAACAATGCTCTGAAGCGTGACAACGCCGACTTGAGAGAGCTTGTGTTACTCCTGAAGACGAATAGTGAAGCTGAAGCTAAGGCAATACTCAATATGATCAGATCCCACGACGATCCTCTCATTGTTATCAAGAAGCTTCGGCAACTCGACCTGCTTCTCACTTCCCCTGACACTCCGAGCCAAGACTCTGATGAGGCTGACGTGAAAAGTGCTATTCAGGTCCCTGCCCGGCCGTGGACAAGTGTCGCGACTGACGAAGTGGTCTCAGAGCTGATCACTGCCTGGTTCGCTTGGGAAGACACGACACTCTTTTCGTATATCACACTAGATCTTTTTGTAGCAGACATGAAGGCAGGCGATCCGGAGAGTGCGACATATTGCTCTCCCTTCCTCGTCAACGCCATCTGTGCTGCCAAAGCCGTCAGTTGCATCACACGAGCTCGAAGAATGAGAAGTGCTAACAAGACCTTCAAGTCTATGGACAAGCCTGCCGCAGACGCAGCGTCTGAAAGCACATGGAAGTTAAGCGAACGATTCCTCGCCGCTGCAAAGGAGCACCTGGAGCTCCAATGCGGACGCGCTTCGCTTCCTACCATCCACGGACTGTATTGTCTTTTCCAGCACGCATCTATCTCAGGAGAAGATCGGGCAGGCACGTTGTATCGACTTGCTGCGATCGACATGATAAGCCGTCTCAACCTCACAAAGGTATACAGAAGCTTGAGAGACGATGTACCATCACATTTTAGGCGAAAGCAGGCTATATCACGAACCTTATGGGCTGTCTGTAACGTCGAAAGGTATGTCAAATCTACTTATGCAGTACCCGATCCTCCACAATAAATATATTGTTACAGCTCCTGGTATTGAAGACATGTTAACATCAATCCGAAATAGTCTTACTACATCCCTGTACCTGAAGCCCACCTTATTTCCGGCACCACCAATTCCTCCCTACTTTCGAGAGCCTCCTCTCACATCTTCAAAAATGGAGGACGAGGCATTTGACTTCCTGGGCTCCCCATTTTCTCACAAGAGTTCACAACCGCCCGTGGTGCGAGGCGCACAATATGCACTATGCGAGGTCTCAATCATCATGAATGAGGTCGTAAACTACAACCACACCACCCGCGAGTGCCCAAGTGGTGGTGCTGCAGATATTGACATCCGTCAGGGTCTCTATCGCCGGCTCACAGATCTTGAAAGGTCCTGGCCAAGCTGGCTCAGACATGACGCTGAAGTCACCCCGCAAACTTTCGTCTTGGGGTAAGCGAGCACCTGCGTTACTACAACAGCCTGTTAACATACCCTAGCTTCTTTGCGAATATCGTCGCCTACAACATCCTCCGTCCGTTATATAACGTCCACCCTGATACAAGCTTCGAGCCCTCGCTGCCTCCAGGCTCGATGAGAGGCCCGCTAGGGTACGCGTCAACAGCACAGTCATTCATCCTCAAACATGCTGCCATCGATGTCAACCTGATGGAGACGCTCGAGAAGCGCTGGCCATACAATATCCACCCCTTCACATCTCTTTTCCTCGCCGCACCGTACAACTGTGCCGCGACTCTAATCTCCCTCCTCCACATTCCCGTTGCACAAAATCTTTTCACTCGAGCAGTCCGCAATCTTCGCCTGCTCGAATCAGGCCTACCTTGCGTCAAGCTAATCCTCGGTGGCCTGCTGGTCGTAGCACGGTCCGTCGGCCAGCAAATCCCATCCGAAGCACAGGACATATTCGAGGGCGTGGAGGAAGCTTGCGAGCTGGAGCGCAAAGATATCCCCGTGTCGTTCCGCGCTCCTCAGGACGAAGCGCTGGTCAAGTTGCTGGCTATCAGCGAAAGTGAAAATCTGGACATGGTTGGCGAGGTGGAGAACATGGGCTCGGAGCTGGGATGCATGCTGTCGCTGTATAAGAGCATGAGTCTGAAGGGGAGGGATGGTGCGAAATGATGTGGTATACCCGGTTTTATAATCCTGGGATCTAGGGGAGCTGGAAAATTTGCTTTGCTTAACACTCACACACATGAAATTTCGGACTGCGTGTTAGGCTAATGAAATGAGATATGCCTATCAATTTATAAATTCATGCTTGAGAATATCTCGTCTTTATAGAATGCTGATGCGTGACTGACGCGAGACGTGATTGGAATTCATTATAGAGACCCAAAATCTGATACATGGACGTGACATCCATCGTAGAGACCCTACATCTATGACAAAGACTTGATGTCGATCTACCATATACAATTTCCTCGCCACCAAGAAAGTAATCAACAACATGGATGAAGGAGATCCATGATAATCAAGAACTAAACAAGTCCAGACAAGAAAGAACCAGACTGCAGAAAGCTGGAAGGCCCAAAAACCAAAACACCCCCAAAATCCGAAATGAGGCAAGAAAAAAAAACACAAAAACTCATGCCCGAGGATTTGAACCAGGGTCTTACTGAGAAACCAGACGAACTGAGTTTTTTCAATCCACGTTGTGGCACCACTAAACCATGGCCCCGAAGTGTGGGAACTGACAGTTAGTCGTTTCGAATTGTTTATAAAGGGTCCACATTCTGGTCTTCTCTAATTCTTGGGAAAGAGATTATACACTCGATCTATGACGCACTCACTCAGGGCTGCTCCTTTGGGATCAACCTTCGAGGAAAAACTCCCTTAAAACTGTTTTATAGATACTCGAATACGTTCTTTCGACGACAAAATCTAGATGTACGAGTTGGCCCTTAGATAAATTTATACATACTATACAAAGAAAATCAAGTAGATTTTGTGATAGTATGTACATCTCAGAAGCCCTTCAGATGATACTATAGTCCTATAATATTATAATAAGCCAGTCTAGATATCGCTACTCGTAATCCATCACGCAGAGACACAGACGCAAGACATGTCCAAACCTCAACACCAACACACACCCTATACCAGCAGTATTAGGTCCAAGCGCCCAACGTTGTTGGTTCAACGACTTACAAACTTTCAAAGTTGCCGTTCTGAGATGCGAAAGAGCCAATCAGCGCACAGCCGAGCACACGAGGGAAACGAAAGGTCCAAGCAACACGCAAGACGCAAAAAAGTGGGAAATTTCGAAGCTTTGACCCGGTATGGCTGCTGCCTAACGACGAACCCCTTACGTCACTCAACCCGGCCCAATTGACGGACGAAAAAGGGGGCGTCCGGCGATAAAACGTCAGAGCAATCGCCGAGCAAGGAATGAATGGCAAGGCGAAGAGTCTCTATTGACGGGAAACCAGCCAGCCAATGGGAACCTGCTCTACAGGTCTGCGCAAAGTGGAGACAGGGAGTCATATGGGCGATGTGTGTTCTCGCACGGACGGTATCGTGGGGTCTTGGCGTGGTGGAAGTGAATCTTCACAACACTGTTCAATAGCGAGTGTTTTCGCCAACCTATTGACGGCCCTATCTCTAGTTGTTTTGAGAGTAATTGATGAGGCGGCAAGCGAGATTGGGAGGATGGCGTGTGATGGAGTAAAAATTTTCTCCAGGGGAGGGGAGGGGAGGAGGGGGACTGTTGGAGGAGAGTATTTATTGCGGCTTTGCTTGCTCGTTTTTTGCTTCTTCTTTCTTTCTTCCTTTCTCTATATCTTCATACTTTACATCTCTACCACTGTTGAAGATCGTTCTATCCTCTCTCATCACGTTGGTTGAAAATCGTCCACATTTACATTCATCACGCTCATCACATCGTCATTCCTCATATCGCCATTCGAAATTTCGACACTCAACACATTGCCATCTCGCCACTCATCATATCTCTTTCTTCTTTCTCTTTCGACTCCTCAACTCATCATCACATATTTCCTCATCATCTGCCAACAATGCCTCTCAATTTGGCCCCTCTCTGGTCTTTGATCGGTGTTCTCACCGCCATCGACCTTTTCACCAAGATCATCTACCCGGAGGCTCGGGCCGCAATCTACGAAGTCTGGACGGCCATCAGCGGTCGAAGTTCCACGTGGGCGCCTGAGGGCGCATTCGTGTGGAGCATGGTCGGCCACATCCACAGGCCTCTTCCGTTGGTGGCGGCGCCGCCAAAACTGGAAAACTCACTTCCCCTGGGAGATGCCCAGGAAAACGCAACGAACCACTACAACATCTACAGTGGTTTCAGTCCAAGGACAGAAGCTCACCTCTTCCAGCTTCTTCTGACAATCGCCGTTTTCCTGGGCATGCTCGTGTGGCTCGCGTTACGGAATTCGAAGTCTTCCGCTGTGCTGGAGCAGCGAGATCCTTTCGCGGTCTCGGTGCAACACATACTTGAACAGCACAACGTGGACTTCGGTACGTTCGTGGAGCGCACCCTCCGCATGCCAATAACCACGGATGAGATCGCCGCTGCCACCATCGAGCGGCGATTCAACGAGGTCGGAGGCCTGGGTGAGTTCATGCAGAAGAGCACGGCGGCAACGGCAACCCAGGGCGCGACAATCAGCGGTCTCGCCCAGCGTCTTGGGGCCGTCGAGGCCGCCGTCGGCAAGGCTGTGGCGGCACACAGCACCCTGGAAAGGGATTTCCAGGTACACGTCACCGACTTCAACGCCCTGGCTGGCCAGGTCGCAGCAAACTCTTCTTCCGGAAAGTCCACCGCGGAGAAGGCGTCCGATCAAGAGAAGCGGCTCTTCTCGCAGATCACGAAGCTCAAGGTGCTGACCGAGAGGTTCAACACAGTGCAGTCCGACGTCAGCAAGCTCGACGTCTCCCTGTCTCAACAGGGATCTCAATCGTTGCCCACCCAGGGGCAACTCACTGCACTGGCCCATCTGCCCCAGCAGATGGAAGACCTCGAGGCTCGCCTTCGCGAGCAGATCGCCGGGAGTGTGCTCGACCGGGTCGCGGCTGTAGAAGCCAAGGTGGAGCAGGGAGAAGCTCATTGGCAAGACCAAGCCGCTGGTCTTGCCGAATTCACAGGGAAGGCGGAGGAGTGGTTCCGTGGGGTGGAGGACAAGATCAAGGAGGCGGCTGAGGACGCCTCCGAGGTCAAGAGGGGCATGGAGGCCTTCGCGCGCCTCGACGAAGAAGTCAATTCTTCGGCAAAGGCCTTTGTGGAGCTTACCACAGAGGTCGGCAAGATGGGTGCGCGTCTGGACGAGGACTTCAAGTCTTCATCGGCCGCCATCACGAAGCTCGGCAACAACGTCGGGAACATGGGGAACACACTCCGAAAGGAGTGTGTCAAGCGACATGAGAAGGACTATGCCGCCATTAGCTCCTTGGGTAAGGATCTTGACAAAGAGGCTCTCCGCACAAGGGCCTCCTTCACCGAGTTCGAGGCTCGCGTGGGCCGATTTGAGGAAGCTCAGAAGAGCAAAGGCTCTTCTTCTTCCTTGTCGGTGGCCACCACTCGTCCTTCGGAGGCCATCTCGTCGGAGCCTCGTGCTCCAAAACCTTCCTCCGCCCATCCCATCCCCTCGCCCCCAGTCGTCTCCTCCGCTGGACCCTCGCGCCCATCCGCGCCGACAGGGGTTTCAGAGGTGCCATCGAGGCCCTCTGTCGCCCCTCGCCCATCCACCGAGACGTCCGAACCCAAGACGTCGCGCAAGGAGGGCGCGAGGTTCCAAACCGTAGCTGGCATAGAGGCGCCAGTTCCCACGAAGCCCAAGGGCCACGGCAACCGTGGGATGAGAAAGGTGTCAGAGGCATCATCATCAACTGCACCTCCGGCCAAGCAAGAGCCGAAGACCACCACCACCACCACCACCGCCTCTACCACCACTCCTCCCACTGTCGCCGCACCTGTCGCCGCCCCTGTCGCCGCCCCTGTCGCCGCCGTCGCCGCCCCTGTCGCCCCTGTCGCCCCTGTCGCCGTTGCCGCCACCGCCGCCACCGCCGTCCGAAAGCCATCTCAGGCTGAGAAACCGGCCTCTGCTCCCGTCGCATCGTCATCGACGGGCACCGCAGGCAAGGCCTCAAAGGCAATCAGAGGCGGGATGACCCAGAGCAAGTACGCTGCCCCCGAACAGGGCAGCGCGGTCGTCCCCAAGAAGACGCCTGCGCCCACTCAAAGCCGGGCGTCTTCGAGCCTCCAGGCCAAGGCAGTGGCCTTCACTCCAGCAGCAGCACCATCACAGGTCGAGAAGCCAGCTCCCGCCAGCTCCCAGGACGTCCGCAGCGCGCCAGTCGCCAAGCCGCAGCCCTCGTCCTCGTCGTCAAGCAGCAAGGCCGCACAAGCCCCCCAGGACAGCGGTGCAAGCAAGGAGAGTCCCGCGGGCGAGTCGTCTGAGAAGACACAAGCCCAGAAAGACGAAGAAGCGGGCCTCCTGCCGCTATGGGATGGACCCAAGACTGCGGCGCAAGAGTACGAGGAGAAGCTGCAAGCTGCTCTGAACAAACACGCGAAACTCTTCGACAACTTGCCCAAGGGCATGCACCACAGCAAGTATGCACGCTGAAGAACACCTCTTCCTCCTGGGAGGGGGACCTCACGCTGGCCTGGTTTCGAAAGGCTGCTGCAGGGACTTGTCTTCAGTTTTGCTTCTTGTTGTGCTGTATCTTGCTTCACGCGGTAGCGCTCGGCTTCGCTCCTTTCTCACACTCATCCTTTTCGACCTCGACTCATCACCTGGACTGACTTGGGACAAGGCTCACGTTCGAGTGTCTGGCACACTCGATCAAGCCCTACGTCCTATCTTCTCCCTGACACTCCCTGCATGGCTCACGTTTGAGTGCCTCGCAAACACTCATTCAAGCCCCTCCCTCCTGTCTTCACCTGTACTCTGGGTATGGCTCATGTTCAGTGTCTGGCAAGCACTCGTTCAAGCCTTCACCCTCTCAAGGCTCAAGTTCGAGTGTCTGGCAAGCACTTGTTCAAGCCCCTCC